CACAAGAGTGATTTGAACGGAAATTTTGATAAATTTTCAAAAATAAAATACAGTACCCAGGCCTGTTACAGTATGACCACATTGCTTGGGCTACGGTAGCTAAAGACTTTTTTACAAAAATTTCCATTAATCCTGGATGTCACACGAGCTGAAAATACGAAAAATAAACTAAAAAACAAAAATTTTAAAAATTTGCATAGTACAGTACCCCGGAACGTCTGTAGCGCCATTTTATCAAATTTACATTCAAATTTGCTATAGAATTTGTAGCCAAAAGTTTATAAATGCAAATTTGACGTTTATGCTAATATTTTTCATGTCGGCGATTAGCCGGTCGGTCACCAGGGTGGCTCTAAATGGTTTCAGCTAAAGAAAGGGGCAAAAAACGGGCTGAGGCTCAAAGAAATTGGAAAAATTACGCCTTCTGGAGGCACTATGCACGATTTATGAGAAAGGAATGAGCGGCGAAAGCTTTTAGCGAAGGTGAAAAAATGTTGATAGAGGACTGGAGGGGAATCTTGGAATTTTCGCAGTAAACGTCTAGTTTTGGCGATTGATTTGGTGATTCTGGAGGTCACTATGAACGATGTATGAGAGGAAAATGAGCGGCGAAAGCTTTTAGCGAAGGTGGGAAAATGCTGATAGAGGGCTGGGGGGTATTCTTGGAATTTTCGCAGTAAACGTCTAGTTTTGGCGATTGATTTGGTGATTCTGGAGGTAGTTATTGTTTTTTCTTTTTTTTTTTTTCACGGGAGCTGTGGGTGGAAAAACTAATAAAAAGCGGCAAATTTGAAATCCCGGGATTACGGTAGAAAGGGCACTTTGTAGAAAACACTGTAGAACACTGTAGAAAATAGCATTTTGTAGAAAACAGCTTTTACCTCCAAAGGACAGCCACTCGTGAATGTAGAGCTCGGCCGGGTTGAGCCAAACCTGAAGATTGGAGGTGGATTTGCTACCGTAACCCAACCGTACCTTTTCAACGATTGTCTCGTAGTCGTCGAAGTACCATTGACTCATTTGAGCCTAAAATTCAATCGAGTACTCGCAAAATCTCCAATGGCATCCAGAACTCGCAAAAAATCACAATTCAGCACCCTACAGAAACTAGGCTAAGCTACAGTAACCCAGTCCTAAACTACAGTAACCCTGATTCAACCTTTCTGCAAAATCAACTTCCAAAGCCCTTCAAAATCTCCAGTGCCTTCCAGAACTCGTAAAAATCGCATCAGGAGCTAGGCTACAGGCTAAGCACAGTAGCCCAGTCCTAAATCACATACCTGTCTCAACCGTTGTGCAGAACAACCAAGCCCTCAAAATCTCTATGCTCCAGAACTGCAAAAACGCAATTCAGCACCCTACAGAAGCTAGGCTAAGCTACAGTAGCCCAGTCCTAAACTACAGTAACCCTGTCTCAACTTTTGTGCAGAATCAACTTCCAAAGCCCTTCAAAATCTCCAGTGCCTTCCAGAACTCGCAAAAAAGTCTCAAATCAACCCGGTCACCTCAACGATAATTGCTTTTTAGCTCCAGTCCTCGATCGCTCAAGACGATAACATTCATAAAGGTCATTCACAAGCAAAACTCTCTGTGCAAATATTGTTGCTGAAGTGTGAAGGACAATCGAGGAGAACACCTGATAACACTTCTTAGTCTTGGGCTAGTATAGACTCTATCTCCAATGCCTCTATAGACCTTGCCTCTAGGGTCGGGCCAGAGCGGGAGAGGTTACGCAATGACACTGCCCGTTTCCCCCGGCTTACCGCATTACGGGGATTAAGATATTAGGAGAAACGCTTAGTTGGATGTCACACTTCAAATTTACATGCAAATCGGGGATCGGAGCCCTGTTTCTCTATGAAACTGTCTAGGATGGGGTTGGCTACATTTTATCAAACACAGACTGTTCAGGTTCGTCCTAGATCTCTGTTCTAGTCGATCTGGAGCGCACAGCACTTGCTCAGCTATTTAAAACCGGGTTCGGCACACTTTCGAAAAGCTGGATAAAATACCGTAATCCAAAGACAAGAAAATTGTAAAGTGGTTAGATCGCTTTGAAACTTTATAAAACACTCAAATGCCATCCAGGATTACGGTGTCTTGAGGGAAAATCTGGATTCTACAGTCTATTTGCTTAAAAAGGGACCAGCTATCATTGCACAACTGTTCACCCAAATTTTCCCAGCCGAGCGATTGATTTCCGACATTTTTGAATACCGTACTGTTCAAGCTGGAGCACAGCACAGCTAATTACGATTTTAAAACATAGCATACTGCTAAACTGTGACCAAGTTCTAAAAGCTGGATAAGATACCGTAATCCAAAGACAAGAAAATTGTAAAGTGGTTAGATCGCTTTGAAACTTTATAAAACACTCAAATGCCATCCAGGATTACGGTATCTTAAGGGAAAATCTAGATTTTATAGTTTATTTGTTTAAAAAGGGACCAGCTATCAAGCCCATGGCTAGGGTCAACCCAAGAAACTCGAGACCCAGAACCCAGGATCTTTAATGCCCAGACAGTCACTCTAGGCGATTCAGAGATCCAGAATCACACTGGAATTGTCTAAAATCTAAGTCTTGTCTAAAAACAAGACGACCGTAATCCCTGGAGCACTTAGAGGGTAGCCTTGATGAAATCTTGAAACAGGAAAAGGAAAAGAGGTGCTTCTAATCACATTCCTTATCCCTTTCCCTCCTTGAATCCATTTTTGTCCCGAATTAGCACACTTTCCCCTCCTTGTTTCAGCTGTTTCCGCTGTTTCAGCACACAGTGAGACTTTGAGTCGTTTTAACGGAAATAGTAGCATAAAGGGATCTTTGAACGGAATTTTTTGACTTTCCTGGATGTCACGTGAACTGAAACTACGAAAAAATTGGTGGAAAAGCAAGAAAATAAAAAATTAAATTACAGTACCCCAGGCCTGCTAGAGTCTAGGGTTCAGTCTGGGGTTCTAATCGTTCCCAAGCTATGTAAATATCAAATCTATTAGATCCAGATTACTCAAAACTGCTCCAGAATGCTCCCAGACTAGGCAGATTACAAAAAAAAGTTGTTTCAAAGAAATCAGAGCTGGGTTTAGCTTTCGACCGAGCTTACCTGCCTTGATTACAAGTCTCAAGGGAGTTTTTGAAGTGATTTGCTCAATCTGGATGTCACAACAGTTTTCTAGAAGATTAGTTCTTAAAAAGCTTGAACATTGACCGTTTTCTAAATGGTGCTCTCGCTACCGTACACCGAGATACAAAAGTGTCTGAATCCCCGTTTTTTGTGCTCTGATTATAGTGTGCGTTCCAGATCGCCGAAAAATTAAATCTAATATGCCAGGACCAAGTCAGAAACATTTCTAATCAGAATCATCCCTATTGGCGAGCTTTCGACCGAGTCTACCTGCGCTGCTTACAAGTCTCAAGGGAGTTTTTTTAAAACATTTGCTCAATCTGGATATCACAGCAGTTTTCTAGAAGATTAGTTCTTCAAAAGCTCGAAAATTGACCGTTTTCTAAATTGTGCTCTCGCTACCGTACACCGAGATACAAAAAGTGTTTGAATCCCGGTTTTTTTATGCTCTGATCATAGTGTGCGTTCCAGATCGCCGAAAAAACTTCAAATCTCTCTGAAATTCTGCCATTTTCTATGCGAATCTAACCCAAACTCGATGAAACTCAAAAATCTTTCTGAAATTATGCAAAAACTCAAAGAAAACTGTCGAAATCGACAAAATGACATAAAAGAATGCGTATAAGATGTAAAGAAATCAAAGAAAATCAAAGAAAAGTGAAAATCCGAGCGCTGGGTGATTATTTTGTCAGAGCCGGATCAGCGATTTCCCCAGATTTTCATCTTGGCTCTTTTTTAGATTGAAAAAATCAAAAGTGAGGGCTATTTGTGGAATTGAGGAGATTTTCGGGCAAATTAGAGGAATTGGGGACTTTGCTTGCAAAAACTTCAAAGTAAGCTCGTTTTCTAAAGCTTGCTCTCACTACCGTACCCCAGAAAGTATAAAAGGCCCGGAGCCACGAGTTTTTGGCTTTTTCTAGTTCTGTGACTTCCAGATCCCCAAAAACCACAAAAATTTAGTAGAAATAGCATTTTATAGCAGATTTTCTAAACCTTGCTCTCGCTACCGTACCCCAGAAGTAGAAAAGCCCCGGAGCTACGATTTTTTGGTTTTTTCTAGGGCTGTGACTTCCAGATGGTAAGAAATCGTAAAAAACTTTTTCTAAAACTTAACAGATCGCTTAAAAGTTAGTCCTAACGAAAATCTATCTAAACTATGAGAAAATTGGCTTTATAGATTCTTCAAAACGAAAAAAAAAAACCATTGAGACCCCTCGATACAGGCAATTTCCATTTTCGGGTGCTGCCGCGAATTCATTTCGCCACTTTTCAACCGATTTTTAGCCTGTTTTTCTTATTTTTCGAGATCCAGCAATTTCTAGACGATTCGCTAAGTTATAAGGGTAAAATTTTCAGTGATTTTGGAGATCTGGAAGTCACAGTACAGAATGGATACAGAAAATCGGGTTTCCTGGCTATTCTACTTGTTGGGGTACGGTAGCAAGGGCATTTTTTAGAAAACGATCAAAATTCTTCGTTTTTTTTTCTAAAATGCTATTTTTTAAGCAGTGTGACATCCAGATCGGCCAGTTTTACGTTCAAAAAATTTTTTGACTTTTGAAAAGCTGAGTTTTTGCGGCGGTATCCATTTTTTGCAGCTATAGCCATTTTTTAATGTGAAAAACTCGAATTCCGGGGTAAAAAATTGAAAATGTTGAGTTAAATGTAAATTTGTCTTTTTAAAAAACGTTTATACTCAAAGGAAATCAAGAAAAAAATCGAAAAAACGAAAAATTCGGGAAATTTTTTTGATATGACGTCATTTTTTGAAAGAAAATCGTGGAAATGAGAAATTTTTTGAAAAACCGAAAAAAATGTTTTTTAAATAGCAAAAGTGTCTCTAGAACTGGCTAAAATTTGCATAAAAAATCGAATTTAAATATCTTGGTCTTTTCCGAGTAACATTGTCAGCACAGCCATTCGGACGAACATCCCGTTTCGTGCCTGAAAATTTTTTAAGGAATTAATCCATTTTTAAGCTTTTAAAATGCTCTGTGACATCCAGATGGAAGATTTTTAAAATTTAAAAATTTATAGCTAATCTATTTTTTCTTATTTTCCCGGAGATCATCAACGGTCAAAACTCGAAGCTCCGAAATGCTCCTATGTACTTGAAAACTAATCCAAAATCTCCTGTGACATCCAGATTTGCGAAATTTAAGGTTTTAAAATCGATAATTAGTATACTTTTCATTATTTGGATGGGATCTCGATCCAAGGTTTAGGACTCTGATTTGTAGAGCCACTAGATCCTTTTTACAATAACCTTTCAATCTCACCTGTCTAAAGTAGGCGGCCCGTTCATCGTGGTCGAGCTCAGTTGAAATCTCGTCGACGCGCGGGAGTGGATGCATCACGATCGGCTTCGAGTGGGTTTGACCTGAGAATTTAAAGGTTAAGCGCTAAAATCGAGTTAGATTCGTTCGAGCTGGATATCACGACGTCTATTTAGTCTTTTACTTTTTAAAAATAGCGTCATTTTGATTCAAGTGGGTTACTGTAGCAAGGGTACTGTACTAAAATACGGTGAAAATACAAGGTAGTGCCATAAAATTGAGTCATATTTCTTCGTTCTGGAACTCACCAAGCACATTGTAGTCGGTCTCGATCTCAACGACAGCCTCGTCCAAAAGTTTCGGCGTAAGCACAAAGGCGCCTTTCACTCGTTCGTAGTCGTTTTGGTCGGCGAAGCGTTCCTGAGGAATTTTCATTTTTAAACGCTGCTGTGATATCCAGATCTTAGAAAAAACATTGTAGCTACAAAAATCTATGAGTCAAACTTTAGAAAATGACCCAGCTACCGTAGTTGTTAGACTGAAAATTTAAAATTAACGTTTTCACAGATTTTTCTTTCCCAAATTCAGCGGTGATATCCAGCTCTTAGAAAAAACATTGTAGCTACAAAAATCTATGAGTCAAATTTTAGAAAATGACCCAGCTACCGTAATTGCTAGACTGAAAATTTAAAGTTGCCGTTTTCAGAGATTTTTCTTTTCCAAATTCAGCTGTGATATCCAGATCCTAGAAAAAACATTGTAGCTACAAAAATCTATGGGTCAATTTCTAGAAAATGACCCAGCTACCGTAATCGTCAGACTGAAAATTTAAAGTTGCTGTTTTCAAAGCTTTTTCTTTTCTAAACTCAGCTGTGATATCCAGATCTTAGAAAAAACATTGTAGCTACAAAAGTCTATGGGTCAATTTCTAGAAAATGACCCAGCTACCGTAGTTATTAGAGAGAAAATTTAAAATTGCCTTTTTCACAGATTTTTCTTTCCCAAATTCAGCTGTGATATCCAGATCGGGGAAAAGATTTTGAAAATTTGCCAATTTCTCATCGCAAACCTTTTGAATCCTCGTCATATAGATCACGTCGACGTTTTTGATGCCCTCGGCCAGATCGGTGAACTTTTTCTGGAAAGATTTCAATTATGGATTTCCGTTGGGTGATCCTCAGGGTGTATTGTAGTAAAGATAACAGATTGGGGACCCTATGGGTTCAAAAAACTGTACCTGCACAAAAGGGGCTCGATTCCGCTCTCCAAACTCTCCGATTTGACTATTCTTGTTCACGTAGTCACAAATGTAATCCGGCATTCCCAGCTCAGCGACTGGGGACACGTAGTGAAGGGTGACACGCTGGAAAAGCAATGGTTGAGGTTTAGGCTGGCTTAGGCTGGCTTTGGCTGGCTTTGGCTGGTTTTGGCTGGCTTAGGCTGGCTTAGGCTGGCTTTGGCTGGCCTAGGCTGGTTTAGGCTGGCTTTGGCTGGCTTAGGCTGGCTTTGGCTGGCTTTGGCTGGCTTTGGCTGGCCTTAGCTAGCTTAGGCTGGCTTAGGCTGGCTTAGACCTAAGCTCAGAATCAACTGTAAACCTTAAACTACTCTAAACTCACATTGTACTTGCATAGCAGCTTCGCCAGCGAGTGCACGGTTCTCCCGTTCCGCAAATCCCCAACTAGTGCAATCGTGAGCCCGTTGATTGAGCCTAACTCTTGGCGAATCGTGAACACGTCGAGAAGAGCCTGAAAATTGCAGAATTCCAGATAGATTTGAAGTTTTTTCGGCGATCTGGAATACACACTATGATCAGAGCATAAAAAAACGGCGATTCAGACACTTTTGTATCTCGGTGTACGGTAGTGAGAGCACAATTTAGAGAACGGTCAATGTTGAAGCTTTTGAAGAACTAATCTTCTAGAAAACTACTGTGACATCCAGATTGAGCAAATCATTTCAAAAAATTAGCCTAAATCTGTGCGAAGATGTTTATCGAGGTAGGGTTGGCTCTGGACTGGTTTAGAGGTGTTTCTGACTTGGTCCTGGCAAATTAGAGTTAATTTTTCGGCTATCTGGAAGTCACACTATAATCAGAGCATAAAAAAACCGGGATTCAGACACTTTCGTATCTCGGTGTACGGTAGTGAGAGCACAATTTAGAAAAAATTTCAATTTTCGAGCTTTTTAAGAACTAATCTTCTAGAAAACTACTGTGACATCCAGATCGAGCAAATCATTTCAAAAAATTAGCGCAAACCTGTGTGGGATGCTCTCCAGCTCCGTCGCCGGCATTCACCACTGGCTGATTGCAGACAGAGGCGGCTCTTTCAGCTGACCCAACTTCTGGATGTCTGATGACGACGATGTCCGCATAGTTGCCCATGATTTGCACCGAATCTAGATGGATTATAGTTGAAGAAATATCTCGATAGGCTTAGGCTAGTTTCTGGGGACCTAGGTCGAGACCTAGGTCGCGACCTAGGTTTGCCCTTCAGCCTCGGCTTCCCCACCTTCCAGAGTCTCCCCCTTTTGCACGGAAGACGTTTGCGAGTCCATCGCGATCACTGTGCCGCCCAAGCGTTGCATGGCGGCCGAAAATGAGGATGAGGTACGCGTCGAGACCTCGTAGAAAAGGGAGGACATCACGTAGCCCTGCAAATATCCACAATTCATAGCTGGACTAGATGGGTCTCTAAGGGTCTAGGACCCGAAGACCCTGATCACCCTGGAACCCTGGCACCTAAGGGTACTGTAGCTCTGTACCTGTACCAGGAAAGGCTGAGGGCCCTGAGAGCCTGGGACCTTGGAACCCTGAGACCGGAGACCCTGAGGGTCCAGGGTACCCTGAAGCCTGGATATCTAGATCTATTGGGTCTCCTGGAACCCTGGACTCTAGTCATGAAGCCTAGCGACCTGGACCCTAGGACTCTAGGACCCCAGGATCCTGGGTCCCTGGGCCCCTGAGAGCCTAGGACCCTAGGACCCTGAGAGCCTAGGATCCTGGGTCCCTAGGACCCTGAGAGCCTAGGACCCTAGGACCCTGAGAGCCTAGGATCCTGGGTCCCTAGGACCCTGAGAGCCTAGGACCCTGAGACCCTTGGACTATAGGTCCCTGGACCCGGAAACCCTGGGAGCCTAGGATCATGAAACTCTAGGACCCTGTGAACCTCGGACCCCTAGACCCTAGGACCCTAGAACTCTAGGACCCTGGGATTTTGGAGCCTAGGACTCTAGGACTCTAGTACCCTGGGAACTTGAAGCCTAGGACCCTGAGACCCTAAGACCCTAGGGCCTTGAGACCCTGAGATCCTGGAACCCTGAGACCTGAACCCTAGGACCCTGGAAACTTTGGACCTTGGGATCCTCAGAGTTCCAGGGGCCCGGGCTTCCCAGATTCTCAGACCACCGTAGCTGATCCAGAACGATTTTCTGGACTCACCTGCAGAATGTGATTGATGGGATGGTGTCGCTCGACGTCGCTGCGGAAACGCTCGGCCAACTCGAGGATGCGATTCAGCTGAAATCGTACTTTAAGAGTCTCTTGAGTGCCTGAGGCTAGCTTCGGGAGTACTGTAAGAGTTTTTCCGTAAGTTGGATATCACGCCAACTTACCATCGGTTTTTGGAGATGTTCGACTGAAATCAAATTCTTGCCGGCCCATGCGAACTTCGCCGGTGACGGCGCTCGTGGCGGAGTCATCAGGGGGCTCTGAAGTAAATAATTATTTTAAATAATCAGATAATTCTAGAGACAGAGAGTCGACGGAAAAAAGGATCGAAAGAAAAAAAAATTTTTTTTTGCACAAACCTCCTTTTCGATAACCTGAAATGAGTTCGGGGGTTTTTAGGCGAATTTGATACGGTAGATGTAGCTTTTTTTGATTTATTTTGGCTATCTGGAGGTCACAGCAGAGATTTTTGTGCATTACCTCGGAAGAATCGGATTGTGAAGAGACACGGGCGTCACGGGTTTCCTCGAGCTCTCGGCGCATCAGGTCCAGTTCTAGAGTTACGTTTGTGTGATTTGGGTACTGAGTCGAAGGCACCCCGACAAGGGCTAGACTTAGAATAGTATCCGGTACTGTAGCCAAGCCAGCGACAAGCCAGAAGCAATTCCGGACCTGGACCGGACCTGGATCTGGACCGGACCAGATTCCCGGATCCCAGATGAGTCATCGACATTTTTTGTATTTTATTTGCTCAAGCTGGATGTCACATTAGACTCTGATGGCTTTAGACTTAAGATTTACAGTTTTCTATAGAAGGCATACTGTAGTATCCTACAGTACCCGGTTTATCGAATAATTCTAAGAAAATATATAGTAAAGATGTCGTATATGCTCAAGCTGGATGTCACACTAGGCACTGAGTGAGATAGAAAGGCTCTTTATCTTATAGAGAAGAACGCATACTGTAGAATCCTACAGTACCCAATTTATCTGATAATTCTGAGAAAAGATATAGTAAAGATGTCGAATATGCTCAAGCTGGATATCACATTAGGCCCTGATGGCTTTAGACTTCAACTATAACGAAATCTATCGAAGGCATACTGTAGAATCCTACAGTACCCCGTTTATCGAATAATTCTAAGAAAAGATATAGTAAAGATGTCGAATATGCTCAAGCTGGATGTCACACTAGGCTCTGATGGCTTTAGACTTAAACTATAAAGAATTCTATAGAAGGCATACTGTAGAATCCTACAGTATCCAATTTATCTGATAATTCTAAGAAAACATATAGTAAAGATGTCGTATATGCTCAAGCTGGATGTCACCACAGTTCCTGATCTACATCTCGACATACCAGCTTCAGTGCTCATGGAGGCTCCCTCAGGGGTGAGTCGAATATTCCTCCCGGAGCCCTCTTTGGCCACAATGGCTCCATCAACCAGTGCTTCCTCTCCCCTAATCACGACATTGACGACTTTCCCTCGCACGGCTCGTCCCGCATACGGCGTCCAGCCGGCTTTCGATTGGCCACCATTCTCGGGAATCGTCCACTCAGCGCTCAAGTCCACCTAGGAACAGAATAAAATCGTATTTTCTTTTACAATTCAATTCCAATTCAATTCCAATACAATTACAATCGTCTTTTCTATAAATCCACCTCAATATAAGTATCCTTTTGCTCGGGTAAATTGAAGATTTTCCGGGGATTGTGGTGAAGACGATCAACGAGTTGAGATAGGGTTAGACGGCCCTAGAGTTATATTTATTAAGCTGGGCGGCTTTGAATCTATTCAGAAAATCGATTTTCTATATCTAGCTTACCTCGTGGACGGCTGTTAACAGCAATGGGAGCATGTATTCGACTCCCGGGAAGCCTGGAGGAACTTTTTCAGCGCTGTGCTTTTCTTGGCGCGAGTGTGGAGCTAAAAGGGGTTTAGATAAATGTTTTAGATCTGTAGATGGATCAGATAGGGCAGATGTAGATATAGAAATAGATATTATTGAATTATTGAATAATTATTGAATTATCAGCCGAAAAACCTAAAAAGCAAAATTCATGACACAGCCGGGAGTCGAACCCGGACCCTATGGGCTGCAACCAAGCCTACTCCCGACTGCGCCACGACGATCACCTATAGCCACCCAGAAAAATCCGATATCAATCGAAAATGGGTTTTTGCTGAAAAGCAAAAGTCACGACCCAGCTGGGAGTCGAACCCGGACCTTGTGGGCTGCAGCCAAGCCTCCTACCGACTGCGCCACGGCTCCTCTCCAAGGGTCTCCAGAAAAACCCGCTATCACTCAACAAACGACTTTGACCAGCCAAAAAACCAGCTTCCCCCTAGCTTTTCGGTTGATATCTGGTTTTTCTGGCGGGTCTCCGACAGTCGCCATGGCTCAGTCGGCAGCACGCTAGACTACAACCCGCAAGGTCCGGGTTCGAATCCGGGCTCTACCGAACTTCGATTTTTTAAAAAAAATGAGATATTCGATGAACAAATAGATAGAATTCTAAGCCTATTAAGCTAAAATTATGTAAATTTATTTATCTAGATATCGATAATTTACCGTGATCTGTCGCAAAGCAATCGATATAATCGAGGTTTTCCCAAAGAGTTTTCACATCATTCTCTCGCACGAGTCGGGGTCGGACCTAGAGAAATATTGAATATTCAATATTCAAGGATTAGAGCCACCTCTCTGACTCCGCACGGCAAGCTGGCTTCGGTGAGGAAAAGATGGTGTGGGCACACCTCGCAGGTCACGCTCCAGCCCTGGAAATTCGATTTAAGTGGTGTAACTGTAGAGCTAAGGCCTAGATCGCCCTAGAACAAATCTAGAATACAGTAGACAGTCTACCCTGTACCCTGGGCTGTCACAGACCCTGGGTTTTGAGCTACATAACATTGAAACGAGTTCGAGGGTTTTTATGAAGATCTGTTACGGTAAATAGCCATTTTTTTGATAGATTTTGGCTATCTGGAAGTCACAGCATAGATTTTGATGCATTACAGTGATCCAGCTTGAAGTCTGGGGAAGGGCTAGGGTACTGTGATTCTTAGGAATATCTCCAGGATCTGGGTTCTAACTCTGTGCCCTGGGACCCTGGAAGCCTTGGATATTGTGAAGTACTAAAGGTAAACAGTAGTACTAGGGACTGGACACTGACATACAAGAACGATGACTTAGGCATACAGTAAGGGGTGGACATAAAGTAGTACAAGGGTATTAGGGCTTAAGGCCTGGGCTTAGGGCCTGGGCTTAGGGCTTAGGGCTAAAGGTCAGGGTCTAGTGTGACATCCAGCTTGAGCATATTCGACATCTTTACTATATCTTTTCTCAGAATTATCAGATAAATTGGGTACTATGAGCTTAGGCTTGCCCAACTACTGTATCCCCCAGTACTATCCTATTCCTAGTATCCCCAGTACTATCCTACCTTCTGTTTGGCGTCTCTCACAAGCGCCATCTCCTCGGCGGTGGCCACGTGAGCGATGTGCACTGAAATTGGGTTACTGTAGTTGAGTGGCTGTGGCTTAGATTTGGCTAACTGATACTTAAACAAGGTCCGAACAGGCTTATCTGGCTATCTGGAGGTCACAGCGTGTCTGGGTTACTGTAACATAGTGTTAGGATAAGTACAGTAACCCGGACACCGTACTATTTGGTCACCAAGAAGCCAGGATCGGATTTAAACTTTCTAAGCCTACCAGCTCGTCCAGTCAACTGCGAGCAAGCGAGCACAGCGGCCAGGGTTTGTCCCTCGGCATGACAAACGATCGGTCGACCTGCGGGAAACGCGCGGAAGTGCTAAATAGATATTCAAAAAACAGAAATCATAAATGTACAGTAATCACAAATCAAACTCCAAGAAATTAAAGTGTGCCATCCAGATAAGCAAATGGAAAATTCTGGAAGAAAACTGTTTATCCAGAAAAAAGTTATTGAACCGACAAGGTCTCAGTCGACTTTCAGTCCGTTTAAATCAATTTTCACAAAGGAAATCAATAGTTTTTTTGATAGAATACTGTTTAATTGATCTCTAGCATTGCAAAAAAAATTCCCACCTGTAGCCAATCACCGATGTTCTCCATTTTCAGCGTTGAGAACGTCTCGTTTAGGTACATTTTGAGGCCAGCAGCACTGGAAAGTGAATGATCAGAGAAAGTGAAGAATAGTCGTCATTTTCAGCTTACATGACATCCAGGATTACCAAAATTAATCAAAAAATTAGTCAAGAACAGATTACGGTATCTCTAAGCGCCCAGCTACCATTCACCCGATTGTCAAAATTTAAAAAGCACTACCTAGTCTTTATTTTTAGCTTTTTAGCTTAAGTGACATCCAGGATTGCCAAAAGTTGCCGAGAAATTAGCTAAGGACAGATTACGGTAACTCTAAGCGTCCAGCTACCATTCGCACGATTATCAAAATTTTAAAATTACTAACTAGTCATTCTTTTCATCTATTTAGCTTATGTGACATCCAAGAATGCCAAAAATTATCAAAAACATTATCTAAAAATAGATTACGGTAGCTTTAGGCCACCAGCTACCATTCACCCCATTGACAAAATTTTAAAATTACTAACTAGTCATTGTTTTCATCTATTTAGCTTATGTGACATCCAGGATTGCCAAAAATTTCGTCAAAAACTTTTGAAAGTAAGTTGAAAATGAAAAATCCTCACCATGAAGCTAATTGTGCGGCCTCTTGAGCGTTAGTTGCCGTTGCGCCGATGTACAACGCGTAGTCGACCAGGGATTTCTCATGTGCAAGCTGGAATTCGCTAATCATAGATTTTAACGGCAAAACGCCCGTTTAACAGCTGGAAAGACTGGCTGTTTAGCAGGTAAAAAGCGGGTTAAGCGTGTTAAGCGGGTTTTTTCTCGTTAGGCTTTTAATGCCGCCATGGCGCAGTGGGTAGCACGCTTTCCTACAGACCACACGATCCGGGTTCGACTCCGGGTTTTTGTCTTGACAAACCTTTTGCGTCAATTCGAACGTAGCCTTGTCGACGAGGGATGGCTGGGTGTTTGGCATCGCTAGAATCGTTGTAATTCCACCGCAAAGAGCGGCACGCGAGCACGTGGACCAATCCTCCTAGAATCGCTGATTTCTGGTGCACTGTGTCCACCACTTACCTTGTACGTAGCGCCGGGCTCCCTCACGTGTACATGAACATCAATAAGCCCAGGTAAACGACGAAGTGTACGCGAGGAGACACAATCGTATTGAGAGCACATCGCTGGACGCGGGCCCATCATGCGGAGAGCCTGCAAAGGAGTTCATGAGATTTATCAGCATCCCGCACAAATTTGGGCTAATTTTTTGAAATGATTTGCTCGATCTGGATGTCACAGTAGTTTTCTAGAAGATTAGTTCTAAAAAAGCTCGAAAATTGAAAATTTTTCTAAATTGTGCTCCCACTACCGTACACCGAGAAACAAAGGTGTCTGAATCGCCGTTTTTTTATGCTCTCATCATAGTGTGCGTTCCAGATAGCCGAAAAATTAACTCTAATTTGCCAGGACCAAGTCAGAATCATGTCTAAACCAGTCCAGAGCCAACCCTACCTCGATGAACATTTTCGCACAAATTTGGGCTAATTTTTTGAAATGATTTGCTCAATCTGGATATCACAGCAGTTTTCTAGAAGATTATTTCTTCAAAAAATCGAAAATTGAAAATTTTTCTAAATGGTGCTCTCACTACCGTACACCGAGATACAAAAGTGTCTGAATCGCCGGTTTTTTTATGCTTTCATCATAGTGTGCGTTCCAGATCTCCGAAAAATAAAATCTAATATGCCAGGACCAAGTCAGAATCATGTCTAAACCAGTCCAGAGCCAACCCTACCTCGATGAACATCTTCGCACACTTGATATCAGTGATTAATGGGATCCCGTTGTCGATTGCCATTCGACGGGTACGGTAGCCTTGGGTTGGTCCAGCCGATACCTAGACAACAGATAAAAAACAGTACTGTAGTTAGTACTTGTGTACTTTCAAACCCTGCTGGGGCACTATGGCGTATTTAAGCCTTACCCTGTAGGCGCCACTTCGGCGAATCGGCAAGTTGATCATCAGATGGAAATCCTTGTTCTGGAAGAACTCGGTCACCGACCTCGATCCGGCCGCCGTTTTCTCGTCGCTTGCCCCCTCCTCGAAAGGCCAATCGACGACGTGAACCTGAGAGATTTTGAATTTCTTGGCAATTCTGGATGTCACATAGGCTAAAAAGCTGAAAAGAACGACTAGGTAGTGCTTTTTAAATTTTGACAATATGGTGAATGGTAGCTGGACGCTTAAAGCTACCGTAATCTATTTTTAAGATAATTTTTCGACAACTTTCGACAATCCTGGATGTCACTTAAGCTAAAAAGCTGAAAAGAACAAGTCGGTAGCGCTTTTTAAATTTTTTTTAAATTTTGACAAGTGGTGAGTACGATAAAAGCACTTAAAGCTACCGTAACCCAGGGTCTAGCTAGCCTAATCCAGGGCTATTTCTATCTAAACCCAGTTCTATCAAAACTTACAGGCACATCTTGTCCCAGCAAATAGTCGGCCGTTCCCTTGGACGCCCACAACTCGTAGCCCATCGAAATCAAAGCGCGCACGCTCGGCAACATCTCTTTTTTATGCTAAAATCGAAGTTTTTCCATTGAAATCATCTGATGTGAGGTCCAGATTGGCGATTTTTTTCTTTCAAATCCCGAATTTTTGTTGATTTGAGGGAGAAAATCGCTCAGAGTCTTCACGAGTGAAAAAATCGTTGCTCTGACGCACTGAATTCTTTCTTTTAGCACTTACATCCACTCCACCAATCGAAATAAAAATGTTTTTCTTTGGCGAGACAAAGCCGGTGGCCAAAAGCGCTTTCAAATAAGCCTCGTAACGATCACGACCAAAGCAGGCAACCTAAAATTTGAAAACTTTTAGAAATTTGAATATAAAAATTGAATTTGCATATGAAAATTGAATTTGCATATGAATTATTGGATAAGAGTGAGCTGGGAGGCAGTTGGGAGACAAAAAAGGACGCAAGAAGGCAAAGAAAGGATTTGCAATAGTTGAATCCTTTAACAAACCTCTCCAGTTGAAGCCATCTCCACTCCGAGCATCACATCAGCTCCAGCAAGGCGTGAGAACGAGAATTGAGGGACCTGAATTGAAAATCTTTCGATCTGGAAGTCACAGCAGTGAAACAAAAGCTGAAATCATAACCTTACCTTGACTCCAACTCTTCCCTTTCCTCTCAGCACTCCGTGCACTTTCTGGATCAATTTCCCCTCTCGAATCGATGGATTATCGGCAGACTGAAAGAAAGATTGAAAGCTGGAAGGTTGGAAGGCTAGATTGAAGGCTGGAAGGCTAGATTGAAAGCTGGAAGGCTAGATTGAAGGCTGGAAGACTAGAAGCCTTCCTTCAAGGCTAGAAGCCTTCCTTCAAGGCTAGAACTCTTCCTTCAAGCCTAGAAGCCTTCCTTTAAACGCTAGAATGCTTCCTCTAAACCCTACCATCATCACCCTCGTCGCTAAACCGACAAAATCGAAATCCAACGTTTTTGAAACAAACGGAAACGAGCGTGAAGCTCGCAAGTTGCATTCGATCACTTTTAACTCATTATCCTGGAAAATAACTATTTGTAGAGGAAGAGAGATGTCTAGAAAGGTCTATAGAGAAATATCTAGCAATTACAGTACCCGGAGAATCTATAGAACAGTCTGTAGAACTAGACAAAGCCTAGAGCTTCAGACTGTAGACTGTAGAACTAAGAATACTTATCTAAGAGTTACAGTACCCCAAACTGGCCGCTGTGCGTTCCAGCTTGGCCAAAAAACCGTTTGAAAGCTATTGGTTCTTAGGGAAAAATCGGTGAATCCCTTTGAAAAGAGTTTAACGAGATTTAGAGAAATCTAGTGATAGCAATAGCCTTAAAATAAGTTTTTTGGTCAATCTGGAACGCACATTTACCAATAAAGTCAAAAATACTAGAGTACTAGACAAAAATACTAGACTAGAGTACTGTAGCGGACCTGGGGTACTATAGGACCCTGGTGCCCAGTTCAGAGTACTGTAATCGACCCTAGTGCTCAGGTCAACCTTGGCAATCAGCTGCATATTGAATGGTCCATTCACGTTGAGGCCGCGTGCGATTTTCTCAGTGATCTCTTTGATTCGCTCGATCGTCGGCTAAAATGAGAATTTTCAGAGCGAAACCCTAGTTTTTTTTGAATTTTTGGTTAAACTGGATGTCACATATGCTAAAAAGATGAAAAAATTGATTAGATAGCGATTTTGAAATTTTGACAATAGGGTGAATGGTAGCTGGATGCTTAGAGATACCGTAATCCATTTCTAGCTAATCTTTCGACAATTTTTGGTAATCCTGGATGTCACAAAAGCTAAAAAGCTGAAAAGAATGACTAGTTAGTGCTTTTTAAATTTTCACAATAGAGTGAATGGTAGCTGGACGTCTAAAGCTACCGTAATCTATGCTTAGCTAATTTTCCGACAACTTTCGACAATCCTGGTTGTCACTTAAGCTAAAAAGCTGAAAAGAACGACTAGGTAGCGATTTTAAAATTTTGACAATAGGGTGAATGGTAGCTGGATGCTTAGAGATACCGTAATCTATGCTTAGCTAATTTCTCGGCAATTTTTGGCAATCCTGGATGTCACTTAAGTTAAAAAGCTGAAAAAAATTGATTAAATAGCGATTTTAAAATTTTGACAACAGAATGAATGGTAGCTGGGGGCTTAAAGCTACCGTAATCCATTTCTAGCTAATCTTTCGACAATTTTTGGCAATCCTGGATATCACACTAGGCTTTTGAGGTATCAACTTTCTCACCCCATTCAAATCAGCCGGTGGGGTGACCAGAGTGGCGTCACCGGAGTGGATTCCCGCGTTCTCGACGTGCTCACTGGAATTTGACCGGATTACTCTAGCTAAATGATCCAGATCCTTACCTCACAGCCATCACCCGCAAATCGCCCTCCAACGCAACCGCATCCACGTCGATTTCCTTGGCGTTTTTGATGAATTTGCTTACAACCACCGGGTGATCTTTTGCAACAATCGTCGCGTTTCTAGAAGAATATTCATATTATAGCATTGATAATAATGGCAATTCTGGATGTCACAGGAGCTAAAAAGATGAAAATAAAGACTGGGTAGCGATTTTTAAAATTTGACAATATGGTGAATGGTAGCTGGACGCTTAGAGATACCGTAATCCATTTCTAGCTAATTTTTTCGATAATTTTTGACAATCCTGGATGTCACAGAAGCTAAAAAGAGGAAAAAACGACTAGGTATTGGTTTTTAAATTTTGACAATATGGTGAATGGTAGCTGGACGCTTAGAGATACCGTAATTTGTTCTTAACTAATCTTTTGATTAATTTTGGTAAGTCTGGATGTCACTTAAGCTAAAAAACTGAAAAGAACTAGTCGGTAGCGCTTTTCGAAATTTTGACAATAGGGTGAATGGTAGCTGGGGGCCTAAAGCTACCGTAATCTATTTCTGGCTAATTTTTTCGATAATTTTTAGCGATTCTGGATGTCACGTAAGCTAAAAAGCTCAAAAGAATGACTAGGTAGCGCTTTTTAAATTTTAACAATACGGTAAATAGTAGAGCTACAGCACTCCTACAGTATTTTTTCCAATTCCAAACGATTTTCTTATTCGAATCTTGTCATGTGCGTTCCAGCTCAGAGAATTATCACTGAAATCTACCGAACTCACTTCAAGAATCTCTCTAAATCCGCTTCATCATGTGCGACGTTCATCGCGGCACCCGAGAGGACATAAGACGGACGAATGAGACAAGGGTAGCCGACCGAAGAGCAAAAGTTCTAAAGTTCTTGGTTTACGTCTATCCAGGGCTTCAGGATGAGTACAAGACAATCCAAATTACCGTACCCATGCGTCCTCCATGTCTTCGCATTTTTTCCATTGTGGTTGAGCGATTTTTAATGAATCGAGCAATCGGGAGAACTTGAATCGATCCTCAGCGCTGTCAATCATATCTGGCGAGGTTCCAAAGATGCGCACCTAAAATTGATCGCACCTATTGATTGAAAATTGATCTAAACTCTCAAATCTAAACAATTTCTATCAACTTTTTCTTAAAACTTGACAAAATCAAAATCTAATCTTAAAACTAGCTGCTGTGCGTTCCAGCTTGGCCAAAAAATCGTTTAAAAACGATTGGTTCTTAGGGAAAAATCGGTGTATCCCTTTGAAAAGAGTTTAACGAGATTTAGACAAATCTAGTTATAGCAATAGCCTATAAATCAATTTTTTGATCGATCTGGAACGCACATTGATCTATTCAGTCAAAAAATTGGATATTGGATAGTTCTAAGACCTGGCATAGCTCCGGGCCTGACCTGGCTCAAGACCTGGAATCTAAGAGCTTAAGAAAATCAAAATCAAATCTTAAAACTAGCTGCTGTGCGTTCCAGCTTGGCCAAAAAATCGTTTAAAAACGATTGGTTCTTAGGGAAAAATCGGTGTATCCCTTTGAAAAGAGTTCAACGAGATTTAGACAAATCTAGTTATAGCAATAGCCTTTAAATCAATTTTTTGGTCGATCTGGAACGCACATTTACCAATAAAGTCAAAAAATTGGATATTAAAGAACTTTTGAGCGACTCACATTCGCCCGGCTTAGCGACATGGCGATGTTGTTGGGGGCCTGACCGCCGAATGCCAGGATGATCCCCTTGGCGTGCTCGCGTTCGTAGACCTGAAAGGAATCGATTTTTCAGGGTTTAGATAAGTTTGGGTAAGCCTAGTACTTAGCTTAGGACTTAGCCCAGTACCGTAACCCAGGTAAGAAAATTTTTTTTAAAATCTAAATCTCCGAATTCTGATTTGCGCAAAGGGTGTCGTGATATCCAGATAGAAAATCCAGATAGAGAAATCCAGAGAAATCCACTTGTCTAGACAAGTTTTAGCCTAGTACTTTAACGGTTATAGAAAAATTTTTAAAATTGAAATCTCTGAGTTCTGACTTGCGCAAAAGGTGTGGTGACATCCAGATCGAAAAAAAAATTACCTCCAAGACCGTTTCCAAGCTGATCTCTTCGAAATACAAGCGATCGCACATATCGTAGTCGGTAGAGACCTAAGAAAGCTATTTGGGAAGAAGGAAGCCGGAGGAAGGGAGAAGGAAGATGGAAGGAGGAAGAAGGAGGAAGGAGAAGGAGGAGAAGAAGAAGGAGAGGAAGAGGAAGAAGACAAAGAAGAAGAAGGAAGAAGGAAGAAGGAAGAAGGAAGAAGGAAGAACAGGACTTCCTTTCAACTCACCGTCTCCGGGTTGCAATTGATGGTGATCGTGTTGTATTTTAAAGTCTTCAACTCGTTTAGGCAGGCAACACACGAGGCGTCGAACTCAACGGAAGAGCCGATCCGGTAGACACCCGAGCCGAGCACGATCACCGAGTTTTTCTGAAAATTCTCGAACTAGTTAGGGTTTTTTCTGAAATTTTTCCCAATTCTGGAAGTCATGTTAGCTAATGAAAGTGAAAAAAATCGGGAAATCAACGAATTTGAATTTTTCTAGAATCTGCTTTCGAGTCTGACGTATTTTGTGCTCTCCAGTAAACGCTCACTTTCTGGCACACTAGAATCTTTCTAGCTGGAAGGCACATGACAGAGAGAATCGGTTAAAATAGAGAAAAAGATCTACTGTAGTTACTGTCACTCACCATATCAAAGCTGAGATCGTCCTCGGAGCCGTTGTATGTGAGATAGAGATAATTCGTGAAGGCTGGCCACTCGCCGGCCACTGTATCGATCTGTTTGACGCACGGGCGGATGTCGAGTTTGGTCCGGCGATCGCGCACCGCCCAATCGGTACTGGAATGGGATTTAGAATGGATTCACAAGACTGACTGAGCTTTTGAACAAATTTTTGGCAATCCTGGATGTCAAATAAGCTAAATAAATGAAAAGAACGGGTGGGTTGCGCTTTTTAAATTTTGACAATAGGGTGAATGGTAGCTGGACGCTTAGAGTTACCGTAATCTGTCCTTAGCTAATTTCTCGGCAACTTTTGGCAATCCTGGATGTCACTTAAGCTAAAAAGCTATGCTAAAAAGCTTTGATGAATTTGCTTACAACCACCGGGTGATCTTTTGCAACAATCGTCGCGTTTCTGGAAGAATATTGATACTATAGCATTGATAATAATGGCAATCCTGGATGTCACAGAAGCTAAAAAGCTCAAAAGAACCACTAGGTAGCGATCTTTAAACTTTGACAACTAAGTGCTTGGTAGCTGGGGGCTTAAAGCTACCGTAACCTATGCTTAGCTGATTTTTTTGACAATTTTTGGCAATCCTGGATGTCACATAAGCTAAATAGATGAAAATAAAGACTAGGTAGTGCTTTTTAAATTTTGACAATATGGTGAATGGTAGCTGGACGCTTAAAGCTACCGTAATCTATTTTCAGTTAATTTTTCCGACAATTTTTAGCAATCCTGGATGTCACATAAGCTAAAAAGCTGAAAAGAACAAGTCGATAGCGCTTTTTAAATTTTGACAATAGGGTGAATGATAGCCGGACGCTTAGAGATACCGTAATCCATTTCTAGCTAATTTTCCGACAATTTTTAGTAATCTTGGATGTCATTTAAGCTAAAAAAACTCAAAAGAAAGACTCGATAACGATTTATAAAGTTTTCCAATGCACTCACCTTCCAATCCTCTTCGCGATTTGTTTATCGGAGAAGCCGGCTTGCTTTGCTTCGAGCAGGAGCGCTTTGTCAAGCTCAAAGAGCTGCAAACCAAAAGTTATCTAATAAATTAGAGAAAAAAGACCTTTGACTGTACACTGGATGCATTGTAGAGCTCTTTGAGTCGTTTCATGATACAAATGATGTGGAACATTCGATGCAGAAACCATCTAGAGATTCAATTTGATAGGATTTATCTATAAAAATCGTTAACCTGTCGATTTTCGTTAGCTCGTAGGTTTTTTCGACATCGAAATCACCGTAATACATTCCGCGGGCGATCGCAAACATTCGCTTGTCAGTCGGACAGGAAAGGTCCTGGAAATGGATAAGTACAGGGATTACAGGATCCAGATATGTGCAGGGTTTACGATATCTAGGGTTACGGTAGCTTAGCTGCTGTACAACGGTTACGGTGGTTTCTCGTTTGAGTTCTTTAGACTAAATCGCCTCTAAATCGTTCCCTAACCATTTATTTTCAACTTTTCTGCCGATCTGGAAGTCACACTAGCTTTTGAGACAAAAGAATTATGCAAATCTCAGAATTTGTCAAAACTTTCTAAATCATGTCTCGACTACCGTAACCCCGAAGAAATTTCTAATGATAAGCAACTGTTTTTATATCTTCCTCAGTCAGTGTGACTTCCAGAATAGTGATTTTCTTTTGAAGAATCTAGATTTGACGATCGCTCGTCGATTTACAGCTTCGAGAACAGATATTGTCTTTCAACCCAAGAAATTTCCAATGATAAGCAGCTGTTTTTCAACTTTTTGCCTGATCTGGAAGTCACAGTAGCTTTTGAGACAAAAGAATTATGCAAATTTCATAATTTGACAAAACTTGCTAAATCGTGTCCCGACTACCGTAACCTCAAAAAAGTTCTGATGACAAGCAACTGTTTTTATATCTTCCCAAGCTATTGTGCCTTCCAGAATAGTGATTTTCCTTTGAAAAATCGGAATTGGACAATACCTCATCGATTGGCAGCCTCGGGAACACATCGGGACTGAAGCCGTCGGCTGAATCGCTGACCATTCGCAGCGCTTTTTGGAAAGCTTCCTCGAATGAGCGGCCAATGCCCATCACCTCGCCGACACTCTTCATCGAGGAGCCGATCTGGAAAGAAAGCGAATTCAAGCAGACTCAGGGATCCTAGAGAAACCTAGAGAAGGTCAGAAGGTCAGAAACCCGACCAAGCCCAGGAAACCAGGTCAGGGCCAGAAATCCCAGTCTTATCTCTTTATTTCTCTTAGTTGGAATGCACACTATATTTTAGAGTATTCAGTTTTTAGCTATTGACATTTTTACCGCAGGCACATTAGCGGATACGGTAACAAAGCGCGCGTTTTAGAAAACAAAAGAAAACTGCTAATATTATAAAGCTAAGATTTCAAGCTGGAATGCACACTATATTCTGGAGTCTATTTGAAGGCCAAGTCAGGCTTAGGTCCAGGCTTAGGTCCAGGCTTAGGTCCAGGCTTAGGTCCAGGCTTAGGTCCAGGCTTAGGTCCAGGCTTAGGTCTAAGTCTGACCCGGCCTTTAGTAACTCAAAAATTACCTGCGTGGACACGCGCGCGAATTTACTGAGATCCCATCTCGGGATCTTCACCACACAATAGTCGAGTGATGGCTCGAAGCAAGCCGTCGTTTTCCCGGTGACCGAGTTCCTGAAAGAAAGGGATTACGGTAATCTGGGCTACGGTAACCTGGGGTACGGTAGCCAGGGTACGGTAGCCAGGGTACGGTAGCCAGGGTACGGGGGTACGATAGTCGGGGTACGGTAGTTGGGCTACGGTAGCCAGGGTACGGTAAATTTAGCGATTACTATTTAAATCTGTTTAGAACTCTAAGTTGTGCTCCAGATTGTAGAGTCCTTTATTGGTGGCCTTTAAAATCCAGCCTAGGCTTTGAAAATGCTCCAGCTACCGTAGCTCGACCATATAAATCCGGATTACGGTACATAGAAACCTTAGCTACCGTATACCTGCTTAGAGCTCTAAGTTGTGCTCCAGATCTTAGAATCCACCCATTCGTGGCCTCTAAAATCCAGCCTAGGCTTTGAAAATGCTCCAGCTACCGTAGCTCGACTATATAAAGCCAGATTACGGTAAATAGAGACCCTAGCTACTGTATACCTAGATAATTTCATATCTAACCTGATCACTGGCAAGTGCTGTCCTAATGCCAGCTTCGCGGCCACATACGCTAGTGGGTAGCCGGTGGCTTTCGAGGCGAGTGCCGACGAGCGCGAGAGTCGAGCGTTCACCTCGATGATGTAGTACTGGAATCGAAATTTTGAGCTAATCTCCCATCAATCTGGAGGTCACACGACCTTTTGGAGCTAAAATCTGAATAGATTACCTGCAACGAGTCTGGGTCGAGCGCGTACTGGATGTTGCACTCGCCGATTATGCCAAGGTGCCGGATGACCTAGAAATTGCCTAATTGCGTTCTGTGAGCTCCAGATCGAGTAAAAACACCCTTTCTGGCGCATTGGTGGCCTTGGTGGCTGAGAAAATGCGTTAAACAGAGTTCGCGAGGAAACCTCTGCGCCAAAGTGAGCTAGTGTGCCAGAAAGGGTATTTTTGCTCGAGCTGGAGGTCACCGAGTAGTTCGAAGTACCTTGATCGCACAAGTTCTCAGCATATTGTATTCTTGATCGCTGAGGGTTTGCGACGGAGCGACGACCACCTAGGAAATAAAAAAATGGAAACTAAAGCCAAAAAAATTTACCGATTCTCCTGTGTGAATGCCTAAAGGATCGATATTCTCCATGTTGCACACGGTAATGCAATTGTCATAGGCATCGCGGACGACTTCGTACTCGATCTGAAGGTTGGATTGATTTCGTTTGAATTTCTCGGAAATACAAGGAGAAAGTCTATTTTCTAATGAATGGAAACTCGATTCTGGATGTCACAGCATCGATAAATGCTAGTTTCAAAGTGTACATGTGAATTTCAAGCGTCCATAGTAGCACGTTGTAGTCTTCATTAAAATCGAAAATTTTAGCATTTTTTTTCAATGAGCTTCTAGAGTGCGTTCCAGATTGGCTATTTTTCGAAAAAAAAACCGTTTCCCAACCCTTAGGCACTGCTAGAAGTGCCAGCTACTTTACTTTCCTTCAGCATGCTACTTTCTCGGAAATACAAGCAGAAATCCCATATTCTGATGAATGGAAACTCGATTCTGGATGTCACATCACCAATAAATGCTAATTTTAAAGTGCATATGCTAATTTTAAAGATTTCAAAGTGTCCATAGTAGCACGTTGTAGTCTTCATTAAAATCGAAAATTTTAGCATTTTTTTTCAATGAGCTTCTAGAGTGCGTTCCAGATTGGCTATTTTTCGAAAAAAAAAACCGTTTCCCAACCCTTAGGCACTGCTAGAAGTGCCAGCTACTTTACTTTACTTCAGCATGCTACTTTGTCCACTTTGTCAATCCTCAGCACTCACCTCTTTCCATCCCTTCAGACTTTTGTCAATTAAGACTTGATTCGATGCGGCAAGGGCTCTCTTCGTGATCTCCTCTAACTCGACTCGATTCGACGCAAAGCCTGAGCCAAGTCCGCCAAGGCAATACGCGGCGCGGACAAGCACCGGGTAACCGAGCTGAAATTTCGCGTTTAGAGATGATTGATGGAGTCTTAGAGTGTTCTGGATGTCATTCTGGATATCACCCTAGAGTACTAGAATGTCTAGAGGGTATCTGGGTACTATAAAAGAGTACTGAAAGACAAAATCTGTTCTCGAAGCTGTAAATAGACGAGGGATCGCCAACTCTAGATTCTTCAAAAGAAAATCACTATTCTGGAAGTCACACTGACTGAGGAAGATATAAAAACAGTTGCTTATCATTAGAAATTTTTTGGGATTACGGTAGTCGGGACATGATTTAGAAAATATTGTCAAATTTTGAAATTTGCATAATTCTTTTGTCTCAAAGGCTACTGTGACTTCCAGATTAGGAGAAAAGATGAAAAACTGCTGCTTATCATTGGAAATCTCTTGGGATTACGGTAGTCGGCATAATCGTCTAGACGCTATCTAGTCTAGACGACTAAAGCCACGATAATCTTTGACTTTGACCTGTTCGGCTGCTTCAATCGCTCCTTCCAGTGTCGTAGCGGCTTTGCTTGGCGCCACTTGTTCTCCAATGGATTGCATTTCGAAGTTGAACCTCTCTCGATCCTCAGTGTTCATGATCGTTTGAATCTGGGTTCCAAGCACCTAAAGATTTCCAGTTTATAGTGTGACTTCCAGATGAGAGAAAACTTTAAGAAATGATGGCTAAACGTCATTTCATTACCTGTACATTGTACTGATCGAAGACGCCGTCTTTGTAAAGATCGATGGCACAATTGAGCGCTGTCTGGCCACCAAAAGTGCAGAGAATGCCGGTAGGACGCTCTTTTTTAATCACCTAAAAGAGATTTAACGGTAGAAATGGAAACAGAAGGCCTCTAGAAGGCCTAGAAGACCTTCAGAAGGCCTAGATGGTCTCCATAAGGCCTAGAAGGCTTCCAGAAGGCCTAGAAGACCTCTAGAAGACCTAGAAGGCCTCCAGAAGGCTTCCAGAAGGCCTAGAAGCCTTCTGGAAGGCCTAGAAGACCTCTAGAAGACCTAGAAGGCCTCCAGAAGGCCTAGAAGGCCTCCAGAAGGCCTAGAAGGCCTCCAGAAGGCCTAGAGGCCTACTTCCAGAAGGCCTAGAGGCCTCCAGAGGCCTAGAGGCCTCCAGAGGCCTAGAAGGCTTCCAGAAGGCCTAGAAGGCCTTCAGAAGGCCTAGAAGGCCTCCAGAAGGCCTACAAGGCCTCTAGAAGGCCTACAAGGCCTCCAGACGGCCTAGAAGGCTTCCAGAAGGCCTAGAAGGCCTACAAGGCCTCTAGAAGGCCTACAAGGCCTCTAGAAGGCCTACAAGGCCTCCAGACGGCCTAGAAGATCTCCAGAAGGCCTAGAAGGCCTCCAGAAGACCTAGAAGGCCTCCAGAAGGCCTAGAAGGCTTCCAGAAGGCCTACAAGGCCTCCAGACGGCCTAGAAGATCTCCAGAAGGCCTAGAAGATCTCCAGAAGGCCTAGAAGGCCTCCACAAGGCCAAAACCGATTCTTGACCGACTTCTAAGCATCCCTGGCCGCCTCTGCCCTTCTGTAGTCTATAAAAACTCACATCAGTTACATACTCCTTCGTAATTGCTAGGAAATTCGTCTTGTCAGCAAATCCTTTGATCGTTTGAACGGTGGCCACATTCGGGTTGATTAAAACTGACTGAATTCCCTCTTCGCGAAGAGCTTTCAAAGCCTGAATTTGAATTTGAATTTTTAAATAAATAAATGAATTTTTGGAGTTTTGTCTTGTAGTCTAATGAAATTAGAAAATCCTAAAATACTTAAAAACAGATTTCCGTGGCTTGCCATAGAAAGCAAAACAATTTTTGGTGGTAAAGGGATTCGAAGCAGGCTCGATGGTCCGAAGCTCAGACCGTGAGCCAAGGCCACTATCCACTGCGCCAACCGGTCACTATGTGCCCCCTCCAATTTCGCCTTCTAACGCAACATCTTGGTTTTTTGACAACTTTGAGGCTATTTTTAAGTAGTTTAACTTAAACATTACCAGTTTTAAAATAGATATTTGGAATCTACGTTTCAAGGCCTATTGAAGAATAGTTGAAAGAGCAAAGGGAAGTTGGGAAAGTTCCTTAGGGTTACTCTGAATCATTTGCCTAATTGGAAAAAGGGATAGGGTTGAGATGAAAACTTTCTTTCTTTGCTTTTCTCTTAGTTGGAACGCACACTATATTTTAGAGTATTCAGCTTTTACCAAGAACCTTTTTTTAAAAAAACGAGTGGGAAGCCGGATCATTTGGCCAGCTTGAATAGAGGGATAGGATTAAGATGAAAACTTTATTTCTATCTTTTTCTCTTAGTTGGAACGCACACGACATTTTAAACTATCCAGCTTTTAGCTAATCACATTTTTACTGAAGGTACATTTGGGGATACGGTAACCGAGCTCGGGTTTTTAGAAAACAAAAGAAAACAGCTAATATTATAAAGCTAAGATTTCAAGCTGGAACGCACACGACATTTTAAAGCATTCAGTTTTATAGTACTGTTGACTGGAAGCTACCCTACACCACTGTACTGTTGACTGGAATATTTTGACTGGAATCTCCCTCAATTTCTAGTCAGCAACTCTCACCTGTGCTCCAGAATAATCAAATTCTCCGGCTTGTCCAATCGTCAATCCTCCAGATCCCAAAACGAGCACTTTTTTTTGTTCATTCACTTTGTAGTCAGTCGAATAGGTGAGTGTTGAAGTGATCACTTCATCAACGCTAAAAAGAAAAGGTTAAATAAATCTAGAGCAGTTACTCTAGAGTTACTCTAGAGCAGCTACTCTAGAGTTACTCCAGTTACTCTAGAGCAGTTCCTCTAGATCAGTTACTCTAGCAAATCCCTCACCAAATCAATCTCCCTCCCTTTGCTGCTTTCACTGAATCGATAAAGATATCAAAGAGAAATTCGCAATCGGTTGGCCCAGCGGTGTGTTCAGGATGGAATTGGACACTAAAAGAATAAGGTAAATTAGCATGTTGAAGTAAAGTAAAGTAGCTGGCACTTCTAGCAGTGCCTAATGGTTAGGAAACGGTTTTTTTTTTCGAAAAATAGCCAATCTGGAACGCACACTAGAAGATCATTGCAAAAAAATGCTAAAATTTTCGATTTTAATGCAGACTACGATGCGCTACTATGGACACTTTGAAATCTTTAAAATTAGCATATACACTTTGAAATTAGCATTTATTGGTGATGTGACATCCAGAATCGAGTTTCCATTCATCAGAAAATGGGATTTCTGCTTGTATTTCCGAGAAAGTAGCATGCTGAAGTAAAGTAAAGTAGCTGGCACTTCTAGCAGTGCCTAATGGTTGGGAAACGGTTTTTTTTTTCGAAAAATAGCCAATCTGGAACGCACACTAGAAGATCATTGCAAAAAAATGCTAAAATTTTCGATTTTAATGCAGACTACGATGCGCTACTATGGACGCTTGAAATTAGCATATACACTTTGAAATTAGCATTTATTGGTGATGTGACATCCAGAATCGACTTTTCACTCACCTGAACATGGGCTTCGTCTTGTGGACAATGCCCTCATTCGTTTGATCGTTTTCGTTGACGAACAAGGGCCTCCAGTCGGCGCTGAGCGTTTTCTCGTCAACCTGAATCGATTTTTAGCGTATCTGCGAGGCACACAGGCTTTAGAGATCAAAAGTTTATTTATAGATTACTAGAAATTTTTTCACTCACCGCAAAACCGTGATTCTGACTGGTGATGTAGCAACGGCCGGTGCCCTGGTGGGTGCACGGCTGATTGTGGCCTCGATTACCGTATCTGAATAGACTGGGGTACTGTAGAAATGATAGTGTTAGGGTGTAGAGACCCTGGGGATACTGTAGAACCCTGGAGGGTCTGTGAGCTGACCGTGTGGAGACCGACTACAGTAACCCTACAGTAACCCTGTCTTTTTCTATATCCAAAGGGTCTCGTGACACCCAGGATTTATCATACAGGTGTTGGATTTGCGAAAAAGTAAAGGAAACTGGCAAATCCAAGCCTGGACCCTGAAGGCCCTGACCCTGTGAAGACCGGCTACAGTAATCCTGTACTTGTCTATTCCAAAGGGTCTCGTGACACCCAGGATTTATCATACAGTTGTTGGATTTGCGAAAAAGTAAAGGAAACTAACAAATCCAGCCTCGAACCCTGAAGGCCCTGACCCTATGAAGACCGGCTACAGTAATCCTGTCTTTTTCTATATCCAAAGTGTCTCGTGACATCCAGGATTTATCATAAGATTATTGAATTTGCAAGAAAGTGAAAGAAATCAGCAAAATCTAACCTCAACTTGTACGTGGTGGCCCCTGTGGCCCTGGCCAACAATTGATGTCCAAGACAGATTCCGAAAATCGGTTTCTCTCCCTTTTCGATGATTTTCGCGATTCGATTGACGAGAATCGAGCACTTTTCCGGATCACCGGGGCCATTTGAGAGGAAGAGGCCATCGTAGTCTGAAAGTGGATATAAAATTAACACAGTACTTGTACAAAACGTACTATAGACGTTAATCTATCGCTACAGTAACCTTTCTACAGTTATCTAGAGTTCTACAGTCATTTTACTTTAGTATTCTACAGAAAATTTGACAGTAACGGATGCTGGAGGGGCTGAGGGCCCTGGGGGCCCTGGGGACCCTGTGAGGACCGGCTACAGTAATCCTGTACTTATCTATGCCAAAGGGCTTCGTGACATCCAGGATTTATCATACAATTGTTGGATTTGAGGAAAAGTGAAGGAAGCCAGCAAATCCAGCCTCGGACTCTGGAGGGCTTGGGAACCCTCTGAGGCCGGCTACAGTAATCCTGTACTTATCTATTCCAAAGGGTCTCGTGACATCCAGGATTTAGTATACAGTTGTTAGATTTGCAAGAAAGTGAAGGAAATCAGCAAATCCAGCCTCGAACCCTGAAGACCCTGGGACCCTGTAGCCAACTACAGTAATCCTGTACTTATCTATTCCAAAAGGCTTCCTGACATCCAGGATTTATCATACAGTTGTTGGATTTGCGATTTTCCAATTTTTTGATAGGATTTAGCATAGTTAAGACACTTTTGAGCAAATTTATTAAAAAAACGACTTTTAACTGATCGAAAAACTCATCGAAAAACGGCTTTTAACTGGCCTACCCTGTTCCTCGTCGATCGGATGATCCCAGGGAACGACTTTCACGATAACTCCCCTCTTCGCTAAACAACGGATTTGATTATTTTTCAATCCGCAATCCACTGCCAACACTTTCAGTTGACCTGTGCCGAAGATTGAGGGCTCCTGGAAGAGATTTGTGATACAGTAACCCACAGTAACCCACCTTTCTCGACACCTCGGTCACGAGATTCTCGGCGTTGATATCAATGTAGTCGAATTTCTCAGCATCGTCCGTTTCGATGACAATCTGAAAATTTCAATAAGCTTTTGCTTTTACATTTCCATGTTTTTCTCTTAGTTGGAACGCACACGACATTTTAAAGTGTTCAGCTTTTCGCTAATCACATTTTTACTGAAGGCACATTTGTGGATACGGTCACAGAGCTCGGGTTTTAGAAAACGTTAGAAAACTGTTGATATCATAAAGCTAAGATTTCAAGCTGGAACGCACACGACATTTTAAAGTATTCAGTTTTTAGCTAATAACGATTTTACTGTAGGGTAGGACCAGCGTTACGATGGTAGGGGTTATTTTAGAAAGGAGCAATGTAATCAATTATTGGTATAATAAAAGTCTAATCTGGAACGCACACGACATTTTAAAGTACTCAATTTTTAGCCAATGACATTTTTACTGCAGGCACATTTGTAGATACGGTCACAGAGCTCGGGTTTTAGAAAATAACAGAAAACTGCTAATATAATCTAGCTTACATCGCAAGCTGGAACGCACGCTATATTTTAAAGTATTCAGCTTTTATCTAGCACAATTATCTAGCATTTTTCACAAACACTTTATTTTAAAGCATTTAGTTTTTAGATCTCTGATCTTAAAAAGATCGAAAAACAAGTTTGGCCGAAAAGGGATTCGAACCAGGCTCGACGGTCCGAGGCTCAGACCGTGAGCCAAGGCCACTATCCACTGCGCCAACCGGTCACTGTGTGCCCCCTTCAATTTCGCGTTATAAGGCAACATCTTGGTCTTTCCACCTCAACTTTGAGGCTATTTTTAAGTAGTTTAACTTAAACATTACCAGTTTTAAAATAGATATTCGGAATCTACGTTTCAACGACTATCGAAGAATAATCGAAAGTGGCAGGAGAAGTTGGGAAAGTTCCTTAGAGTTATCCTGAATCATTTGGCCAACTTGAATAGAGGGATAGGGTTAAGATAAAAATTTTATTTCTTTGCTTTTCTCTTAGTTGGAACGCACACGACATTTTAAAGTATTCAGCTTTTAGCCAATGACATTTTTCCTTCAAGCACATTTGTGGATACGGTCACAGAGCTGGGATTTTAGAAAACAACAGAAAACTGCTGATATCATAAAGCTAAGATTTCAAGCTGGAACGCACACGACATTTTAAAGCATTCAGTTTTTATCTAGCATCATTTTTTGACGAACACTTTATTTTAAAGCATTTAGTTTTTAGATCTCTGATCTTGATGAGAGCAGACGCTTGGGAAAGGGGAAAGCTGTGAAAAAAAAGTGAAAAAAAAAATGTGATGGTCACTCGCGGTCAGGTCACGATAAGAGAAAGGAAAGTGAAAAAGTGAAGAAAAAAAAAATGAGTGTCTGTTCGTGGGAAGACCGGATCATTTGCCCAACTTGAATGATGGGCAGGGTTGAAAACGAAATCTTATTTCTTCGCTTTTTTCTTAGTTGGAACGCACACGAGATTTTAGCGTATTCAGCTTTTAGCTAATGACATTTTTACTGAAGGCACTTTAGGGGATACGGTAACAGAGCGCGCGTTTTAGAAAACGTTAGAAAACTGCTAAGATAATCAAGCTAAGATTTCAAGCTGGAACGCACACTACATTTTAAACTATCCAGCTTTTAGCTAATGACATTTTTCGCTGAACAGGGTAGGCCGAATCATTTGGCTAACTAGAATAGAGGGACAGAATTCAGATAAAAACTTTATTTCTATATTTTTCTCTTAGTTGGAACGCACACTATATTTTAAACTATCCAGCTTTTCGCTACTGACATTTTTACTGTAAGGGTACGGTAACAGTAGCACACTATATCAAACGAAGCCCACCTTTGCCTTCATCGTTCCCTGTTCGCGGATCTTCTTCGTCAATTGTCGAATGTCGATTCCAGCAAGGCCTGGGACTCCATTTTTGCGTAACCACGTCGATAACGAAGAAAATGATTCCCAATGCGATTCCTCTCCCTCAGGACAGATCCTGAAAAATAGCTGGGACATAGCTTGGGACTTTTGGACGCTAGTGCTTAGCTCTAGCGTACTTTGTGCTTCAGATTCACCTCATCTGGAGGTCACTAGAGCTCTTGAGTGTAAAAGAAAAGGTGATACAGGAAGGCTAAGCTAGGCTATGCTGGCTGGGTAATTAAACCGGCTGCAAGGCTGAGCTGAGCTTCAGGCTGAGCTGAGCTTCCAGGCTGAGCTGAGCTTCCAAGCTGAGCTGAGCTTCCAAGCTGAACTAACCTGTCAACAATCAAAGCTGCCGGCCAGATCCGATCGCTTTCAAAGCCTTTTGGCAATCCGAATTCGTCTTTCTGAAAAAAAAATGGGATTAATCGATTTTGGGTTACTGTACTCTAGTAGAATGATGAGATATTCGGCTTTTAGATTACTGTACACTTGCTGTGCCATCCAGAACCGACCTTGGACGGATCGGGCACTCCGTAGTTGCCGATGAGTGGATAGGTGAGCGTCAAAAGTTGTTTCGCGTACGACGGATCCGTCAACGACTCCACATAGCCGACCATACCCGTTTGGAAAACTGAATCACATCCATTGTTTGAGTTGGGCGAGCTTTAGGCATTAAAGACGGTACAGTAGTCCCTAGACTTGGCAGAAGGGCCAACGTAGTCCCTAGACTTGGCAGAAGAGCCACCGTAGCCCCTAAACTTAGCAAAAAGGCCACCGTAGTCCTACCAGTAAGTGCGAGTGCTAGTGGTTTTTGTAAATTGATGGAAACTCAATTTGATTTCTCTCGGAAACCCCAAGTTGCCTTCCAGCTTGAAAGTTTGTTTTGGAGTTTTTCGAGATCTCGAGATTTTCATCTTAAAACAGAGGCTCGAAATTTCGCCATGGAAAGGTGATTTTTGAAAATTGATGAAAACACGATTTCATTTTCTCGGAAACTCTAAGTTGCCTTCCAGCTCGAAAGTTTTGTTTTGGAGTTTTTCGAGATCTCGAGATTTAGAGCCTAAAACATCAACTCGAAATTTTGCCACCCTACCGATCTCGCCAACGGTGCTCTTCGTGGCGCCGAAGATGTGCCCTTGGAATTTCGATCCATCATCCAAATACAAAGTGGCTTTCATTGTCTCCCAAGACATCAAATAGCAAGATAAAAACAAGGATGACCCGTGATATCTGAAAAATTAGCATTTAAGAAAAATTTGAATTTAAGAAAAATTAGCATTTAAAGAAAAAGCATTTAAGAAAAATTAGCCTTTAAGAAAAAGCCTTTAAAAAAAATTAGCATTTATGAAAAAAAGCACATAGATCATTTTACATAGAATCAAGATTCTAGCTGACTAGTTATTTAGTGTGACATCCAGATCGGTGAAAAAATGTAGCAAACAAATATTTACTTATAAGGTTTACGAGAAATTTGCATAGCTAAAGTCTAGAGTGTTAAAGTTTACAGAGTGCTTGAAATATCTCAACTTCTCGATGGGGAAATCTGTGCTGCGTTCCAGCTAAGCGAATGCTACGGTTAAAGAGCTCAAAGAGAAGGCTAAAATTTCGGTGAACATAGAAAATATGAAGCTTGGGCATGAAAAAATTTAGATGATCAAAAAATGGGGAACTTTTTTTGATGGAAATTATTTGGTGCGCTCCAGATTGTAGAATGCTAAAGTTTCGGTATTACTTTAGGCCATTAAAAATCCGAAAAACGTTTAGTTTCCGAAACAGAGGGGGGAAAACAGACTTTCTATTTGTGAAAAACATGTGCCCTGAAAAAAGCGGATGACCACAGGGGAGAAGATTTGAGAAGATTTGAGGAGAGGTGAGAGAAACAGAGAAATGGAGGAAGGGAGAGACGGGGGTGAAAGGGAAAGGGGCAGCCTAGAGCCCGCAGAAGGAACTGACCCGGGGAACCCCCTTGGAGTTTGAGATTTAGCGGATTTTTTTTGGGTTTATCGGCGATCTGGAGCGCACTCTGGGTTCTACAAAAATTGGAAGAGGATTGGAGAGATTTTGAAATTTTCAGGTATTGGGTTACGGTAGTTGGGGCACATTTTAGAAAATTGTCAAATTTCGGAATTTGCATAATTTTTTTGCCTCAGAATCTAGTGTGCGTTCCAGATTGTGCAAAAACAAGGAAAAGAAGAGAAAAATAGTAGAAAAAATTTCGAAAAAGCTCTTAGAAAGGTTTTTGAAGGAGAAAAGGGTTTTTTTGTTGAGAAAATATGGTCGAAAAAACTGTTTTTTGATTTTTTGATTTTAAAATAACATCTCGTAGGATCTTTTTATGTAAAAAGATTGAAAAGAAGAAATATTTTGTCTATGGATACGAGCGATGACCGGAAAGATAAAGGAAATGGTGAAGAAAAAAAAACGGCATTTGGGTGATCTTTTGAGCAGAAAATCTTCCTGAAATACACTTTGTACTTGGGAAATTTCGAAATACAGCTTTTCTGGCAAAGTGAAAGAGAACTGGAGACTGAAAGAGAACTGGAGGCTTTTATGAAGCCTAAGCCTAAGCCTAAGTCTAAGCCTAAGCTCACCGTAACCCTGTTCTTTGTAGTATACTGTACATGTACATGTACATGCCAATCTAGTACATGGAACAGGACTGATCGAATTTTCCGTTGCAAAAAAAGTGAAATCTGAAGTCTAAAAATTTTTTCTGAAGCAAGAAATGACCAATCTGGATGGCAGACTAGATTTTCTAACAGTTCAAAGAGCTGGAATGGTACTTTTACAATTGGAATGGTACTTTTTACAAGTAGCTCGTTGAGATCTGCTAATTTATGTAGGGAAAATTGGGTCTCAAAAAAATCTAACAAGTTTTTTGTTCATTCTGGATGTCACAAAAGCTAAAAATCTAAAGAAAACAGCTAGATGCCACTGAAAAATTTGGATAAAGAAGTCTGTTAGAGGACGGGGGATTTTTGTGGGATCACTGTGGGACTGGGTCGAGTTTGTGGGAGCACAAAATCGGTTGGGATTGGGTCGAGGGATTTTTGGCAATCCTGGGTGTCACGTAAGGTAAAAATTAACTAAATATCAATAAAATGTTAAAATGTTGATAGTTATCTGATTATCAAATATCCAAGTCTGGAAAACACATCTGCCTCACCTTAAATGATAATTGACGATCAAAATTGGCTAAAGAAATGATTTATGGACGTTGATAAGGTTTATCAAAGTGCCGGTGGCAATTTTTGGTGATAAAATTGAATTTGCTAGGGGGGATTTATGATCTTTTGATAATTTTAAAGAAAAAAAAAGACAGAGATCAGATAATTGGGTGAATGTTTTAAAAGAAAAATGAAAAATTTGGAAAAAAAATAGCTGCCGTAATACCTGGTATTATCGAGAAAGCACTTTTGAAAAAACCCTGACTCCTGGGAACCATTTTTCCTACTAGCCAGCCAGGTCAGGACCTAGCCAGCCAGGTCAGGCTAGACTAGAAGGCAGGTTTAGCTCTCGTTAGTGGTTGCCAAGCCAAGCCAAGTAAGCCAAGCCAAGTAAGCCAAGCCAAGCAAGGCCAGCCAGGACCTGACTTTTATCCTAACCTGGTCGTTACGCAAAACTACAAAATTATCTCATTGATCTATAAAATCTCATTGAAATGAAAACATCAAAAGCTTTCATTTTTTTGATGGTAGCTGTTGCTTTCCTGTCTTTTTGATGAAAGTTTTTTCATTCCAAAGAATTTTATCAATCAAAACATAACATTTTATTCATAAAACAACAAACCATTCAATTTTGTTGGGCCAACAAAAGGTTGTTAGTCGTAGCAAGAATCAAGCGGCTGATCGCATTCATCGTTTCTTCATAAAGCCGACACAACGTAGCGAGGGTGTGGATTCTGCGATCCGGACTAAAGATAAATAGAAATTATACCGAAATTATCAACAAACCTTCACCAGGACAACAGTGAAAGTTCCCGTCGACGAGTTTTCCAATGTAGTTCTTTGCAAGGAATTTGTAAAATTCAGGTGATCGTGCTCACGAATGCCTTCACGAACTTCAATATTTTCACCTATAAGAAATAAGAATTTTCGGGACTATAGTATTAGATTGGCAACTTGAAAGTTTGTACACTTATTCATTGCACTTTTTAGAAATAACTATTGGGTTGTCCAGTTATGGATGCGTGTTTTTACTATTTTGTAAATTTCTCAAGATATCGAACAGATGTATATGAATGTGATATATCATTCGAAAGCTGAAGATCTCCTCTACATTTTGGAATAAAAAAGTTTTTGAATTCATTCAACTTTTTGGGAAATTGACTGCACAAAGAAGAGGTCGTTTTCGAAAAAACCCATTCCAGCGTAGCTATTCCTGAAGTTTTATGGTGTAAAATAACCGCCCAGAAAAAGAAAAGAAAAGTAAAGATGCTCTGAAATTGTTATATTTTAAAAAAAGTTGTATTGATATATCTATTGGCCAAACATCAAACGGTTAACTCAATTTGAGCGGAGCCAAAACTTGATCCAAAGGCACCCTTCCATTTTTTGGCCACCTCTTCTTCTGTGCAGTCAATTTGCCCAAAAGCTGAACAAATTCAAAAACTTTTTATATTAAAATGTAGAAGAGATCTTCAGCTTTCGAATAATACTCATATATATCTTTTTCTTGATTTCGGTATCTTGAGAAATTTACAAAATAGTAAAAAACGCGCATTCATAACTGGACAACCCTATATTATAAATAAAAGCGATAAAAGCAAAAAGGAGGACCAGGCAAATATTAATTTTTTTGAAAAAATTGTTAATTCTTTGCAAATGGGACATTACTTTTGTGGAGCTATTTGTTAAGTAACTTATTGTTTTTATTTTATACTTTAATTTTTCTGCAATTTATACGGATAAATCTTATAATCCTGAAAAGTAGAGTATTATGGGTAAGCAAAATACCCTACACTTTTTGGGAATATCGTTATTTTGCAAGATTTTCGTACGAAAGAAACTTTTGGATGGCAATGGGATAATACATTTGTGGGCCACTGTAACTATATAACTTTTATTTAGAGAAGTTTAATTCAGTTGGCGTATTAAATATGTTTTATGGGAAATACGAAAAAGTGTACCAACTTTCAAGTTGTCAATCTAATAGTTGGGAATGGCAAAAAAATTTTTTCGCCAAATAATCTGATTTTTTGCACCCAAGTGTTTTTGACTATGTTGAATCGATTGGTGATAGTTTCACACAACATTTCGCAGCTTTTAACGACGTTTATAACAAATAGCAACAAAAATAACAACAAGTTACCAGTTACCAACAAGTAACAAGTTACTAGGACATCTTGTGCCTTTTATAGAACTTTCCTAAAAAGTCGAAACTCGTTTTTCTAATTCCAACTTGGAAAAGCGTTTCATCTGCTCGTTAGTTTGCTCGAAACACGTTAGTTTCATCTGCAAGTAGTCTTGAATGTTGTTAAAAGTTGTGAAATGTTGTATGGAACTATCACCAATCGATTCAGCATAGTCAAAAACCCCTAAGTGCAAAAAAATCAGCTTATTTGGCAAAGAATAATAGAATTTCTTTGCAAAGGCAAAGAAAATTTTTGCTCCCCCTACTATAGCACCGAATTTTCACTTTCATAACGTATAAAATTTCAGTTAAACTATAAATTAGTACCTGGAAATCGGTCCTTTGGTCCGAGTGTTCTTGTGGAGTCGAAATTCGAAGCCGCTCGCGTCATAAAACACTTCTTTATTCCTGTTAGATCGAAGCGTGCCCGACAAAATTCTAAAAACAAACAAATTACTATAGGAGAATACTTTCTAGATAGACTGCTGGCAACTTTATTCCGTAAATACTGTAATAGTACCCCAACCTCCTCGTACAGCCGCGTAGTCGCAAAAGTTTTTTAGTAAATGATAAAGAAAAGCTCAAGAAAAGTCAATCGTTTTGCTTGCTGTTGATCTTGTTGATGTTTAGAGCTTTACTTAAGAGCTTGCTTAATAGCTTAAGAGCTTGCTTAATGGCTTAACAGCTTAGTTAACAGCTTAACAGCTTAGTTAACAGCTTAACAGTTTAGTTAACAGCTTAACAGCTTAGTTAACAGCTTAATAGCTTAGTTAACAGTTTAACAGCCTAGTTAACAGCTTAACAGCTTAGTTAACAGCTTAGTTAACAGCTTAACAGCTTAGTTAACAGCTTAACAGCTTACCGTAAATACTGTAATAGTACCCCACCCCCCTCGTACAGCTGCGTAGTCGCAAAAGTTTTTTAGTATTTTGTTAATCAAAGCTTTTTTCAAAGCGCCCGTACTTTCAAAAAATGCGTTTTTGGTATCAAGCCCTGAATTTCAGCTATTTTTTGATACCTAAGCGCGCATTGTAGCATAAACCAGTGTCGAGAAAAACTCGTTCAAAGCTAGACGACGCAACACTCCGTACCGTCATTAATGGGGGTGGGGTACTATTACAGTATTTGCGGTAGGTGTAAAACGCAAAAAGAAAGTGTACCTTGATCGAGTTGGTGTCACCTTCCGAGCTACTTAAAGTCGATTCGCAACTAAAAAAGCAATTATGGTAAATCCATAAAAAGAAAAAGTAAAACATTCAAAAAGTGAATAAGTGGGGCTAAAAACGATTGTGTGGGTCTAGGGCAGTTATAATGGGAGAAAAGGTGCGCAAATGATCAGGTGCGCGAATGTTCAACTGCGCAAAAAGGTAGCATTTATCTCATTCGCCAAAAAGCGCTAAAACCGTTTTCTAAAACGTGGACAATAACGTAGTGCGTCAAAAACGCGACAAAATGTAACTGGATACCGTAAACTAGTTACCAAACGGGCTAGGCTAATTCCCGACATTTTATTTGCGCAACTCACCATAACTTTGTTCTAAATGCGCCAATCTTTATGATTTTGGTGTTATTTTGTTGCACTTATTGAAATCTACAAAATGACACCAAAATCGGTACTGTTTTTCCCCCCTAACATCAGAGATTTTTTCACCAGAGAGAACCTTTAGATCCAGTCAGACTCCGACTGTTGCACGAAATGAAGTTTCAACTGCAGCTTTCAACTTTTCCTGGAAACTGAGCGGTTTCCTAGTTTCCTAGTGGTTTCCTACTTTCCTAGTGGTTTCCTACTTTCCTAGTGGTTTCCTACTTTCCTAGTGGTTTCCCAGTTCACCTGTGGTAGGCCAAAAAAAACTAGCAAGCTAGACGAAAGGGGGAAAATGTGTTTCGTTGAACCGCGTTTCGTCTGGCTTGCGAGTTTTTTTGGCCCACCGCAGGGAAACCACGTGATTCGCCGTTTTCCAGAGAAGTTTTTCAACTCGGAAAAAATCTCTGATGTTAGGGGAGAGGGGGACAGCAGAAGTATCGGTACTTTTCCAATATCGAGGGAGCGGTCCGATTATCGGGGGAGGGGTTTTTACAAAAACGTTGCCGTTAAAATCCATTCCTGGAAATGCATTTTTCGTGGGGGCAAAATTTGCTCCCCTGATTTTCATTTCGCTCCCTCGATAATCGGACCGCTTCCCCGATATTGGAAAAGTACCGAAAGTTATGGCGAGTTGCGCAAATAAAATGACCGAAACGGCTAATTTAGACTACTCCATAGAAAGACGAAATTTGCTGGGGCCATTTCTTTGGCCAACTTTTTAAGGAAAACCCCACGTTTTGTCGAATTTTGTCTTTTTTTGGCTCAAAAAACGTCATTTTATCGAATTGTGAACGGTTTTATGTATGTTAAAGCGCTCTAGAACGGTTTTTGATCGAATTGTTGGCTGTTTAAGCCGTAAAAACAAGCGAAATTTGGGAGTGGGACAAATGCTACCTTTTTTTTGCGCACCCGGACATTTGCGCACGTTTTTCTGCGCACTTAGCCCATTAGCGCACCTTTTTTCGCGTTTTAAAAAACATCTAAAAGCTAATATTAACCAGTTTCTATTCCAAAAGTTGTTTTTCTAGGTAATTTGAGGGCGTAGAATCGAAATTTTGGCATATCAGAGCTTGTGGAAGCGAACGGACCGAGTTATACAAAAAGAAGAATCAATTTTCAACAGCAACAATTTTCTGTAATTTGACCTAGCCGTTTTGTCTTTCAAATTGGTTTGTCTCTTGTATAACTCGGTCCGTTCGCTTCCACAAGCTCTGATATGCCAAAATTTCGATTCTACGTCCTCAAATTACCTAGAAAAACAACTTTTGGAATAGAAATTGGTTAATATTAGCTTTAAAACGCGCAAAAGGTGCGCTAATGAGCTAAGTGCGGAAAAAAAGGTGCGCAAATGTCCGGGTGCGCAAAAAAAAGGTAGCATTTGTCCCACTCCCGGAAAAACCCACGTTTTGCCGAATTTTGTCTTTTTATCGAATTGTGAACGGTTTTATGTGTGTTAAAGCGCTCTAGAACGGTTTTTGATCGAATTGTTGGCTGTTTAAGCCGTGTTAAGCTGTTAAAACAAGCGAAATTTATACGAATCGCGTATTTTAATTGTTGAAATACCTTCATTCTTCTAGATGGATGCATTTTTCCTTTAAAACATCGATTCTATAGCCGAATTGGTTTGCAAAGCTTTGAAAAGTGCTAACTTTTGTCAAAATTCGGTACTTTCTTGGAGTTGAAGTGTTTTTTGTGTAGTAAATTTATTCGTTTTGAAGTTTTCTTGGAGTTGAAATGGTTTTAACGGTCAAATTTTTGCTTTTTGTCACTAAAAACTGGAAAGCCGTGTAATTTTAGCGCTTTTCGTCCTTGTAACCTTGTAATCCGTATTTTCGTGCAATTGAGATGATTTTAGTGACCAAATTTATCGGTTTTAAAGTTTTCTTTGAGTTGAAATCGGTTTATCGGTTATTTTTAAGCTTTTTCTCACTGCAACCCTTTCAAAACAAGAAATACACTTGATCAATGGCTTTATCATCACTTTATCATTACTAAAATCTTTCAAAAGATCCAAAACTTTGTAGAATTTGCGAAGTTGAAACTTGTTGCATTTTGATTTGTGTTTTTGATTCGTTTTCCGGCTTAATTTTTATCTTAAACAATCTTTTTTTCATTTCAGATATGGCTAATGCAACAAGTAAGCCGTATGCCTGGTTGATGCCCGTCGAACAGAAGGAACCAAGTAACAACAACAATAGAGAGCTGAAAGAAGGGTCGAAGACGATGCGCGTGAAGGGAAAACGACAGCGATCAAACGAGGGCAAACGTTCGGCGAAGCGAGTTTCGTCAAAAAGAGCGCTCCATCGTTCTTCCGCAATCTCCCCACAAGTCCAGTCACTCCAAGAAAGGTTTGTTGCTTGGTTTGATGTAAATTGGGCTAAATTCAACGAAGTTAGAAACTTGGTTTAATTTTAGTGCTATAGTTGGGGAGGGGGGCAGTGTACATTGATCTCTATTAAACCAGAGCGGACTAATTTTCGCTTCTAGGGTTTAATGGCGATCAATTCTAATGGCGTAGATTCTTAATTCGGTATTTATTTAAACTTTAGTGACTGTTTTCTAGCTATTTCAAGCAGTTACTGAGGTTTTAAGCCTTTTAATTCGGTCTCAGACCTCTAAACCCAAGTGGAAATAGGAGATAGAAATAGGAATTAGGAAATAGAGCTCTTGAGGGCTCGGAATTGTTGCTTAAACTGACATAAAAGTTCAGAATTGTTCAGAATGCTTTATAAATGCTTCCAATGGATTCAGTGCAATTTATTATCCCAGAAAAAGTTTTTAAAACTGATGGCAAGCTTGAAAAACTGGTGTGTACAAACTGCCTTTCCAACAACTATAGCAGGATCTTTTGAAGTCTATCATACTTTAAATTCATTGTTTAGCAATGTTGCAGTTTGTTGCTGTTTACACTTACTTGCTCTTTCGCAAAGCTTCGCACAGCAGGCTTGGTTAAGCTTAATTCTGTTTATTCCATCTATTTAGCTTGCTACATAAGCATAGACATCTAAACTCAAAACCAAACTTCAGCTAAGTCTTTGATATTAGTCGGAACTTTCGTATTTAGTTTGAAATAATATCTTTTGACATTTAGAATGCTTTATCAGTCAAACAGACTCTTCCAAATCAGCAAATGGATGAGAAGCTACCACCCGATGTTATCGATTTGTCCCTCTCGTCGGATGAGGAGTGGATGAACGAGGTGTTAAACGATGATTTTGAAGAAAATAAGGTAAATCGGGTCGGCTAAATCAACGATGACGGTCCAGACCCAAAAGCCCAAACATTGAAACAACAAGAAATGGAGTTTTAGGTTTGGACCGTCATCGTTAATTTAGCCATCTGGTCGTACATGACTAGGCCGGCAGTAGTTCCGTAAAGAAAAAGTGTGGAAGTTTTAATTGGTTCCAAGAGTCTGAAACATGTTTAAAACAAATATTAGCTGGTGTTATTAAAGAAATTGCAATGTTTTACAAAATTTTAACTTTAGGACAAGCTTTCGGATGAGAAACTCTGTGCTAAAGACGATGCTGATGCGACGGTTGTTGATGAACAAAAAGAAGAGGAGACTTTTGAGGAAGCGATTGAAGAAAAAGTGAGTATTGACATTCGTTTGATTAACTTGACTCTTTTGAGCCAGCCACACCACCACCAACACCAGAGGAGATAAAGGATGACTTGTCGACTATCAAAGAAGATGAAGAGTTCGATTCGGAGGATGATGGCTGGGACGATTATAGGGTTGATTGCAAATTGTTGATAGCTGAATGACGGATTTTAGGCTGCACGTGCCACTGGATCCACATCGTTTGGGGTGGAGAAGCCGGTGGAATCTGTCAATGCTTTCGGCACAACTCAAGCGATGGATGGATCGGGTGATCAAAACATGGTGAGTAGAATTAAAAGTACTGTAAAGGATTTGATTTAGAACGTTGTCAAGGCTCCCACTTTTGGAAGAATTCAATCAACTGGTGATCAGGAGCACAAAGAAGTTTGTCGATGTCGAATTGTTATCAAAGTTAAACTTTAGATCCCACCAAAAAGACGATAATCCACCGAAGAAGCAGCAGAAGGACCTCCATCCAATATACTTCGATTTCTCACAGGATGACAACGAAAAGTTGTCCGCTGATGAAAGCGATAAAATGGTAAGAGATTGAGAATTGGTACCTAAAATTGAAAGCTTAGAAGCTCGTCACTACTCAGCCAGAAGAAACAGTTTCTGACGAGGATGATGGATGGGACGATTATCGGGTTTGGGAGCAATTTCGTTTACAAAAATAGAAACTTTTAGGTGATGAACGCACACACAAGTCGCAATATTAACAACAGCAACAAAGCAAAAGAGACGGTGAATGGGGAAAAGACGGCTGCTTTTGGAGTGATACCTGAAAAGATGAACGAATGGATGACCAGAAATGGTTCGAAAGGAGACATTCAAGTATCTAATCAGGTAGGAAAGCTTGGCTAGATGATGAACTTCAGCCCGCTTTAGATGCCTTTCTCACTTGGATCCACTGACATTTCAAAGAATACGCTCAACTGTAGTGGCAACTCTCCCGTGCCGGATATGTGGGGACCTCTGGTTAAAGCTGGCAATGAAAAAAAGGTTGGCTTTTTTTTGTCTAACTACAACTTTGTAATCGTTTAGTCTTCAAATTGGGCCGCTAACGAGTTCTTTTCAAAAGGCGACAGTGCTTGGAACAACGCTCTCGTGCGTGAGAAGCCATCAACTCGCGGGCCTTGGCGGGGTAACTATGGCGAGTTTGTGCCCGATTTACCGAAGCGTGAACCGATCGATTCGAAGAGGCAGCTTTTTCATCAAACGTCATCTAATGTGAGTTTAAGTCTTTAAAGCTTTCCTTACCAATATATTCGATTTCAGGTCTTTGGTCTGCCGAGCCCACAAAAGCCGGAGAAACGCATCGCTCGCGAATCGTTGCAAGGTTTTGAGAGGGTTCTCAGGATGAACAAAGCCGTCAACTCGCGTCGAGAGAACAAATTGGCAGAGGTGGTTATTCGCTTGATGTTACTTTGATTTAAAACTTTCTTTAAGAATGCCAAGAAGCTTTTCCAACGTTCGAAGACGCCCGATTCAGAGCCTCACCTATCGCAGCAGTACTTCATGAAGCCTCCTGAGATGAAGCGAGTGCCCTACGAGTCGTTTCTTTCACGAACATTCACACCATCTGATGGTATGTTCTAGTGTTATTATTAGGTTGAACGGAAAGTCTTTAGACACTTTTTAAAAATTCTGTTTAGAAATGATTAATGATTAACGTAAAGTCGGCTTCTTTTTAAGAGTCTATTATTTTTCTACAAAATAACATTATAAGATGCTAGACAGGAGCGCAAAGTCGAATAGTCAAAAAAGCAACGAGCCAAATCCGCAATTCAGCTATTTGGGTCAAGGGAATCCATTTTGAGATCAATAAAGAAAGGAAAGAGCGCAAGAAGTTAGGCATATAGATAAATTTTCAGAAGAATCTGTCCAGCCAATTTTTTTTGTATCACCTTTTATCGAATTTTGCAAAAAAACGAGTTCTGGGGACTAGAATTTGCTTGAAAACGGGTCCAAATTGTCTTAAAAAGATCAAAGAAAAAAGAATAGACATTTTCTATTTGGAGCGAACCGTATGACAATTGGTAAATTTGCCATTTATGCTAGCATAAAAAAGTAACCAAAGACTTTCCGTTCAACCTAATTAATAGTGGTGTTGATCAAACATGAAACTTTAGTTTCAATGATGCCAAAATTCTCGGGCAACAACTACGGAATGAGCGATCGCTTAAACAGCAATCACAACAACAAGGTGCCCTATCCGATGAATTTCGATCCACGACGTGCACAAAATGCGATCACCCCGGGGAAGCGGGCAGGCAGCGAGATGCAAGAAGTCGCACCGTCATCGCGTTCTTATCGTATCATCGAGGGCACTAGACGCTTGTTCAATAGTAAGGAGGTGTGTTTTAGAAGATACTTGGCAAAGTGGAGTTAGATTGACTTGTTAAATACTGTAGAATCTTTTAAGCATAAGTAGTCCTGGAAGTTTTATGGAAAGTGTAACTTGGTAAAGATTTTGAATAGAAGTTAATCTCTAAACTTGACAGTTTCATTAAGTACTAAGCTCCATATCATTCTTGACTTGAATCATTTACTTTTTCACTTTCAGATTCGTGACTTTGTAAGGATGACTGATCAACAGACGTATTACATGCTCGCCGAGGATCTGGCTTTTTTCTAGGAAAAAACAAACATTTTGCGTTCTTCATTTCAGTTCTACCTGTCTCGTCGTTGTTTTGTTTTGTTTTGTTGACTTCTTTCATCAAAAATGATTCGTTTCTTCATTTCTAACACAGGATCATCTATTTTCTTGTTGTTTTACTCCCCTTTTGCCCATATTGTCAAATTGTCAAATTTTCTAGTCTTTAGGCCGACATTGAGTCTATCACACAAATTTGGCACTTGTCTCCAATTTGTTGTTGTCGTTGTTGACCGTTTTGTCTTTTGATTGTTAAGACCCATCTCTTTTTTTTATGTACTCGCCTACACTCAATTGCCATAATTCGGAGATTTCAGATGTCTGGCACCCTTTTTTTTGTTCCCGCATCTTTGCCATGTTTTATTGAATAAATATTAGTTTTTACCAGTTTTGTGACTTGGCCGTGGTTTAATTGTTTTTCAAGATCAGTATGTCTTTGATAGGCACAGGAAAACGATAAACTGTCACTTCAACATTGCGATGAATCGACGCCCAGCTTAGCAACACGGAAACCCCATCAACTATTAGGTTGTCGGGTTTTGAATGCGAATTTTTCCGAGAGAACAAAGCTATTAAAATTATTCCGCTTTGTACCATTAGAACACATTCTACATTGGGCTTTTCAGCGTTTTTGAAAAGCTTCAGTTTTGGCAATTTTGCAGGGGTCAAAAGCGTTAAAAATTGTTGAGTTGGCAACTTTTTCTATGTAAAGTTAGCACTAATTTCTTGCTCAAATAAAAGACCAAGCATTTCTACATTTCATACATTTGTACTTTTCATTCCCACATACATCTGACTACTTTTCTTTGCACCCCAAAACCCCCAAAACAGAAAGTTTTCAAAATCGCTGAAAAGCCGAATGCAGAACACAGATTTATCTTTTATTTATCTAATGGTACAAAGCGTACAAAGTACAAAGCGGTCTAATGGTACAAACCGGAGTAATTTTAATAGCATTGTTCTCTTGGAAAAAAATATTGCGAAAATTTTTAGGCCTCCAAAACCCCACAACCTAATAGAAGGTTTTTTTTTCTTTGAAAAGTCATTTCGCTGATGACAATAGCAAGGGATAGAGAAATGTGGAAGCAGGTTGTGATCTGCGCAAAATAGGAACACCTAGGTGCGAAGACAGATCAAAAAAAAAGCCGTATATCGAAACGGCACCAAAAACCCAGGCGTATTTTTGAAGAGAATTTTATTCTGATCATTTCAAAACCGAAAATCAAAAAATATCCATTTTGAGGCCTGAAATTTCGTTTTTAAGATCTTGCTGGATAAGGGCGCGCAGTACGAATGGAGTACGAACAATCAGGGTCCCTTGTACTGACCTTGGACCTGGCTCGGGTACAGACTGGACTGGAGTGGACTGGACTGGACTGGACTGGACTGGAGTGGGGACTGGACTGGACTGGACTGGACTGGGCTGGACTGGACTGGACTGGGGTGGAGTGGACTGGACTGGACTGGACTGAACTTGAGCCCGATTGAGACTCGTTCGAGATTCAAGACAAGAGAAACAAGCAATATTCGAGCGTGAATGAACTTGAGAAAGCCATTGAAGAAGTCTGGAACCGACTTCAGCGCTCCAAGACTTGTACAAGCCTTCAGCGCTCCAAGAGCAAGCTTTCAATGACGTAAAGGATTGTGTTAGTCTCTAATTACTAACTCGTCAATAATCTGTAATTCTTTAAAAAACGTTGCCTTGAATTTAGCTTTTAGCTTTTAGCTAAATATGCAATTTAACTCGTTGTTTTTGTAGAATATGATATTTTGTGGAATCTTCACGAGATTTATGAAAATGTTTATCAAAAAAAAGACATCGCAAAAATATGGCAATCAATGGACAGAGCAAAAGAGAAAAAGAGAGACGGACCCGTGTGGAAAATGCTAGAAAAATAAAAGATGACGAATAAATAGAGAGTAAAGCTTTAATGATGAGATGGTTTTTTGCTGAAATATGGTTTCGGCAATACTGGAACAAATAGCGCAAAGGTTGAGAGAAATCGTTAATTCGTAATACTAAGAATGAGTTTGGAAGGGATTACTGTACTTTTCGACAATAGTTTATAGATTTTAACGATTGGATATTGTTATCTGGAAGTCACGACGGTTTGCTAGCAGTAAAGTAACGAGATTTAGAGGAAACTCGTGAATGGCTATACTGTGGATGAGTTTTGAAGGGATTACTGTACTTTTCGACAATAGTTTATAGATTTTAACGATTGGATATTGTTATCTGGAACTCACGACGGATAGCTATCGATAAAATAATAAGATTTCGAGGAAACTCGTGAATGGTAATACTAAGGATGAGTTTGAAGGGATTACTGTACTTTTCGACAAGAATTTCGATATTTTAACGATTGGATATTGTTATCTGGAAGTCACGACGATTAGCTAGCAGTAAAGTAACGAGATTTAGAGGAAACTCGTCAATGGATATACTGTGAACGAGTTCGAAGAGATTACTGTACTTTTCGACAATAATTTCGATATTTTAACGATTAGATTTTCTTATCTGGAACTCACGACAGCTAAAAATATTGAAATGAAAAGGAATTGAATCCGTTTTTGATTCAAACGACGTTGCTCGGGCGCCACACTTGGGTGGAGTGTTGCGAGTGAAGTGGCGCGTAATGTGTGGGCGGGTGTGGAGGATGAGGGATGACCTGTAACTGGAAATCACAACATACATAGTACACTAGCGTACTTGCGCCCTTGGGTACTGTAAGTGGCCTGTTTAAGACAGTGAATAGGACTAGCAGGGGTTTCTCGGCTGAAACAAAATAAAATAACTTTCTGGCGCAAGGAATCGCCAAGCTGGAAGGCACGCTAGCTATTCCAAGCAAAAGGACGCTGAAATAGTCATGAATTTGGTCGTAGTCTAGGCTGTACTTTGTGCTTTCATGTAAACACCTCCCTTTTGGCGCAATTGATCCAATTTTTATCTGGGTCTTCAATCTGGATGTCACACTAGGTTCTCCAATTAAAAAAACTGGGGTCTAGCCAAGAATTTGGTCGTAGTTTAGGCTGTACTTTGTGCTCCCATGTAAACGCTTCCCTTCTAGCGCACTTGGTCTGCTTTTTATCCAGGCGCTAATCTGGATGTCACACTAGGTTTTCCAATTAAAAAAACTGGGGTTTAGCTGAGAATTTTTTCTGGTGTACTTAGGCTGTACCTTGTGCCCTCATGTAAACACCTCCCCTCTGGCGCAATTGGTCTAGTTTTCATCCAAGCGCTAATCTGGATGTCACACTAGGTTTTCCATAAAAAATCAAGCTTTTCAATGGATTGTAAACCAACCGGAATCTGCGGTTCGATCAACGGCCGCGAGGAGGAGGCCAAACGCTGAGCGGAAGCGGATTTCTGCGGAGCTGGCGAGCACATGCCACAACAGAGGAACCTGAAACGAGTTTTATAGCATTCTAGCTCGAGCGCTGACCTCTGCCAACTCGAGAAAGTTTTCGGCGAGAGAATCCAGAGAGCGCACGCGCCACCGCCGAGAAGACCCATGATCAGTTGCAGGAGGTAGCGAGAGGGCTGGAAATAAGTATGGGTATAGCCAGGGTACAGTATGATAGGCTATGATCAGACCTACGTACTGTCGCCTCCGTACTACGTACTGTACATAGTACTAATCCGTACTATACTTTTTTTTCTATTTTCGACTGTACTGCGCTCCAGATAGCCCAAAAATTTGTTTAAAGACCTGGCTTCACCTTTAGAAACACTTCAATAAAGCTGTGTTCAAGTTCAAGCGAAAATCTCCATTTTCTATGATCAAATCTTCAAATTTTTTAGTTTTTTAGCCGATCTGGATATCAGTCTAGATATCTACAATTTTAGATTTGCATTAGATTTAAATTAGATTTTTAATTTTTTCCGGTTCAGTCCTAGGGACCGATCCAGTCTAAAATTTTCATTTTCATAATTTTCATAATTTTCTTTCAAAACATTCTCATGTGCGTTCCAGATCAGCGAAATCGCAAAAAATTATCTAGGATTACACATTCGAGACGCTTTTTTTTAAAGCCGAACTCCGTTCTGAGACCTCTAGGTCAATGCCCTGAGACCTCCAGGCTCGGCACCTGGTCCAGCACTCTAGGATAAGCTATCTGGATGTCACACTAGGTTTTCCCATCAAAAAATTTGGGCTATAGGCTTCGTGTCCAAAAACGAACCTGTAGCCGCGGCGGCTGCTTGCAGAGGCCCGCCTCGACGCCGCCGAAGCTGAAAATTGGGAATTTGGTACTGTATCTAAGGCTGGCCTGAGGTTCAGAGGCCCCTGAGGGCCCTTGATAAAAAATACGACTTAAAATTCTCGAGAATGTCTCGAAACCAACAGCTTGCATTCGATCGTCGCTCTGCTGGTCGCTTTGACATCGTGGAAATGGAGATAGTCACAGACGAGCACTGTGCACATTGGGAGCAGGTAGAAAATGCAAAACATGATCATCTTCAGCACCAGCTTCTCGTTTTTCGACGTATCGGTACCCTGGAAGTAGAACTCTAAGATTTTCTTGGCTTATATACAAGAAAATAAATTTTTAAAGCAAGAGGCAATCAATCTGGATGTCACACTAGGTTTTCCAATCAAAAAATTTGGGTCTAGTCAATCAATTCGATGCTCAGGCTCACTGTACTTTATGCTCGCTTGTAAACGCTTTCCTTCTAGCGCACTTAGTCTGCTTTTCATCCAAGTGCCGATCTGGATGTCACACTAGGTTTTCCAATCAAAAAATTTGGGTCTAGCCAATCAATTCGATGCTTAGGCTGGCTGTACTTTATGCTCCTACGTAAACGCTTTCCTTCTAGCGCACTCGGTCTGCTTTTTATCCAGGCGCCAATCTGGATGTCACACTAGGTTTTCCATCAAAGTAAAGTGCAATTGCCAATCAATTAATCAAAAAAGATTTGGTGGGATTGCCAGCTAGCTCAAAAGTCAGTTTTCCCCCGTTTCGATTCCAGGTGCTAAAAGATGAAAGGGGAAAGTTGGATGGGGACGGGGAAAAGGCGATCTTAATCTTTTGTTTTCCTTCTCCCGCGATTTTCTCTTTGTACTCACCCCATTAAAGTGGATGAATTTATGACCGACCTCTTTAGTAAAAAATCCCCTTTTTTTTTCCTTTTGATTTCAAACAAAAAAATTGTCATGTGCGTTCCAGATAAGCCAAAACGAAAAAAATTTCCTACCTTTCACATTCAAAAACCTTTTTTTTAAGCCAAACTCAATTCTGCGCAGATTTACTCATTCAATTGATGGTTTTGATGGGTTTATTGGTCCTAGTGCGCTCCAGAACGGCCAAAAATCTTGTTCCAAAAAGCCAGAAGTTCGGGTACTCCTGGAGCACGTAAGGGTGTTGACAGGGTACAGGGTACTGACCAGCCATGGCCCAAAATCGCAAAGGGGCAACTTTATCAAATAGAAACACTAGTGTGCCATCCAGATCATCCATTTCACGTCTCAAATACAAGACTTTGCTTTGTCTTGGCGAAGAAATTCGACCAGTCCTATTCATAACCCTGGCCAGTATAGTCTTAAACTCCAAAATCGCAAAGGGGTAACGCTATCAAGTAGAAACACTAGCGTGACACCCAGATCACCCATTTCTCGTCTTAAACAGAAGATTTGCTTTGTCTCGGCTAAAAAATCCGACCAGTCCTATCCGCAACCAGCCAGGGTGGTCCTAAAGGGTTGTTGGACCCCCGCCCCCCCGCCCAGGGCAACAGTTGCATCGAGTTGGGGCTAGGAGCCACTTTTTGGCGATTTGTGTGGATTTTATGGGTTTCCGAGCGTTTAATGGAGTTAATTTGTGATCCTGAGCGGCCTGGCTGTGGTTGTGAATAGGACTGGTCGGATTTCTTCGCCGAGACAAAGCGAATCTTCTGTTTAAGACGAGAAATGGGTGATCTGGGTGTCACGCTAGTGTTTCTACTTGATAGAGTTTTGCTTTTGTGATTTTGGGGTTTAAGACCATCCTGGCTAGGGTTGTGAATAGGACTGGTCGAATTTCTTCGCCAAGACAAAGCAAATCTTCTGTTTAAGACGTGAAATGGGCGATCTGGATGTCACACTAGTGTTTCTACTTGATAGAGTTTCGCTTTTTCGTTTGCGTTTGTGATTTTGGACTCTGGCTGCGATTTTTTCTGAACTGACCCTTCTCCTCAGCGATTGTCCCTCTTTGCACATTCCGCTCAATCCAGCAACGATGAAGAACACGCCCAAAAGGGTGGCGCTTAAACGGGGCAGTAGCGAGAAGTAGAGAAGCGATTCCGGATCTTGATTCCCCACCGAGCACAAGCCCGTCAATTCGGAGGCGTCTACCTAAAAAGTGGATAAGCTGGAGCTCTGGAGGAAAGGGGATACGGCAAGCTGGAATGCACCGTCCATTTCTATGCAAATTTGACAACACACAGTCAAACTTGATCTTTGGCTACAGTACCCACAACCTACAGTACCCCAGAAAGAGGCTGACGACAGCTAGTGAACTAGCGGTAGTGAACAATTGCTATTCTGAACAATTTGAACTGACCCGTCTCATCACGAGCACGACAATGGTTGCCAATGCCGCTGTGCCCCAGGCGATCAAATGTACGTACGGTGAGCAAGCCTCGACACCTTCGGGAACCCAGCGACGACCGGCCGAGAGGTACCTGGATGGAAAGTGATTAGGAGTACTGTAGGAAGTACAGTAGTTGGCAGGCTGTTCTGCAGGCAGGCTAGGATGTTCTGGCCCGGTGTACAGAACCAGATATGGACTCTGAGCAGGAACGAGGACCCGGATCCGGTAGAGATTCTGATCCGGGTACCAGTCCTGGACCAGGATAACCTGCCGGCTCAGGCTTAGGCTTAGGCCCTGGACCTAGCTTAGGCTTTGGTCGACCCTGGAGCCAAGACCCTCGACCCTGGGTCCTAGACCTGGACCCTAGACTGGGTCGGTCTTAGGTCAACCCTGAACCTTAGACTGGATCGGTCATGAATTTAGTAGGACCCAGACCCTAAGCAGGGTTCTAAACATGGATCAGGCATGGATCCTGGCCTGGAATAGACCCTAGACTTGGTCCAAGATTGGCTTTGGGTCGGACGGATTGACGGACGGACTGTGGACGGACCCAGAACCAGAACCTGAGCCCGAGCCTGAGCCTGAGCCTGAGCCTGAGCCTGAACCAGAACAAGAACAAGCCTTTGAACCAAGCCCAATCAGGATCCCTTGTAGTGACCTTGGACCTGGCTCGGGTACAAGGTCAGTACAAGCTTTGTACTGACCTTGTACCCAAGCCAGGTCCAAGGTCATTCCAAACTCGGTCCCTGAACCAGGACCAAGCCTGAGCTTGTTAAAATTACACAAACCACGTGAAGGCGAACATCAGCCACCAGAGACTCGCCGCCGTGCTGAAGTAGTAGATGAGCGAGAACGAGAGAAGGCAACGGTGGTTCTCAAAGCCGGCAAAAGTCTGTAAATCCGGGTTTTCATTCACTTTTGTGTGTTCTGGAAGGCACAGCTTGTTTTGCAATCTTTTTCTTTAAGCTTTTTCCATGTTTTTCATTTCTTGCATTTGCATTATTTGAGAATGGCCGAATTAAAGCCGACTTATGCAAATTTGAGCTCTAGCGAGTTATTTTTTGTAAATCCTGGAGCGCACAGATTCTGTTAAAATCTCTAATTGTTAGATCTACGATAAGATTTTGGTGGTCAAGTGGTTAGCGAGCTTGGCTAGTGATCTGAGTGGTCCTGGTTCGAGTCCGCCTAGAGCCGGAAGGTTTTGTTTTTTTTGGGAGAAAATGGAGGAAAATTACCACATAGGATTGTCCGGAGTGTAGCTGCTCGCAAGCCATCTCCTGGAAGCGCCAGAACAGCAGGAAGAGGTTTGGGATTGAGAGGATCGCCATGCAAAGTGACATGAAGAAAACGCATCTGAAAATTGTTTTTGATCGTTTTAGAATATCGTGTGCGTTCCAGGATTGACGGAAATTAGAGAATTTTCAAAAAAAACCTCTCTGGGAAACGGAAACGGTGTCGATCGATGATGTAGGTGAGGAAAGTGAAAGCGGCGAGCGCTAGATTCACCGCTCCGAGTGCGACCATCCACGAGGAGGCAACTGAATTCATTAAATCATCAATTGAAAGGGATTTAAAAGCCCTACAGTAATCAAGGGATTACGGTAGCTAAAAGGGATAGCTAAAAAAAAGCTAAAAAAGTTTAAATAATTAAAATTAAAAATCTAAAATTGTAGATATCTAGACTGATATCCAGATCGGCTAAAAAACTAAAAAATTTCAAGATTTGATCATAGAAAATGGAGATTTTCGCTTGAACTTGAACACAGCTTTATTGAAGTGTTTCTAAAGGTGAAGCCAGGTCTTTAAATAAATTTTTGGGCTATCTGGAGCGCAGTACAGTCGAAAATAGAAAAAAAGTAGAAAAATAAGTATACTACGTATTAGCACTATGTACAGTACGTAGCACTATGCACAGTACGATCTAGTCATAGCCTATCATCCCTTTTTTGATGGGAAAACCTAGTGTGACATCCAGATAGCTTATCCTAGAGTGCTGGACCAGATGCCGAGCCTGGAGGTCTCAGGGCATTGACCTAGAGGTCTCAGAACGGAGTTCGGCTTTAAAAAAAGCGTCTCGAATGTGTAATCCTAGATAATTTTTTGCGATTTCGCTCATCTGGAACGCACATGAGAATGTTTTGAAAGAAAATTATGAAAATTATGAAAATGAAAATTTTAGACTGGATCGGTCCCTAGGACTGAACCGGAAAAAATTAAAAATCTAATTTAAATCTAATGCAAATCTAAAATTGTAGATATCTAAACTGATATCCAGATCGGCTAAAAAACTTAAAAATTTGAAGATTTGATCATAGAAAATGGAGATTTTCGCTTGAACTTGAACACAGCTTTATTGAAGTGTTTCTAAAGGTGAAGCCAGGTCTTTAAACAAATTTTTGGGCTATCTGGAGCGCAGTACAGTCGAAAAGAGAAAAAAAGTAGAAAAATAAGTATACTACGTATTAGTACTATGTACAGTACGTAGTACTTTGTACCGTACCCACCCCTTTTATCGTCCTTGGTGAAGAAAGTGTTGTGCTCGCATGGTAGAGCACAGGCGCCGTTGCTGTCCTGCGGGTCGACGTTTACGAGATGCGATGGACAAGATGGAGGTTTTGATGGAGAATGGGGTCGGGCGAAGGAGCCTGAGGGCGAGGGACTGAAAGATTTTATATTTGGATAATCACGTAGTCGATGGGCTCCTTATTCACAGAATCTCCAGGGTCCCAAGGTCCCAAAATCTAGCATCCCAGGGCCCCCTAGAATCTGAGATCAGGGTAGGGTCTAGACTTCTAGACCCAGGGTCCAGTTAGGGTCTAAGGGTCCCAGGGTCCTAGGATCCCAGGGTCCAGGCTTTAGGGTCCAGGCTCTAGGGTCTAAGGGTCCCAGGGTCCTCTAGGATTTGCTAAGGATCCCTAGAATCCTGTTCCTCAAGGTTCGTCAGGATTCGGACCCCAGATACGGGCCTCTAGGCAGGCTCTAAGGTTCCCAGGATCTCCCTCTAGGACCAGGATCCCCAGGGCCCCAGGATCCCCAGGAGCCCCAGGATCCCCAGGGCCCCAGGATCCCCAGGAGCCCCAGGATCCCCAGGAGCCCCAGGATCCCCAGGGCCAGGATCCCAGGCCCCAGGATCCCGGGCGGCGGCCAGGATCCCCAGGGCCCCGGATCCCCAGGGGCCCCAGGGTCCCCAGGACCCCAGGCCCCAGGAGCCCCAGGATCCCCAGGGTCCCAGGGTCCTCAGGAGCCCCAGGATCCTCTAGAGGTTTCCAGGGTTTCAGGCCCTCTAGAACCTTTGTCCGATTCTTTTAGAATCTCAGGGCTGAGTCCCAGGATCCAGGGTCCCGGGGTACTCCTAGGGTCTCTAGAGTTGCAGGGTACACTGGTCAGAGCTCCAAATCCTTTAGACTCTTCAGGACCGTAAACCTGTGAGTTTTGTTCTCCTTACCTTTGCTGCGTTCCCTCGGGCGGATTCATGCATAAACCCTGGTTGATCTCAGGGAAACGATCGCATTCGAGCAGCTCGGGCCAAGCCAAACCATACTGATCGAGTAGAGATTTGCAGCCAGCTTTCACCTAGAAGAAATTGCTTTCAGATTGGTTACAGATAGTTTTGAACAGATTTTCAGGATCTAGGGTAGCCTGTAGCTGGTTCTAGGTCTGGCCCTGGTCCTGGTCCTGGCCCTGGTCCTGGCCCTGGCCCTGGTCCTGGTCCTGGCCTTGACCCTGACCTCGATCTCTTTCCAATAATTTACTGAACCCTTTCACCCCCACATTTCCGTTCTCATTATTGGCCGGAAGTTTGTCGGGGCTGGACAGCTGGTCCCCTGCCCTCAGACTCCGAGAAAATATTACCCTAAACAATTCTCCCCCTTTCCCCAAGCCAATCAAAAACAACCATCAGATCTTCGAGATCTGGAGCGCACGGGAGAATTTAAGACAGAAAATACTGTACGAAAATGCTATTTTCTACTGTACATAGTACAAAGGGTGATCCTGGATATTTTTTGTATTGTAAAACGTTTAGCCATAAACCAAAATCTAAAATGACTTCCAGATCAAGGATTGGCTTCAAAATTTAGCGCATTTAGTTTGAAAAAACGGCTTAAAATCGTCCATTCTCATTTCACCGTCAGTGCTTAGAGGGAAATCTCAGTGTTTCCATCAAATCTCGCAAGTTTTAACCAATCTTCTAACAATTCTGGATGTCACACTAGTTTATGAAAATGTTTCCAGACTATTTTCAGCATTTCCAGAATTCCAGACCTACAGTACATAGTATTTTATAGTACAGGATCACCCTGACCCTGGATATTTTTTTGTGTGTTATAAACCATTTAGCCATACACCAAAATCTAAAATGCTATCCAGATCAAGGATTGGCTTCAAAATTTAGCTCATTAGCTTGTAAAAAACGGCTTAAAATCGTCCATTCTCATTTCACGATCAGTGCTCAGAGAGAAATCTCAGTCTTTCCATCAAATTTCTCAACTTTTAACTAATTTTCTATCAATTCTGGATGTCACACTAGTTTATGCAAATTTTTCCAGAGTGCTTTGCCTGAAATCTTTGCCAGAAAACTCAAAATCTGCTCAATTACCACATATTGTCGGGGAAGGGAAAGAAGAAAGGGAAAGAAGAAAAAGGAAAGAAGAAAAGGGGAAAGATCTCATTCCAGATGCTCAAGAAATATGGCCTACACGTGGACTGGAGCTGGAGGGATGTACATGGTGAGTATTGAAGGCAAGACAACATCTGTTTCGATCACGGTTTCTCTTTGGGGATGAAAAGGGGCCTTAATTAGACCCATTCGCGATTTCTTTACGCTTAGCGGGCTTTCTGGATGTCACCGGGGATTCCTAGTTGATTAGTTTGATGGAATTTGAAGGAATTTGAAAATTTTTGTTTCTCACCTGTTCGCACAATGATTTGCAGCTCGTCACCGCCTGCGGCACGTCTTTTGGACACATTGGAGCAAAAACTGAAACTTATAAAGCTCACAGGCGGCTTTGACAGTTGGAATACCTGAGCAAACGAAGAATTTCAAGTGCGGATGGCATTTTGTGAGAATCAACGGCTTGAAGTGGTCCGTGTACATGTGAAGCTGAAAGTTTGTGAAGCTCGACGGTTAAAACTCTATTCAACATCTAAGTTGCCTCCCAGGAAGGGGGTTGGCTTGAAAATTTCATTGTTTTATAGTACAGAATGAGAGAAAAGCGCGCATTCTCATTGCGTTGTTGCTTTGTCACTGGTTTTGGAAGGTCTAAAGAGCGATTTTGCCATTTTCACCGAATTTTTGGTTAATCCTGGATATCAGGCTATAGTTTGGTTTATTTTGTAAAAGATTTTAAGCTAAAAAATTTTTGGCGCAGTGGGAAATTTTGGATTTCCCAGTCAAACGATCAGGGTTCGAGTCCGAGAGTGGTCAAAAAAATTTTTTTTTTTTTTTTTGCTTAAAATTGTTTTTAAATGCTAAAACGATTCGTTTTTAGTTTTTTTCTTTCAGAAAATCCTCAAGAATCCATTTCCCTGTCGCGGGATGATTGAATGAAAGACATTCATCTGAATTTTCCGAAAAAGCGAAAAAAGCCAAAAAAGCTGACAAAACAGATGAGCGCCAATCACTCAACCATCCTCGCAAATACCCGAAATGAGATTCTGAAAGAATTCTGCAATTTAAAGAAAAAAGAAAATTTTTTTGGCCGCTCCCGGACTCGAACCCGGGTCGTTTGACTGGGAACCTTCATTTTCCCACTGCGCCAAAGTTTGAAGGCCTTCTGTTTGAAAGTTTGAAGGCCTTAAAATGCTAGAATTCTTTCATTTTCTGCTAGTGTGCCTGCCAGAACTACCAAAATGCGCATTTTCAAGCCGCAAACCCTTCTCAGTTCGTCGAAACGCTTGTCATCTGGCACACCCAAAAACCAAATTGTTCAAAAAGCTACAAACTCCCTTAAACTCATCATTTTCTGCTAGTGTGCGTTCCAGAATGGACAAAATATCAAAAATATCTTATTGCTAGCCTTCTCGAGGCTACGGAAACGCTCCCCATCTAGCACACCGAAAACCAAATCGTTCAAAAAGCTCCAAATCTTTTAAACTCTTCATTTTCCTATAGTGTGCATTCCAGAATGGACAAAATATCAAAAATATCTTATTGTTAGCCTTCTCGAGGCTACGGAAACGCTCCCCATCTAGCACACCGAAAACCAAATCGTTCAAAAAGCTCCAAATCTTTTAAACTCTTCATTTTCTTATAGTGTGCATTCCAGAATGAGCAAAACAGCTTTCAAAAAGACCGCCCGGTTTCTAGAATCTAATGTAATTTCGCCTCGAGGGAATTCATCGTCTCTCTGCCTTGTCTCTGGTTCCTCTCGAGTTCTGTGTACGGAAATCATCGAATTAGGCGCTCCTCTTTTCTCGTTTTGTTTGAATTCCAATTTTCTGGAGTGCACAGGATAAAAAAGGGGCCAGAAAAAGAAGACTAGGTCGAGGTAGATTCTAAGTAGAGGGAAATTTGCATAATTTTTTTGTATTCATTTCTAAGACTTTCTAAGCTTTCTATAAGCTAAGTTGTGCTCCAGGATCGCCAAAAAAATTCCTTAAATTCCCTGCTGCAATCTTAAAAAACCTTTTTTCAACCCAATCTTTTTCTGCCTGTTTTGAATTTTCGCAAATGAAAGCAATCGACTTTTTGAGCTTTCGATAAGCTAAGTTGTGTTCAGGAGCCCAAAAAATGACTTAAATTCCTTCGATCTTAAAACTTTTCCCCAATCTTTTTCGCCTCGTTCAATTTTCGCAAATGAAAGCAATCGACTTTTTGAGCTTTTAAAAATCTCTCGTGCCATCCAGGAAAGGCAATTTCAAAAGCGCAAAAGCATTTTCTTCTGTTTGAGCGGCGCGTTTTTGATGGGTCGTAAAAGAGCGCGATGGGAAAACGCGGGCACTGATTATCGCTGTTATTGATATTTTTCTGACACCTTTAGGGGGGAATGGGTTTATGGGGAAGCGCTTGTACAATTCGGGGTGACGAAAATTTGGAGTGGGAGTTTGTAGCAGTAGATCTTAGATATTAGATATAAGATCTAGACATAAAATATCTAGATATGTTAAATCTTTAAAATAATAACTTTTGAATAAACCAAAATCTAAAATGCTATCCAGATCAAGGATCGGTTTCAAAATCTAGCTCATTAGCTTTTAGAAAACGGCTTAAAATCGCCCATTCTCATTTCACTGTCAGTGTTCAGAGGGAAATCTCAGTGTTTCCGTCAAATTTTTCAACTTTTAACCAATTTTCTATCAATTCTGGATGTCACACTAGTTTATGCAAATGAAGCCAAACTCTTTCAGAGCCAAACTCTTTCACTCACCGAGTCGATGTTCTGTTGATCTTGGCCGAGCATCGGGTTCGGGAAAAACGTCATATTGTAAGGGATGTCCTTGCACAAATCGAACTCGATCTTCTGGCAGCGACCCTTTAGCGACTGAAACGAAAAAAATTACAAAAATGCGACACTCCTGGCCGTGCCGGGACTCGAACCCTCGTTGCTCAGCCCCGTAACCGCCTAGCCTAACCAAGCGCCTAACCAGTTGCGCCAAAAGTGCACTTTTTTAAAATTAACCAAAAATAAAAATTTTTAATTTTTTTTGTTTTGTGAGTTCCAGATCGGCCAAATCTTTGCTCAAAATTGGATTTTTATTTTCGAAAACCTTCAAAATTCGTTTCGTAATCGATTTTGTGAGTTTTAACGCATTTCAATTCACTTTTTGCAATCTCCTACAGTTTTTGCGTTCGTTTTTCAGTTTTTCGGCTTTTCGGGCGCCAAATTCGAGTAAAGGGGAACGGAGAAAAGGCGATTTGCACATTCGAATTTGCATTTAAACTAAAGCTGTTCGTCTAGTAGGAAAAATTTTCAAATTTGATTTTTTCAAAAAACTATCTTGTAAACTAGCTAGCGTGCGTTCCAGGATTGAAGGATTTTTTGGGAAAAATTTGAATTTCTCAGGAGAAGCGGCCTTGAGCCGGGTGATCAGGTTTCACCGAAAAAACTCGAGTTTTCCAGGGAAACCCTGATTAATCATCGATGTTTTTACGCGATCTGGAAGTCATTTTAGCGTTTCGATAGCTTTTCTCGTAGCCAGGCTGTCATTTGGTCAAGGTGGGTTTTGGCTTTGTTTGGAACACCTGTCCTATGGCTATTTTAGGCCAAAGCATTTACCAAACACACAATAAGTGCCATCCTATAGCTGGGTAAACATCTAATACGACGAGAAAATTGCTATATAGTTGATATTAGCAGAAAAATAGCTAAAATTAGCCGATGAAGCAAATTCGAAGCGTTTTCTTGCCAACGATGCAATCAATCGACTTCTTTTTCATAAATTTAGCCAATCTGGAGCGCATGCTAGTCATTCCAAAAAACGAAATTGCAAAAATGCGAAGCTCATGGTCATCGACGGACTCGAACCCTCGTTGTTCAGCTCCGTAACCAAGCGCCTAACCAGTTGCGCCAAAAGTGCACTTTTTTAAAGTTGATAAAAAATCAAAATTTTAAATTTTTTTCTGTTTCGTGAGTTCCAGATCGGCTAAATCTTTGCTTAAAATTGAGCATTTTTTCGGGTTTTGGACCAATCCTGCTCCGGACACCCAGTCCGGAACAGGACTGGTTGAATTCCGTGAAATCCCGGGCCGCATTTCATCAAATCAGCTCGGCTTTTTCATTTCTGGATGTCACGTAACCATATGTGCTCATTTATGGGACCCATTTCCCATATTTCCGCCAGGCACTAATCCGGAATCGAGTAGCGCGCTATTGTTCGACCGGTGATCGAGCTAGCGGCTTGCTCTTTGCATTTCCGCGACTTATGGAAGTCATTTGGAATTTCTAATTTCTTTGCAATACCAGTTTCTGCCATTTCAAAAATTTCAAAATTCAGTTTGAGTTGGGTAATTAAACCGGCTACCCAAGCCTAAGCCAATGCGCCCAAAACCATCTCTACAGTATCCCTGTAGCACCTGTGCGTGCCAATTCGATTATCGGTAATCATTTCTCACCAAAAAGACACAAATTTGGGGGTGAGGCCGCGGTGAGATCAAAGGCTCATCGTTTCCCCCATAAATACCATAAATAGACATCATCCCGGGCTTGAAATGGGGCATTTGGGGAAGGGGAGAAGGAAATGAAGAAGAAGAAAGCTTTCCGCTATATTCTAGCGGACTAGGGGACCCTAAGACTGATCCTGAGGCTGTCTCTGAGGCTGGGCCCTAGGCCAAGATAAAATTTTAGATTCTACAAGATTTTCTATTTCCATTAGCCAGTGTGCGTGCCAGTTTGCAAGCTGAAAATCAAATTCCAAAGAAAAGCCTTGATTTCAGCGCACAAATGGCCACCACTAGAAACTCGAGAATGAGAATGGACGTATTTAGAGAAATCTAGTGATCAGATTTGAAAACGTTTAACGTTTTTTACCAAACTGGGAAGCAATTTGATTGTTGAGGACAAAAATTTGGGTCTAGGTCCAAGTTTAGATAATGGAGTCTTGGACTTATTAATCTTAGAGCTAATTTGAGCTCCCAAACAAGCGATGAGAAGTGAGGTGATCGCGGACCTCAAAAGGGTTTAGGGCTAGGGCTAGGGCTAGGGCTAGGGCCAGAGCTAAGGTCCTAAGATGGCCAAAGAATCCTTCTTTGGGAAAAAGTCATCTTTAGTATGCCCATTTACTACTCAAAGGGAAATCTCTAAAATGGGTACTTTGGTGATGGATTTCGAGAAGGGTTTTGTGAATGCTGGATGGCACGGAAAGTTTTGGAGGCGAAAGGGAAGTATAGTTGGGATGCTTTAAAAGTTGAGGCTTTGGAGAGCCTGCCCAGGGGGAGTTCTTTAAAAAATAGATTCTAGCGCTTAGAAAAAGTTATCTAACTTCTGTTGTGCGTTCCAGCTTGGAGCTTGGCGTGATTTTTAGAAATCTATAGCCTTCGACAAACCTGTTTAAACATCGATTCAGCCGATAGAGTGCCAAGTAGGAATAAAAGTGATAGCCATCGCGGGATCATTCTAAACCTTTGTACTGACATCCAGATAAGACAAATATATAGAAAAAAGCAATGGATTACGGTAAAAGAACCAAGAAAAAGAACCAGTCCTGAAAGTCTGATTTTCGAGTTTTTCAAATTTCGAATTTTGAGCTAATTTTGTTTAGAATCTCCCTAATGACATCCAGATAAAACAAATATATCTGAAAAAGCAATGGATTACGGTAAAAGAACCAAGAAAAAGAACCAGTCCTAAACGTCTGAATCTCGAGTTTTTCAAATTTAGAATTTCGAGCTAATTTTGTTTAGAATTTCTCTAGTGACATCCAGATAAAACAAATATATAAAAAAGAGCAATGGATTACGGTAAAAGAACCAAGAAAAAGAACCAGTCCTGAAAGTCTGAATTTCGAGCTTTATAAATTTCGAATTTTGAGCTAATTTTGTTTAGAATCTCTCTAATGACATCCAGATTGAAAATTTCTGAAAAAAATTCGATCGCTTTACTTGAAAGGAAAACAGATCAAGGCACGCAGAAGGTGCGATGGGATCTCGATTTGAGAAAAAGATCTGCAAAAAGACCTGAAAAGCTGTCTATAGATGGGGTGCGCTCCAGGAAAGACAAAAAGTGAGCTGGGGAAACGGGGGAAATGAAAAGGGGCGGGAGAAGGGGGGAGAAGGGCGGTGGAGGGGTACGCGCGGGGGATGGGGGTGAAAATTTATTGGCCCCATTGAGAGGAGACCGGGCACAGATAGGGCTAGGGATCTGGGAATTGTTTGACCTGGAAGGCGGCGGGGGGAACGGTGGGGGTTGGCGTGCTCCATCGACACCCACTAATCACTCCAAATAACGATTCGCACTTTGGTGGATTGGCGATTGGGGAAAAGTTTTTGCAGCCGAATTGATCTGTGACATCCAGATCGGCAAAATATTTGCTAAACTTGGTGAATAGTTATCTAGAGCTAAAGGAAACGGGGGAGATCTCGGACGTTACAGATCGTCAACTCCCCGAATCGAGATTGGATGCAAAATGTTATTGCCAACTTGTCTCGTGACATCCAGACGGGTAAAATATCTGCTTAGCTTGGTGATTAGTTATCTAGATCTAAAGAAAACGGAGAGATCTCCGACGCTCCATACCCATCAACTCCCGAACCCAACTGGGTACAAAATATTATTGCCAACTAGTCTCGTGACATCCAGATAGGCCAAAAATTTACTAAACTTGGTGAATAGTTATCTAGATCTAAAGAAAACGGCTAGGTCTCGGACGTTCCACACCCGTCAACTCCAAATAGCAACTGGTTGCAAAATGTTATTGTCAACTAGTCTCGTGACATCCAGATAGGTAAAATATCTTCTGAACTTGGTGAATAGTTATCTAGATCTAAAGAAAACGGCTAGGTCTCGGACGTTCCATACCTGTCAACTCCCGAATCGAGACTGAATGCGAAATTTTGCTGCCAACTAGTCTCGTGACATCCAGATAGGCAAAATATCTGCTTAACTTGGTGAATAGTTATCTAGATCTAAAGAAAAAAGCTAGGTCTCGGACGCATATCCGTCAACTCTCGAATCGAGACTGAATGCAAAATTTTGTTGCCAATTGGTTTCGTGACATCCAGATCGTAGAAATATTTGATTATTTAAGAAATTAGATAATTTAAATCCATAGAAAATCAGTGGAACTTGAAACTAGATTCAATCAGGCTTATAAAAGCTATAAAAACTCATCAAAAACAAAATCGAACAAAATTTTTTAACAATCTGGATGTCACATAAAAATTCTAGATGCTTAAAAGTTTAAAAAAGCAAAAAGAAGAAAAGGAGATTTTGAGTTTAAGGACTGGGGGAAAAACTCGGCTGTCTATGGGAATATAGCAAATTTACATACAAATATGGTGATGCTGGGTCGCACGGGGAGTGCTCGAGTAGAAAAAGTGGTGACTCGAACTATTCTTCGGTTGGGGAGGAGTCACCAGTCCTGCCCTTGCTTCTCTCCTCTCTTCCCTCCCACCCTCCCATAAATCTCGGTCTCTGCCCGCTCCGTTCCCTTTCCTGTCATTCACTCTCTCGAAATCACTCACTATCTCTCTTTATGGGTCTTCTTTATGGGCAACGCGCGGGGTAAAGAAAAGAAAAGAGGAGGGGTTGGAGAATTCGAAGGTTATCCTTTCAAATCTTTTTTCAGAATCTTTTTTTCAGAGAAAACAATCGATTTTGATCATCATCCTGGAGGGCATTTTCAATTTTGCCAATGGCAAAATCGAGAAAATTGCTTTATTCGCTGATCTTAATCTTCATCTCAACAATTCTCCAGAAAAAACTTCCATTCTTCAAATAAAACCAAATTAAATCTTCAATCTGGAAGGCAACTTAGGCTTTCATTTCTGAAGAAAAAAGATTACGCACCTTTGAAAATCACCTGACCCTCTGATTTGAGAATGGCTCGCTTTGAAAAAAATCGCTGGTAAAATCAAAAATTTGAAAATGGATTTAATCAAGCTGGACGTCATGCTATGTAATGGGAATCATTTGGGGGCAGGGAAATCGATTTGGCAATCGGTCGGGCCAGAGGGGGCACTCACACGCCCGAGGCACGCCATAAAATGGGTTCCCCTCTCTCGCCGAATCGTCTTTCCACCCCTCCCACTAAACCCATTCAATTACGTGACATCCATGATCCACGAAAAATCGATGAAACGATCAAATTTAGGTATTTGATAGGCTAAATTCACCCAGTCCTAAGTCGATTTTTCAAATTCTCCCTAACCCCTCCGAATCGTCTTTCCACCTAGCCCAATCAATTATGTGACATCCAGGATTTACGAAAAAGCTATGAAACAATCAAATTTAAGTATATAATAGCTTAAATTCACCCAGTCCTAAGCTGGATTCTCGAATTTTCCCTTACCCCTCCGAATCGTCTTTCCAACTAGCCCATTCAATTACGTGACATCCAGGATTTATGAAAAAGCTATGAAACGATCAGATTTTAATATATTATAGTTTAAATTCACCCAGTCCTAAATTGAGTTTCCAATTTCCCCCCTCCCCTCTCCAAATCCTCTTTCCACCCCTTCCAATCCTGGCCAACTGATCTTCCGCACATTCCTGATCACCTAGGCTTACTGCAATCAATTATGTGATATCCAGGATTCACGAAAAAGCTATGAAATGATCAGATTTAAGTATATTATAGGCTAAATTCATCCAGTCCTAAGTTGGATTCTCGAATTTTCCTTCTGCCCTCCGAATCGTCTTTCCACCTAGCCCATTCAATTATGTGACATCCAGAATTTACGAAAAAGCTATGAAACGATCAGCTTTTAATATATGATAGCTTGAATTCACCCAGTCCTAAATTGAGTTTCCAATTTCCCCTTCCTCTCTCCGAATCGTCTTTCTACCTAGCCCATTCAATTACGTGACATCCATGATCCACGAAAAATCGATGAAACGATCAAATTTAAACAGATTATAGCTTAAATTCGCCCAGTCCTAAGTCGATTTTTCGAATTTTTGAGTTCTCGCGAAAATCTCCAAAAGTAGGCAGCAAATTTGCATATGAATAGTGCGACTATCCATGCTGGATAGCATTTCATCCAAAAATGGGCTAATAGTGCGCGAGGGGTGACGAAAAAAAAACGAATCGACCTCAGCATATATGCAAATTTCGGTTGTTTTCTCTTTTCTTCTCGTTTTCACGCCTCATTTCGGTTTGACGATTTTTTTCAGAAATAGAGACGAATAGAGAACCCGTGGAAAGCTGAATATTTTAAAAAATGAAAAAATAGATAGTTCGATATTTTTATATAAAAAATAAACAAATTTTGAGTCATCAAAATCAAAAATTTTTTTTTTTGAGTAACTGCTGTAAATTATTTGCTATTTCTCCCTGGTGACTTCCAGGATTCACAAAAATTTCCCGCAAATCTCTTTCTGATGAAGCTGGTACGAGATGCGGGTGACCAATTATCGGCTTAGTTCGCCCGGGTAACGGGAAAATTTCCCTATTCAATATCTAAACGCTCACACACCTCCTGTGCGCTCCAGATCGATGAAATAATTCAAAAATTTTCGAGTTCTATTCAAATATTCGCTGAAATAATGGCTGAAATGCTGTCGAACCACCGGAAACGTGTTTCCTTGTCACTAGAGGGTTAGTTGTAAAAGAAAAGTTTCAAGCTGGAATGCATGTAAGCGAATGGCTTTATTTTCGAAGTAAAATAAGCGAATTTACATATGGTGTATTGGTAGTGTGTTTGGTTACAAAACGAACGGGGTGGGCAAGGCCCGGGTTCGAGTCCCCGAGGCGGTAAATGCTCGGTAATCTCTTGTAAAACAGTTTTTACGCATTTAGTGCCTTCCATTTGGAACGAAACAAAGGAAAAGGAGGAGATTGTAGCTGAACGAGTCGGGGAGTGCTCCTCATCATCGTCCCGGGTTCTCTCACCGGATGGATCGATCCAAATCGAGTTCGATCCACCGCCATACGTTGACGAGTTCACACCGGTGTGAGTTTTACAGCAATAAGCTTATGGCTAGGCTACAGTAACCCTCAGGGTTAGATCTAACCAGCACTATGTCCAGCACTTTTGGTGCGGAACTCCTTGCTGGCATAACTCTTGTTCTAGAAGGGATAAGTTGTCTAGGATTTTGGCTATATTCTAGTTGGATGTCACAGCAAAGTTTAGATTGATTAAATTTCAGCATTTCGAAATTTCAGTCAAGCACTTTTTAAGCAAAACTGCTTGGCGGTGTAACTCTTGTTCTAGAAGGAGTAAGCGTTCTAATATTTTGGCTATATTCTAGTTGGATGTCACCACAAAATTTAAGATTGTAGCGGGTGTTGTTGCTGAGAATTTCAGTCAAGCACTTTTTAAGCAAAACTGCTTGGCGGTGAAACTCTTGTTCTAGAAAGAATAAGCGTTCTAATATTTTGGCTAAATCTAAGTTGGATGTCACAGCAAAGCTTGAATTGATCAAATTTCTTCATTTCGCAATTTCGGAATTACTGTTTTTAGACAAAGTTGGGTAATTAAACCGGACCTGAAAAGTGCCTGGCCGAAATTCCCGCCCAACACCCCCGTGCCGTATGTCGTTTAAACCAAATCGACTATCAGGAATCCAAAAATCACATCCATTTTTCGATTAGAACAACTCCAAGCGATATATGCAAATTTTTCATCTTTCACCGGGACTTTCAAAGCCAACCTTTGAAAATAATTGAATTTTCGGATTCCCCATAGCCAAGAACCTTTAAACGACACCAAACAAGGGGGGTCAAAGTTGAAAGTGGACCTGATCTAACCAGCACTTTGTCCAGCACTTTGGCAGAGCCTGGACGCTCTCTAGACGAGTGTCTAGCTTGATTTTTGTTGATTTTCGCTTTTTTGACTAATCTGAACTATTCAGAATGGGGATTCTTGGTGCGCCGAAGTGTCGCTGCACGAGCTCCTTATTAGCATTGTTATCAATGATGACTGGTGGGTTTAATCCGTATAAATTCTCTATTTAAAACTCCAGGCCTTGTCCTCGTCACTTCCGGCGCCGCGATCACCTTCTTTTTCTACACCCAGGAGGCCTTGGTGATCACCCCGGTTAGTTTTTCTTTCAATCTGGATGTCATGCTGTTCAAAAATCACGGTTCTAACCCACCTATAGCGCAGTGGTTAATGGCGCTAGTAATCCAAAGGTCGAGGGTTCGATCCCGTCCGGCGCCAAAATTTTAAGTTTCCTCAAATTTTCTCTAATTTCATTCTATATCTATAGTGAGCTCCAGATCGTTGTTCCGTATAGGAAATAACTCATTCCAGTCAGGCACAGCGCTTAAAAACCGCCAGTCCTGTAGCCCGAAATTTCGATTTTTTTTTTTAAAGATGATCCCAGATTTTAAGTTTTCCTTTTCGCTTTGTGCCTTCCAGATTCCTCAAAAATCAAAAAATTAAGCCGAAACTATTGACCAAAACGTTTATTCACGCTCGTTCTCGTTCATTTCCGTTTTTATCGTCGTCTCGTTGGTGACTCGAATCGATTTCTCGTTAATAGTCACTTTCACGAAATCCTCGTACGGGGAATTGTTCAAAAGCTAAAAGAAATTAGTTAGAAAGTTATAATTTCAAAATTTCACTTCTCCATCATATTGGCGGCGAGCGATCTCGAGAAATTCCCAGTACGCTTCGTAAAACTAAGAAGAAATCAGAAAATTTGGATTCCCCATAGTTGATTTACTCTAAACGACATATCGCAAACGGATCCTGGCCGAAATTCCAACCAGGCTTACGTGCGGAACTCCTTGCTGGCATAACTCTTGTTCTAGAAGGGATAAGCTGTCTAGGATTTTGGCTATATTCTAGTTGGATGTCACAGCAAAGTTTGGTTTAATCAAATTTCAGCATTTCGAAATTTCAGTCAAGCACTTTTTAAGCAAAACTGCTTGGCGGTGTAACTCTTGTTCTAGAAGGGATAAGCTGTCGAATATTTCAGCTAGAGTCTAGTTGGATGTCACACCAAAGCTTGAATTGATCAAATTTCTTCATTTCTTCATTTCGGAATTACGGTCTTTTACACAAAGTTGCGTAATTGAACCGGACCTGGAAAGTGCCTGGCCGAAATTCCCGCCCAACACCCCTGTGCCGTATGTCGTTTAAAGCAAATCGACTATCAGGAATCCAAAAATCACATCCATTTTTCGATTAGATAAACTTCAAACGATAAATGCAAATTTTTCACCTTTCACCGGGATTTTTAAAGGTAACCTTCGAAAATAATTGAATTTTCGGATTCCCCATAGCCAAGAACCTTTAAACGACACCAAACACGGGGGGTTTTGGGGCAGTTTTGAGGCAGGCACTTTTGGCGGGAAGAGGAGCCCCTCGGAAAGTGGCTGCTTGCCGGAAATTTCAGCTCCATATTTTGGCTATATTCTAGTTGGATGTCACAGCAATGTTTGGATTAATCAAATTTAAGGAATCAAATCAAATTATGGAATTTCAATCAGGCACTTTTCGAGCAAAACTGCTTGGCGATGCAACTCTTGTTCTAGAAGGGATAAGCTGTCTAATATTTTGGCTATATTTTAGTTGGATGTCACCCCAAAGCTTGAATTGATCAAATTTCTGCATTACAGTCTTTTACACAAATTTGGGTAATTGAACCGGGCTGTGGAGTGCCTGGTCGAAATTTTTAGCTATCATACCCGTGTCATATGTCGTTTAAAGTAAATCGACTACGGGGAATCCGAATTTTTAATTATTTTTAGTGGTTAGCTGTTGAAATTTTGATTTCTCGAAAATCTGAAGTCTTACTCGGATGTAGACGGCGCAAAATTTCGCATCGCTCCACTCTGCCTCCGTGTACTCGGCTTCAAGGAACTAAAGAAACCAATAGAAATAGTAAAAGATCAAAAAAACCTCTTTCATTTTTTCAAGAGTTTTGCGGTAATCGAGGAGTTTCTCTGAAAAAAATAGAAAATAAAAAAAATTTCCTTTTAACCCCGACAATATCTCCTGTGATATCCAACTAAGAAATGCTTTTAATTTGAAAAACTTTTACCATATAAAAAAGAGCTAAACAAGCCTGAACTCGTTTCCTCGCTAAATAACACGGAATTTGGTGATTAGGGATCGAATTTTTCTTATAATTCCTCAATCCTGGAGTACACATTTGAAATTTTCGAGATAAAATCGGGGGGGTTATCAAGAAATTTCTCTTACTCATTTTCTCGTGGGATGGGGAGAGGAGGTACTTGACGAGGAAGCTCTTGCCGATCAATCCACAGCAGAGAAGAGCGCCGAAAGTAGGCATGAGCCATACACTCTCGTCCCAACACCAAACGATCACACTCCAGACGCTGAAATTCGTAAAAATTGAATCCAGTACATTAGTGTACAATGGACACCCATGTCCATTGTACACTAATGTACCCAAGTAGAAAACCAAAAATCTAATTCTCAGAAATTGTGATGTGCCTTCCAGATCAGAGGGAAATGCAAAAATTATTGAAATTGAGAGAAGATTGAGCGATTACAAGCGTTGATCTCATATTCTGGTATTCCCTGATCTACTTTGTACAATAATCGACTGTTTAAAGGCGAAAATGATCAATCTGGATGTCACACTAGTTTTTTGAAATCATAGAATCAGCATTTACGCAACTTAGGCACTTGGGTGATTAAATCGGACGGTAGCTGGGTATTCTTTGGGCTACTTTGTACGACAATCCGGTTGTTTAAAGGTCAAAATGGCTAAGCTGGATGTCACTCTAGTGTTTCAAAATCATAGAAACATCATTGACGCAATTTAGGCACTTTGGAAAGGAGCCGGATGGTAGATGGGTGTTCTTTGTTATGATTTGTACAATAATCCGATTGTTTAAAGACCAAAATGCCCAATCTGGATGTCACACTATGCTTTGTGCCAGAAGGCGCGCGTTTACGCGACAGCACAAAGTACACCCCCCGGCAGCTGAAACCTATGGTACTGTCACTAAAAAAATATTGCTATGGTACCGTAAATTGATGCTTATCGTACGGTGTGACATCCAGAACTGGTTATGATTGCCAGAAGGCGACCGTTTATCGAAATCGAAATCATAAATTCGGCAACAAGAGCAACTTAGGCTACAAGAGTACTTTGTGCTCCTGTAAACGCAGGCCTTCTGGTGCACTCGAAAATTTCAAAGAATCAAAGAACTTACGTCGTAAGGATTGAAATTATCGCGTCGTTCAAAAGGCCCATTTTTGGAAGAATTTTGAGAAAAATGAGGATTTTCGGAAATTCTCGGCAAAAAATGAAAATTAAATGCAAATTTTTAATGCAAATTTTTAATTCAAAATTTTCAATGCAAATTTATATATGCAAATTTCGCTGAAACCTTAAAAATTCAAAATCTAAACCCCATAACTTTTTGCTGTGACATCCAACTAAGCAAACGTCAAAGTTTCAGCGAATTTCATCAACCCAACAATGAGCTAGGGCCTCGATCGCGTTCATCGTTATTTAAAGCGAACGATGGAGGTTAGATGGATGATTTTTTGAAATCCTTGCATCCTGGAGGTCACTATAGAAATCCTATTACTTAAAAGCAGGCATTAGTTGGGGTACTGTAGTCGGGTACTGTAGTCAAGTACTGTAGTCAGGTACTGTAGTTGGCGGCTGTAGAACTGTAGAACCGGCGGCTTTTTTTAATCCGTAGCCTACTGTGACATCCAACTAAGCAAACGCCAAAGTTTCAGCGAATTTAATCGACCCAACAATGAGCTAGGGCCTCGATCGCGTTCATCGTGATTTAAAGCAAACGATGGAGGCTAGATGGATAATTTCTTGAAATCCTTACATCCTGGAGGTCACTATAGAAATCCTATTACAGGGCGTCACTCTGATGTCGATCGGAATCGTGCTGACGTTGCTGGGCTGCGTGTCGTGGGTGTCGCGCTTCATGCTACACGATTGCCTGGCAAGGTGGGTTTTTTGGTGTCAACCATTGAGGTGCTATCCAATTTGGAAATTTCTTCAATCAAAACCCGTAAAACCATTGCGGGGCTCGAAAAAACGACTCAGTCCTGAAACTTTTGGATCAAATTTCAACTTTTGAGTCAATTTTGGGGTTTAAAGATTTGAAATCAAAAAAATAACTAACGTGCGCTCCAGTTTCGTCAAATATTAACACAAAAGATTTATCGCTTTATTAATTTGCAAAATTTCAGGGTCTACTCTCATATGAAGGCGGCTCCAGTGAAAGAGGCGCAACGGCGGCGAGCAAAACGGCTGTGAGTGGCTGATTTGAGTCAAGAATCGAATTCTGTAAACAGTTTAGCCCTTTTTTGGCTCAAGTACAGCACCTGGGCAGATGCAAAATGGGGATTTGAGGAAAAATTTGACGAAGATATGAGTTCAACGCTTGTAATCGCTCATCCTTATCCGAAACTCGATAATTTTTGCGTTTCTCTCTGATCTGGAACGCACAACACAATTCCTGAGAATTAGATTTTGATTTACTGACATTTGCGTTACTTGGGTAGATTAGTGTCACCGCCGCGCCGCCGCCCGGTACCCAAGTGCCTAAGGTGAGCAAATGCTGATTCTATGATTATGAAACACTAGCGTGACATCCAGATTGACCATTTTGGTTTTTAAACAACCGGATCATCCTACAAAGTATGTCAGAAAACACCCAGCTACCGTCCGGCTCCTTACCCAAGTGCCTAAATTGCTTAAATGATGATTCTATGATTATGAAACACTAGCGTGACATCCAGCTTAGCCATTTTGCCCTTTAAACAACCGGATTGTCGTACCAAGTAGATCAACGAATACCCAGCTATTGTCCGGCTTAACTACCCAAGTGCCTAAGTCGCTCATTCTTATTTCAAATCTCGATAATTTTTGCGTTTCTCTCCGATCTGGAAGGCACAGCACAATTCCTGGCAATTAGATTTTCGATTTATCTAAATCTACTGGAGCTAGGTCCGGTCGGGGAGTCGAACCCGTGGGCGAAAGAGACCGCTCGCCCGGTAATCCTCCGAAATCCCACTGCGCCATCCTGTACTTTGTCGATTTCGCAAATCTTTTTCATGGAATATCTTGTGTGACTTCCAGATCACAATATACCGAAATTTCAAGGCCTGGGCTCGAACCCAAGCCACTTTTTTTGCCAGCAACCTGAAATCCCACTGCGCCATTTTGTACTTTGTCGATTTCGCAAATCTTTTTCATGAAATATCTTGTGTGACTTCCAGATCACAATATGCCGAAATTCCAAGGCCTGGCGGCGAACCCAAGCCACTTTTTTTGCAAGTAACCTGAAATCCCACTGCGCCATCCTGTACTTTGTCGATTTCGCAAATCTTTTTCATGGAATATCTTGTGTGACTTCCAGATCACAATATACCGAAATTTCAAGGCCTGGGCTCGAACCCAAGCCACTTTTTTTGCCAGCAACCTGAAATCCCACTGCGCCATTTTGTACTTTGTCGATTTCGCAAATCTTTTTCATGAAATATCTTGTGTGACTTCCAGATCACAATATGCCGAAATTCCAGGCCTGGCCGGCGAACCCAAGCCACTTTTTTGCAAGTAACCTGAAATCCCACTGCGCCATTTTGTACTTTGTCGATTTCGCAAATCTTTTTCATGAAATATCTTGTGTGACTTCCAGATCACAATATACCGAAATTTCAAGGCCTGGGGTCGAACCCAAGCCACTTTTTTGGCAAGCAACCAGTAGCGTTAGGCTGAAATTTTAGTAAAAAAGGCTAAACTACAAAAAACTACTATTGCCTGATTTATCTATTTTTTAGCTCTCGGATGTCCGGCACGGTCTCCCGCTCGGCCACCGCCACTTCTCAACTCCCGTTGAGTCGAAGCGGCTCACAGGCCACTGTCACCTCGAATTTGACGCCATCAAAATATTGAAATCTCAATTTTACACAATTTTTTGATAAATCTGGATGTCATGCTATGGAAAGAAATGTTTAAAACCTCGAAAATACAAAATTCTGATCAAGCACAAAATCCTCTCGGACTTCGAGTCAATTCCTCGCGGCTAGACAATTCTAGCAGATTTCTAATGACTCTACAGACAATTCTGGACGTCACAACATGTGCTAAAAGGTTTACCTTTGAGAAAAGGGCCATCCGACCGCATGGTCGATGCTCGAGCCTTAGAGTCTCCATAGCAACCACTACAAACTAAAATCCTGAATCGCTTTCGGAAAAATCTCACCTTTACTCTATTTTTAGCCCTTTTTCCTTTTCCTTTACTCTAATTTTCTCAAATTTCCTCGATTTTCAGAAAATTTGAATGGACGACGATGAAAAAGCGCAAATTATTCGCGGTTTTGTCAGCAAGCGCGCAAAAATCGAGCAACGAGGTAAACGATGGACAGAGAAAAGGGAAATAAAGAAAAGAAATAAAGAAATAACAATAAAAAAAAACCATTTGGCAGCTCGCGGACTCGAACCCGGGTACCTTGGATCGAGAAACCAGCGCACTAACCACTTGGCCACGAAAAAATTTGTTTAAATTTATTCAGTAAATATCGTATTGTGTTGGGTGACTTCCAGATTGGCAGATAGCGTTTTCTTAGTGCTCAATTTTTCATACAATCGCCTATTTCCCAGTGATCTCTAATCGCAAAGATTTTAAGCGAATTTGATGTTTTTTTCAAAATTCCAAGAATTCTATAGTGAATTCTGGATGTCATAGGAAAGATCTATGAAGTTAAAAATCGATTCCAGAGCGTTTAACGAGTCTCGGTCTGCAGGCTTTCCTCCATTTCAACGTTTACTTTATGCCGGTTTTGCTCATTTTTGGAGTCTCTTGTTTCGTCGTAAAGGTAATTTAAAGCTAAAATCTACTATCTACCGTACTATTAGCCTGCTAATAAATCTACGGTACCCCTTTACAGTACTCCCTCTTGTCTGTCACGTATCAAGTGCTTCTCATCTCGATTTTTATCGTTTTCTGTATCGTTGAATGCGTTCGACTTTTGCTCGGCTACTACGGGAATCTGGGGGAAAAGGTTTGTAGCTTCACAAAGCTAGCGTTTACATTAAAGCACAAAGTACACCGCGGAGAACGAATATAACGCTATAACTCCAGTTTCTTTGGAAGAATCTAGATCATTTTTCACATTTTTCGCTCATCTGGAAGGCACACCAGCAAAGCCATTCGTTGGGAACCTGCCCGGTTCAATTACGCAAGTGCTTGTGCACCTAGGTCAGAACTCGAAGCTATAACTCGAGTTTCCCTAGGAAAATCTAGATAATTTTCAAATTTTTGGCTTATCTGGAAGGCACACGAGAAAAGCCATTGATTGAGTGACACCAGCTAAAAGTTTCATTCAAGCACTTTTCGAGCAAAACTCCCTGCTGGCGTAACTCTTGTTCTAGAAGGAGTAGGCGTTCTAATATTTTGGCTAAATCTAAATTGGATGTCACTAGAAAATTTCAGATTATAGCGGGTATTGTAGATGCAATTTTCTTTCAAGCACTTTTCGAGCAAAACTCCCTGCCGGCATAACTCTTGTTCTAGAAGGGATAAGCTGTCTAGGATTTTGGTTATATTCTAGTTGGATGTCACAGCAAAGTTTAGATTGACTAAATTTTTGCATCTCGCAATTTCGGAATTACTGTGTTTGCACAAAGTTGCGTAATTGAACCGGACCTGGAAAGTGCCTGGCTGAAATTCCCGCCCAACACCCCTGTGCCGTATGCCGTTTAAAGCAAATCGGCCATCAGGAATCCAAAAATCACATCCATTTTTCGATTAGATAAACTTCAAGCGACATATGCAATTTTTTTACCTTTCACCGGGATTTTCAAAGCCAACCTTTTAAAATAATTGAATTTTCGGGTTCCCCATAGCCAAGAACCTTTAAACGACACTAAACACGGGGGGTTTTGGGTCAAAGTTGAAGCAGGCACTTTTGCCTGGTCGAAATTTTTAGCTACAATAACCATACCTCATTCCAGATCCCAGCGCTTTCCGGTTTCTGGATCACCTCTCTCCTCATCCAGCTACCCCTTTCGCTTTTTCTCCTCTTCAACGCCGATATCCGACCACTTCCCCTCGAGAAAGCTGTCTACGGGATTCACATCATTTTCCTCATCGGCGAGGTTGGGAATCTAACTTTTAAGCAATTCATGGCAAGTTCTGGATGTCACAGTAAACATTAGCATTGTTAGAAGTTCGGGTTACTGTAGGGAATTAGTTGGGGTACTGTAGTCGGGTACTGTAGTCGGGTACTGTAGTTGGCGACTGTAGAACTGTAGAACCGGCGGCTTTCTTTAATTCGTAGCCTACTGTGACATCCAACTAAGCAAACGCCAAAGTTTTGACAAATTTCATCAACCCAACAATCAGCTAGGGCGTCGAACGCGTTCATCGTAATTTAAAGCGAACGATGGAGGCTAGATAGATAATTTTTCGAAATCCTTACATCCTGGAGGTCACTATAGAAATCTGATTACTCAAAAGCAGGCATTATCTTTAGGTTACATTATTCGGCTACAGTACCCTTGGTAATTGATCAAAAACTAAAATTTTTCAGGCAGTCACCGGTTTCGATGTAATGCGTCGCATCGCCAATCATCAAATGATCAATTTTCAAAAAAGAATCGAACAAGAAGAGATCGAAACAAACGAAAAAGAGCAAAAATGAGGAAATTTCATTAAAAACTTGTGAAATCTGTCAATAAAACAGTCAAATCCTCGAAAAATCTCCATTTATCTTCTTTATTACACTTCTATAAACCCCTGGAATCCCATAAATTCACTAATTTTTCATCTTTTTCATCGTTTTCACCGTTTAAACCCCTTTTTCCTTTCTCTGCCTCTTTCCGCAGATCTGGCTCAACAATTGTCTTTTTTAGAAAGAAAATTGTAAGATCTGGAGGTCACTACACATTTTAAAAGTTTTAGAAAAGAATTTGGACCAATTTGAAATTGATGACAGCCGGGGGGATCGAACCCTCGAGGTTTAGCCTCGCTATCGCTTTAGAGACTATCGATGTAGCCACTCGGCCATGCAAGGAAAGAACTGATACTGTATATTACCGGGCGAGCGGCCTCTTTCGCCCACGGGTTCGACTCCCCGACCGGACCTAGCTCCAGTAGATTTAGATAAATCAAAAATCTAATTGCCAGGAATTGTGCTGTGCCTTCCAGATCAGAGAGAAACGCAAAAATTATCGAGATTTGAATAGGAATGAGCGACTTAGGCACTTGGGTAATTAAGCCAGACGGTAGCTGGGTATTCTTTGGGCTACCTTGTACGACAATCCAGTTGTTTAAAGGCCAAAATGGCTAAGCTGGATGTCACACTAGATTTTCGAAATCATAGAATCATCATTTAAGCAATTTAGGCACTTGGGTAAGGAGCCGGACGGTAGCTGGGTGTTTTCTGACATACTTTGTAGGATGATCCGGTTGTTTAAAAACCAAAATGGTCAATCTGGATGTCACGCTAGTGTTTCATAATCATAGAATCAGCATTTGCTCACCTTAGGTACTTGGGTACCCGGCGGCGGCGCGACGGTGACACTAATCTAGCCAAGTAACGCAAATGTCAGTAAATCAAAATCTAATTCTCAGGAATTGTGTTGTGCGTTCCAGATCAGAGAGAAACGCAAAAATTATCGAGTTTCGGATAAGGATGAGCGATTACAAGCGTTGAACTCATATCTTCGTCAAATTTTTCCTTAAATCCCCATTTTACATCTGCCCAGGTGCTGTACTTGAGCCAAAAAAGGGCTAAACTGTTTACAGAATTCGATTCTTGACTCAAATCAGCCACTCACAGCCGTTTTGCTCGCCGCCGTTGCGCCTCTTTCACTGGAGCCGCCTTCATATGAGAGTAGACCCTGAAATTTTGCAAATTAATAAAGCGATAAATCTTTTGTGTTAATATTTGACGAAACTGGAGCGCACGTTAGCTATTTTTTTGATTTCAAAACTTTAAACACCAAAATTGGCTCAAAAGTTGAAATTTGACTCAAAGGTTTCAGGACTGGGTCGATTTTTCGAGAATCCGCAATGATTTTACGGCTTTGATTTAAGAAATCTCCAAGCTGGATAGCACCTCAATGATTGCCACCAAAAAACCCACCTTGCCAGGCAATCGTGTAGCATGAAGCGCGACACCCACGACACGCAGCCCAGCAACGTCAGCACGATTCCGATCGACATCAGAGTGACGCCCTGTAATAGGATTTCTATAGTGACCTCCAGGATGCAAGGATTTCGAAAAATTATCCATCTAGCCTCCATCGTTCGCCTTAAATTACGATGAACGCGATCGAGGCCCTAGCTCATTGTTGGGTTGATGAAATTCGCTGAAACTTTGGCGTTTGCTTAGTTGGATGCCACAGTAAGCTACGAATTAAAGAAAGCCGCCGGTTCTACAGTTCTACAGTCGCCAACTACAGTACCTGACTACAGTAGCTGACTACACTACCCCAACTAATTCCCTACAGTAACCCGAACTTTTAACAATGCTAATGTTTACTGTGATATCCAGGACTTGCCATGAATTGCTTAAAAGTTAGATTCCCAACTACAGTACCTGACTTTCGGCTCAGAGAATGCTTAGAACGCTATAACTCAAGTTTCCCTAGAACAATCTAGATATTTTTCACATTTTTGGCTCATCTGGAAGGCACACTAGCAAAGCTATTAATTGAGAACCTGCCAAGTTCAGTTACGCAAATGCCTGTGCACCTAGGTCAGAACTCGAAGCTATAACTCGAGTTTCCCTAGAAAAATCTAGATGATTTTCATATTTTTGGCTTATCTGGAAGGCACACGAGCAAAGCCATTGATTGGGGAACATCAGCTAAAAGTTTCATTCAAGCACTTTTCGAGCAAAGCTCCCTACCGGCGTAACTCTTATTCTAGAAGGAGTAGGCTTTACGATATTTTGGCTAAATCTAAATTGGATGTCACCACAAAATTTCAGATTGTAGCGGGTATTGTAGCTACAATTTTTCATCAGACACTTTTGGGGCGGAACTCCTTACCAACGTAATTCTTGTTCTAGAAAGAGTAGGCTTTCCAATATTTTGGCTATATTCTAGTTGTATGTCACACTAAAGATTGGATTAATCAAATTTGAGCATTTCGAAATTTCAGTCAGGCACTTTTTAAGCAAAACTGCTTGGCGGTGTAACTCTTGTTCTAGAAGGAGTAGGCTTTCTAATATTTTGGGTAAATCTAAGTTGGAGGTCACAGCAAAGCTTGAATTGATCAAATTTCTACATTTCGGAATTTCGGAATTACTGTTTTTAGACAAAGTTGCGTAATTGAACCGGACCTTGAAATTGCCTGGCTGAAATTCCCGCCCAGCACCCCCGTGCCGTATGTCGTTTAAAGCAAATCGACTATCAGGAATCCAAAAATCACATCCATTTTTCGATTAGATAAGCTCCAAGCGATATATGCAAATTTTTCACCTTTCACCGGGATTTTCAAAGCCAGCCTTCGAAAATAATTGAATTTTCGGATTCCCCATAGTTGATTTGCTCTAAACGACATATGACAAAGGGGTGCTGGCCGAAAATTCCAACCAGGCTTAGGTGCGAAATTCCTTGCCGGCATAACTCTTGTTCCAGAAGGGATAAGCTGTCTAGGATTTTAGCTATATTCTAGTTGGATGTCACAGAAGATGATCAAATTTTTCATTCTGTCCTGTACGTCTGTTCTACCCAGATCAGAATTCGACGTTATAATTCGAGTTTCTTTGAAGCAATCTAAATAATTTTCATATTTTTGTTTTATCTGGAAGGCACGCGAGCAAAGAAAGCTATTGGTTGGGTGATTGATCTTAAAAAATCAAAACTCAAAATGAATGTCTAGTTAATGTCTAGAATCACGTTTTTTTGTTTTCAAACGATTTCATTTTCACCTTTTCTCGTTCTAAATTCATTCTTAGGCTTCCAAAAGTTCAAAAATGTGCAAAGATTTCTTAGATTTCAATAAATTAGCTTTTTTCTCTAATGTGCAAAAATCAGAAATTTTTCAATTTTCGAGAAAAAATTTCCATCTGTTTTCTAAAGTTTTCACCTGATTGGGTTCAATTTTCAGGCTCTTTTTTTATCCAAAAGACTATAAAACCAAAGAAAACACAGCTTTTTTTATCATACTTTCACTTTTTCTGTGCAAAAATTCGATGTCTAGCCAAGTTTGACACCGATTTCTGGGACTGCTCGAATTTCTCGTGCTAAAGCGCAATCTTGGGACTAGAGAAGTTGCTAGGAGGTGATTCTGGAAGTCACAGAAGATGCTGACAAATCTAGAAATTGAAAATTGGTCATTTTGACGCTACTTTTGGACCAAGCACCTACCATAATTTGAGAATGGCTAAAATTAGAGACAATGCGGCAATCTTGGGGCTAGATAAGTTGCCAGGAGGTGATCCTGGAAGTCACAGAATCTGCTGACAAATCTAGAAATTGAAAACAGCTATGTACCCGGGTGGCCGAGTGGCTAGCACGCTTGGCTCTTGATCTGAGCTTCCGATCTGGGGGGTCCGGGTTCGAGTCCGCTTGCCTGCTCAACTTTTATAAAACTCTGTTTTTTGATCTTTTTTCTATTTTGGAATGATATAGACGTCAATTCTATGAAATAAAATGATGTTTTTGAAGAAATTTTTCATTAAATTCAATGAAAATTCCTGCAAAATTTAGCCAAATTTTTCTATTTTTTTTCAAATTTTTCAAGAATTCTTTTTTCACTTTTCTTTCAAATTTTTCAAGAATTCTAGAGAGTTTCCATTATCTATTTCTCTTTTTGAGTAAATGGATGAAAAATGGAATGCGAAAGTTGAGGGATTAATGGGAAAAAATTCCCATTTCCCATGGATCCTTTAGCAAAAAGTTAATGATCTTTAGCCCGCTCGAAATGATCTTCCTTTCATCCAAATTCTCATTTCCCTCAATTTTAAACACGTTTAAAACGTTTCCGAAGAAAAAAACGACTTTTGGAAAAATTTTGCCCTTCCGGGAGTCGAACCCTCGACCTTTCGACTGGTAGCCTGGCTCGCTAACCATTACACCACCGAGAAATTTTATTAGATTCGTTTTCTAATGATTTCTATAGCTTCTGTGACTTCCAGCTTGCACAAAAATAAGTTGTTATCCTGGATTTTCTCTATTTTTCGACCATTATTGAGCCGAACATTGATCCTCCAAAAACTCACTGAAACTAAAGATATTCAGCTAAAAGAAAGTGTTTTTTTGTGAATCCTGGAGGTCACAGGAGGTTTTAAAACCGTTTTTGGATGAAAATAAGCAGAATACCAGTTGGCTCTCGCTCGAAGGGTCCGAGTTCGAATCCTTGTGCAGCCAACTCCCTCAAAACTCTCCAAAAGTCGAAAATTTCTGTGCGGTGACTTCCAGATCTTTCAAAAATCAATTAAAAATGACTCATTTCTCAATATTCCTGCAAAATTTTGACTCAATCATGAAAATGATGAAATTTTGCCCAATCAACCGGGTTTTTTTCTGATTCTGAATGTAATTTCTGTCTTTATTTGCTCGAATCAGAGTTCTTCCCGGAAATCGCATAAAGATTTTAGCACCTGATCGCTCTTTTCAGTCATAAAACTACAAATAACCGGAAAAAAATGAGTCGGCGCGAATTTTAACGAATAATTCGGAAAACTTGAAAAGATGAATCACTTGAAAGGCTAATCTGGAACGCATCAGACTTAAATTTTGTTGTTTCTGATGAGTAGGAAGATTTTGGCGGTGGCGGGATTCGAACCCGGACCCCCAGATCGGAAGCTCAGATCAAGAGCCAAGCGTGCTAGCCACTCGGCCACCCGGGTACATAGCTGTTTTCAATTTCTAGATTTGTCAGCATCTTCTGTGACTTCCAGGATCACCTCCTAGCAACTTATTTAGCCTCAAGATTGCCTCATTATCTCTAATTTTAGCCATTCTCAAATTATGGTGGGTGCTTGTAGCGTAAAAAAGTAATTTGCTCAAATCGTAATTTCTTGATTTGTCAGCATCTTCTGTGACTTCCAGGATCACCTCCTAGCAACTTATCTAGCCCCAAGATTGCCTCATTAGCTCTAATTTTAGCCAATCTCAAATTATGGTAAGAGCTTGGGCCAAAAGTAGCGTAAAAATGAAGAATTTTCAATTTCTAGATTTGTCAGCATCTTCTGTGACTTCCAGGATCACCTCCTAGCAACTTATCTAGCCACAAGATTGCCTCATTGTCTCTAATTTTAGCCATTCTCAAATTATGGTAAGTGCTTGAGCCAAAAGTAGTATAAAAATGATACAAAAACATTGAAAAATAGGGATTTCCACGGAAATTAAGGTATCTGAAAGCTAAGAAGAGCTACAGGAGCTACAGTAGACTAAAAAGCTTAGTAAAGGCTAGATTCTATTTCTTGATCCGACTACCGTACCCCAAAAAGCCGGATTTTCAGAATTCATCATTTCCTGAAATTTCTTCGATATAACACTCCCGTGCATGACAATTCGACGCCCGCATTCACAAAAACCGAGACTTTTCCCGAAAATAGCCGAGAATTTCAACCAGTCCTATGATATCATCCAATTTCACACCACTCAGCCCGGCTTATGCTCGCCTTATGGGCTTATTTTCCTGAAAACGATTCCTTTCCCTTACCTGGACGTCATCGAAGCTCTCCAATGTGTCATTAAAAAGTGTTTATCAGAGAATTGTTCTCTCCTGTTTTCTCAAATTCGTCTTTTCTTTGTCTCTAACAGAAAAATTTTCTCCAATTTTCTCTGTCCCAATTTTCTCCCAATCTAGCGTTTTCTCTGATCGCCGTGATCTCCAGCATTGACTATTTGAGGCACGGTTTAGGCAGAATCGCAGTCTTTTCCACAAAAAGATAAGCAGTCCCAAATCTCCAGCCAATCATTTCTAAAAATCACAAAAATTCTGTTTTCTATGAAAAATCTTTTTCGTGACATCCAGCTTTTACTTATTTGAGTTAATTTTATATCAATTTCTCTAAAATTTTCATTTTTCCTTGTCCAGTCAATTTGAAGAAATGTGCCTTCAAAGTTTTCAACATTCCAACTCCATTTCTTACTTTGTTTTCTAAAATGACTTCCAGCTTGGCCAAAACTCGCATTATTTTCTCAAAATCTCAAAAAGAAATCATTATTTCGAGGTGATCACTGATCACGTCTATAAATCGAGTTTAAATCAATATTCCAGAAAACTAGAAACACTATTGGCAGATCTGGAGCTCACAGCATAATCCCAGATATTCATTTCTTAGTTTTATCAACATTTCTTCATGGCGCAGTGGTTTTTGAAGAGCTTCCAGGCGAACGACCCAAGTTCGATTCCGCTATCTCTATCCAAAGTTCACTTCTGTTTTTTTTCATCTTTTTCAGCTCTCTGGTACTTGTTGAGCCTCAAATCTGAAAGCCACCTGTTTCATAAAGCTCTTTTTCAGCTGTTTGCGATTTTTGAAGCGATTTTTTGAAAAGAAAAGAAAAGTGTTTGCTGATAAAGCATAATTCCGGCTTTTTTATGCCCGTTTTGACGCAAAGGGCGTCAAATTTTTGCACTTAAACCTGACTTTTTCATTTTAAAATAGTTGTTCCGTAAATAGCTTGAATAGAAAAAGCTAGGTCCGGTCGGGGAGTCGAACCCGTGGGCGAAAGAGGCCGCTCGCCCGGTAATCCTCCGAAATCCCACTGCGCCATCCTGTACTTTGTCAATTTCGCAAATCTTTTTCATGGAATTTCTTGTGTGACTTCCAGATCACAATATGCTGAAATTTCAAGGCCTGGGCTCGAACCCAAGCCACTTTTTTTGCCAGCAACCTGAAATCCCACTGCGCCATTTTGTACTTTGTCGATTTCGCAAATCTTTTTCATGGAATTTCTTGTGTGACTTCCAGATCACAATATGCCGAAATTTCAAGGCCTGGGCTCGAACCTAAGCCACTTTTTTTGCCAGCAACCTGAAATCCCACTGCGCTATTTTGTACTTTATCGATTTCGCAAATCTTTTTTACTGAATATCGTCTGTGCCTTCCAGATCGCGATATGCTCAAGTTTAAAGCACAACTTCTAGGTACAAACTATTCAATTGAGCGAGAGAAGAACGATGAGACTGTTGATTGCCCTCTCTTTGGCCTTAGTCGCCTGTGTGTTCGGTAAGTGTTGCTAGAAAAGCGCTAAAATAACGGATTCTTATGAATAACGTCACATTTCAGCCGCCCCCGTCGATCTTTCCCTCCAAAACGAGCTCAAATCGCTACAAGACCAAATCGCACAAGTCCAGGTTTGTCAAAAAATGATGAAAAATCGAATTTTTTACAAAGAAACTGATGAAATTACCGCTTTTCATTTTAATTTTAAAATTTCCAGCGCGAACTCAAATCCGAATCCTCAAACATGGCCTACAGCAACTTGGTGAGTTTTCACAAAAAATTCATAAGCTAACCATCAAAAATAAGCAAATTTCTGGATTCCTGATAGTCGATTTGCTTTAAACGACATACGGCACGGGGGTGCTGCGCGAAAATTTCAGCCAGGCACTTTCCAGGTCCGGTTCAATTACCCAACTTTGTGTAAAAGATCCGAATGCAGTAATTTGATTAAACCAAACTTTGCTGTGACATCCAACTAGAATATAGCCAAAATCCTAGACAGCTTATCCCTTCTAGAACAGGAGTTATGCCAGCAAGGAATTCCGCACCTAAGCCTGGTTGGAATTTTCGGCCAGCACCCCTTTGTCATATGTCGTTTAGAGCAAATCAACTATGGGGAATCCGAAAATTCAATTATTTTCAAAAGTTAGCTTTAAGAATCCCGGTGAAAGGTGAAAAATTTGCATATATCGCTTGGAGCTTATCTAATCGAAAAATGGATGTGATTTTTGGATTCCTGATAGTCGATTTGCTTTAAACGACATACGGCACGGGGGTGCTGGGCGAGAATTTCAACCAGGCACTTTCCAGATCCGGTTCAATTACCCAACTTTGTGTAAAAGATCTGAATGCAGTAGTTTGAATAATCCAAACTTTGCTGTGACATCCAACTAGAATATAGCCAAAATCCTAGACAGCTTAACCCTTCTAGAGCAAGAGTTACGCCGGCGAGAAGTTTCGGACCAAAAGTGCCTGACTGAAATTCTCAGCTACAATCCTTGCTACAAACTTAAATTTTGTAGTGACATCCAACTAGAATGCAGCCGAAATATTAGACAGCTTACTGCTTCTAGAACAAGAGTTATGCCGGCAAGGAGTTCCGCACAAAAGTGCCTGTTGGAATTTTCAGCTACCCGTGTCGTTTAGGGTAAATCGACTATGGAGAATCGAAAAATCGCATTATTTCTAATATTTGTTAGAGTTTTTCCTTAAAAGCAAGCTTTCAGGACGCATTGCCGCCACAGAAGCGAATGGTCGCCTGGCAGCCAATGAAACGAGTCGCTGTAGATGAGCGAGAGCCTTGTGAGTGAAATTTTTGAGCGATCTGGATGTCAGGACACGGTTTCCTGTAATTTAAACAGAGCTGGACGTTTTTGAAAAAATCTCAAAAATTCCGATCAATCAAAAATCACAAAAATTCAAATTTTCGTTTTTTAACAAAATTCTTCAAATTCTAGGCGCTGTGCGTTCCAGCTTGCACGGGAAATCCGGTTGCGTCAAGTGGTCCTTTGATTTTAGTGCCTAAAAATTGAGGATAAGGTTTTGGATTGATTTTAGTGCTTGAAAAGGTTTTGGGGTGATTTCTGTGAGTTTCCCGTAGCTTTTATTGTTTATTTGAGCACGTATTGACGTCGTTTTATGTATAATAATGAAATTTTATGAGCCATTTTGAGTCAAAAAAAATGAGAAAATTTTGTGATCAGGGAAAAATTGGAAATTTTCGAGTCAGCAGGGAAAGTGATTTTTGGCGGGGAAAAGCGATAAGAAAGCTTTTGGGTTTAGCGAAAATTTAAGAGGATTCGAAAATGGAGAGATTTCGAAAAAAAAGAATTTCACAAAATTCACAAAATTCCGAAATGTTCCAAAGTACGGAAAGTACGATCGTAGAATCGAGATTTCAACTCCAATTCTTTTCTAGTTCTCTCGTGTGACATCCAGATCGGCTAAAAATGCATTTACTTTTGCGAAATCTCAAAAAGAAATCGTTTTTTTGAGGTGATCACTGATCAGGCTGAAATCTCGATCCTAGAGTCAGCTTTTTGAAATTTAAGACCACTAGGGGATAATCTGGAACGCACTGCGTAATTCTTGCTAATCAATTCTTGTTTTAAGCTTCGATACCCCATAGCTCAATCGGTAGAGCGACTGTTTTCCAGGCGAACAGCCTGGAAAAGCCCGGGTTCGAGTCCGCTTGTGGTCAAGGTCAAGAAAAGTTGTCATTTCAGTGATTCGAGCCATCGAGGGTCGTTTGAGCGAAATCTTGCGAGCCGGTGAAAAACTCGGCGTTTCTCCAGATGAGGTAGCTTTTTTAGTTGATTTTTGCTTTGAAAATGCCTCTAATTACCCTTAAAAAAGGTTCTAATTACCCTTTTTCAGGGAAATCCCTTTTCTCTACTGAATAGCGGTTAGTCTAAATCTCGTGATCGTGCTTTTGAGTTTTAAAATGTCATCAAATCATGGAATTAATGAAAAATTCGGTTTCCTGATAGTCGATTTGCTTTAAACGACATACGGCACGGGGGTGCTGAGCGGAAATTTCAGCCAGGCTTACGTGCGGAACTCCTTCCCAGTGTAGCTCTTGTTCTAGAAGGGATAAGCTGTCTAGGATTTTGGCTATATTCTAGTTGGATGTCACAGCAAAGTTTGGATTAATCAAATTTCAGCATTTCGATATTTCAGCCAGGCACTTTCAGGGTCGGTTCAATTACCCAACTTTGTGTCAAAAACCGAAATCCATGAATTTGATCAATCCAAACTTTGCTGTGACATCCAACTAGAATATAGACAAAATATGGAGCTGAAAATTTCCGGCAAACGACCACTTTCCGAGGGGCTTCTCGTCCCACCAAAACTGCCTGCTTCAACTTTGACCCAAAACCCCCGTGTTTGGTGTCGTTTAAAGGTTCTTGGCTATGGGGAATCCGAAAATTCAATTATTTTCGAAGGTTAGCTTTAAAAATCCCGGCAAAAGGTGAAAAATTTGCATATATCGTTTCAAGTTTATCTAATCGAAAAATGGATGTGATTTTTGGATTCCTGATGGCCGATTTGCTTTAAACGACATACGGCACAGGGGTGTTGGGCGGGAATTTCAGCCAGGCACTTTCCAGGTCCGGTTCAATTACGCAACTTTGTGTAAGAGTCCGGAATTCCGAAATTGCGAAATGCAGGAATTTGATCAATCTAAGCTTTAGTGTGACATCCAACTAGAATCTAGCGGAAATATTAGACAGCTTACTTTTCTAGAACAAGAGTTACCTGGCCAAGCAGTTTTGCTCGAAAGTGCTTGATTGAAATTTGGGAAATGCCGAAATTTGATGAATGCAAACTTTGCTGTGACATCCAACTAGAAGCTAGCCGACCCGATTCATCCATAATTTCAGGTACTCAACGACTTGCGTCAACGAAACGCTTTCATCGGACAACAATAGCACAAAAAATCGAATTTGAGATAACTCTGAGATAACTTTTACAAATCCAAATAAAATAAAAATCAAATCCCTTTTGAAAATCCAACCGAAAACAAATCGAAATGAAAGTTTTTCTCAAAAAAAGTGATTTTTTTGAAAAAAAAAAAAGAATTGTACCGAAATGAGCTTTTTTTTTTTTAATGTAAACTTTCTACTTTCTGAATTTCTTGCTCAAGACTTTGTCAGCTTTTTTTCAGCTTTATATTCCAGTTTTGGGTTTTGGGAAAACTCGAAAATATGCATAAAATGACGAGTATTGCCCGGTTACCCAATTTCCCTTTTTTTTTTTTCTCTTATTTTTCCCTTTTTGTGATTTTTGTGTTGTTCCGATTGATCGCTTTGTGTTCAGAACAAGAAAGATTTCCCGGTTTTCCCGGTAATAAATGATCTGACTGTTTTTTTTGGAGTAAAGACAGGAAAAAAGCTTTGATTTAGTGGATCGCAAGAGATCACAACAGTTTAGCCGTGAAAGACCCCTGATTTACGGATTTTGATGAAAGGATTGGTCAAGCTGGAGGTCACTGTAGCTGCTGGAATCAAAGTGGACCGAAGAGACATTCAGCAGTCAAATGAGATCCATGGATTGAGAATGGCCGATTTTCTTCCATCAATTTTAAGATATTCAGTTATTTCGTTAAAAAATGGTCAAGCTGGATGGCACAGAATATTTTTGAAATAGATAAAAAGGCATTTAGTGGTCAAATGAGATCCGCATAGAAGTGGATTGAGAATGGCTGCTTTTCTCCCATGAAACTTAAAGATATTCAATTAATCAATGACAAATGGTCAAGCTGGATGTCACACAATATTTTTGGATAGATAAAAAGGCATTTAGTGGTCAAATGAGATCCGCCTAGGAATGAATTGAGAATGGCTGCTTTTCTCCCACCAATTTTAAGATATTCAGTTATTTCACTGAAAACTGGTCAAGCTGGAGGTCACTGTAGCTGCTGGAATGAAAAGAGACCGAAGAGACATTCACTGGTCAAATGAGATCCGTGGATTGAGAATGGCTGCTTTTCTCCCATGACTTTTAAGATATTCAGTTATTTTGCTGAAATTCGTTCGATCTGGACCGCACATCGAATGCACAATATGAAAAAAAGAGCCAAAAGCAAATTCTAGCGCTGTAGAAATCGACATAGTACTCCGGCGTACTTTGTGCTCCCTTGTAAACGTGAGCTTTCTGGCGCACAGAGACTCTCGTTTACGTTTACTTGGCGACATTTTCTTGGTTTCTTGGTTTCAAAAAGCGGCAAAAGCAGTTGAAGAGTCCCGTGCGCCAGGGAGCGCGCGTTGACCTGTGAGCACAAAGTACACCACTGAGAAACAGGGCTGGGTGAATTTTTTGAGGAAAATGAGCAGGAAATAGAATTTTTTGATGATTTTTCTCCAATCTGGAAGGCACACAACATTTTTGGCTATTTAGAACTATAAAAAGCTTAAAAATCGACACCGTATATAGTACTCTGGTGTACTTTGTGCTTTCTAGTAAACGCGCGCTTTCTGGCACACGGAAACCCTCATTTTCCAAACCCACACGTAGAAATCCCTCCACAAGCGTTTCTGCAAGAAATCGAAGGACCCCATGCGCCAGGGAGTGCTCGTTTACCTGTAAGCACAAAGTACGCACAAAGTACACCAAGAAGAACAGGGCTGGGTGAATTTTTTGAGGATAATGAGCAGGATATAGAATCTTTTGATGATTTTTCTCCGATCTGGAAGGCATTCGACTGTTTTCAGACCAAAGCGGAAGCACAAACCCGAGAAATATCCGATCATCTTCCGCGCAGCTCAATTGGTAAGTGCAAGAGCTAAAATCTATCTAAATCTAAATAATGAGCAAGTCTAAGTCAACATTTCTGGCTGAAATGAGATCGACCACAATCGAGGCTGAAGGGAAAGCCTTTGGACTAGGCTCAAAGTTGTTTTCCTGGCAAGCTAGAGCCGCGCTTCGAGTTCATCGACAAATAGGGCGAATGAGGAAAAATTGAGCAAAAGTAAAAAGTGATTCGTGAAAGCTGGATATCACGGAAGGCTCTACTTTAAAAATTTTGGGTTTTTGAAGAGTTTTAAAATATCTGGCAAAACTAGGCAATTCGCTGCTGGTAAATGAAGATTTTAACGATCTAATAAAATTTTTAGCAATCCTGGAACGCACATGAGGACTTAAGTTGAGAAAAATCAGTTTGTACCCTGAAAATTTTGACCAGCGGAATCGAACCCGGCACCCTCAGATTGGTAGCCGAGCGCACTAACCACTCGGCCATCAAGACTTTGTTATATTTTTAGCTACTAACATCTTAGAAATGCTCTGTGACATCCAGCTTTGAGGGAAAGCCTTTGGGCTAGACTCAAAACTGTTTCCCTGTCGAGCAAGAGCCGCGATTCGAGTTCATTGAGAAATAAGACGAATGGGGGATAATTGAGAAAAATTAAAAATGAATTCTTGCAATCTGGATGTCACGGAATGTGTAGAAACATTGTAATTCAAAAAAAGCATCAAAATTTGGCTGACGGAATCGAACCCGTCAGCTTTCGACTGGTAGTCGAACTCGTTAACCATTCGGCCACCGGTCTTTTACTGCATTTTTCTCCGATAACGATTTAGAAATGCTCTGTGACATCCAGCTTTGAGGGAAAGCCTTTGGGCTTGACTCAAAGCTCATTCCCTGGCGAGCACGAGCCGCGGTCCGGTTCGGGACTTTAGACTTATAAAAAATTCATAAGAAAAAGAAGGAAAACGTTAAGAAAGCTTATGTGCCTTCCAGAATTTACGAATAACATTGAATCATGCTCTAATGTTGGATAATTGCTGAGATTTTTGAGCGAATTCGATTTGCCTCAAAATTCTTCCCGTAAACCTTTCTTGATATCATTTTCTTCTCAATTTTTATTCAATCTGGATCTCACCCAAGCTTTTCCAGTCATTAGCCGCATTGCTTTTCATCAAAAAAATTTTCCGAAACCAGCATTTCCTTGACACCCTATTTTCTTCATTCAGAAAAGTGATTTTTCACGATTCATGAAACGATGACGTGTTCTGGAGGGCACTCCCCATGTAGAGTCCTTTCTTTTTCCGTTTTTGCCGCTTTTTAGCTTTTTCATACCAACCTCTGAGAGAAGAGGGAGAAAAGAGAAGAGAAGAGAAGAATGAGACACCTCCGCAAAAAGGCTGTGTGCACATCTCAGGCGGAGGGACCCCGAGAGAGCATAGAATCGATTAGAGTGTGAGTGGTGTGCCCCATGCGGCCAGGGGACCGCGAGTGGGAAGGGGGGGAGGGGGGAAGTAGTGGCCCTGGCCGCCCCCCCCCTTTACATCTACTTCACTTTCTTTTCCCTTCAATATCTCTAATGACCTCCAGCTTCCCCGATGGCTTCATCGAAATGGCTCTTTCTCTTCCCAATGTCGCTATTTTCTCCCATTCTCAAACCATCCTCTCTATAGGTTCCTCCCCTCAAACCCCACCCAGTCTCTTTCCATCCCGACATCTCCCCTGACCTCCAGCTTGCCCGATGGCTTCATCAGAAAAGCCCCATCCCTTTTCCAGCTCTCTAATTCCTTCCATTCTCAAACCATCCTCCTTATCGGCTACTCCCCTCAAACCCCACTCTAGTCTCTTTCCATCCCGGCATCTCCCCTGACCTCCAGCTTGCACCAAGCTTTCATCAGAAAAGCCTAATCTCTGTTCCAACCCTCTAAATCCTCCCATTCTCAAATCATTCAAACCCATTTCAATCATTTTCGTTTTCTCTCCTTTCTCTCTGCTTCAATATCTTTCCTGCACTCCAGCATGAGTGGAAATGGGTAGAGAATTTTTGATTCTATTTCTCTTTCAAAAAATTTCGCATAGATCTCGAAATGAATAGACGGAAAGTGGGAAAAAAATTCTTTTTCCGGCTTTTTTTTCGTTTTTTCACTTTTTCCAGAAACCCTTAATAGTTTCGAATTTTTTTAAATGGAAATTTTTAAATGGAAGCTTTAAATGGAAATTTTTAAATGGAAGCTATTTATCCAACAATTTTTCTTATCGAAATGCTAAATAATATTATTTCCATTATCTATCGTGACATCCATCTTGACCATTAATTTGATTAGTTTCCCCGTTTTTGTCTCATTTTTCGAGTTTTAAGACTGAACTCTGACCGACGTTTAGTCAAGAGTCAGAAATGCTTTTAAAATCGAAACCTCTCATATTCATTATCTAGCGTGACATCCAGGATGAGCAATGCTGTTTTTGAAATTTTCAAAATCGATCTTTATTCCAAGATTTTCAACGTCAACAAGGTTCGCGCCCGAAAATTCGCTTTTTCAAAAGTTTTCGATGAAAAAAATGACGCAAAAGGTGAAATTGGAAGTCACGTAAACGAATGAGTAAAAAAGTTTCGAGAAATTTCAGAAATTTTAAAAAAAAAATTTTACAATATTGCTGTTTTCGATATTCTTGACTCTAGCCAGCCAGCCAGCCAAAAACTTTTTAAAATGCTTTTCTGAGCATCACAGAGCACAGTGCACAAGAGAAATGCAATTTTAGACATAAATACAAATCAATCAATCAATTTTAATCAATCAATCAATCAATCATTCCTAGTAAACCTGTTGAGCCTTAAATTTTCAAAAACTCGTTGTTAACTCTAATTTTTTCTAAACAATTTGTAAATCCTGGATGTCACAGCAAATGATAAGCTTTTTCGATTTTTAAAAAATTGCATTTGAATTTTTTTGGAGTAACGGATTTTTTTTCAAATTTCCCAACGCCGGTGAATTCGATTAGAAACGGGATTTTCAATTTTTCTCTACTATAAACGTTTTTGTATAGTTTTTCATTGGATTCAAAAAAAGCGGCCGCATTTTTTTCGCCTCTATAAAAGCGCCGTTTTGAATCACAGATGAGAATCGATTTGCGATACGTCCTGGGAAATATTTCTTTGCTTTTCCCTCTCTTTTTCGTATTGTGCATTCGATGTGCATCCCAGATCGAATGAATTTCAGCGAAATAACTGAATATCTTAAAGTTGATGGGAAAAAAGTAGCCATTCTCAATCCACGGATCTCATTTGACTGCTGAATGAATATCTTCGGTCTCTTTTCATTCCAGCAGCTACAGTGACCTCCAGCTTGACCATTTTTCAGTGAAATAACTGAATATCTTAAAATTGATGGGAGAAAAGCAGCCATTCTCAATCCATTCCTATGCCAATCTCATTTGACCACTGAATATCTTTTTATCTATTCAAAAATATTGTGTGCTATCCAGCTTGGCCATTTCTTATTAATTAATTGAATATCTTTTGTTTGTGGGCGAAATTTGTGGGGGGAAACTTCCGGGTATCCAAATGCTCGATATCTAGGGCACTAGAATTTGCTTTTGGCTCTTTTTTTCGTATTGTGCATTCGATGTGCATCCCAGATCGAATGAATTTCAGTGAAATAACTGAATATCTTAACATTTATGGGAGAAAAGCAGCCATTCTCAATCCATGAATCTCATGCCGATCTCATTTGACCACTGAATATCTTTTTATCTATCTAAAAATATTGTGTGCGTTCCAGGTTGACCATTTATCATTGATTAATTGAATATCTTTAAGTTTCATGGGAGAAAAGCAGCCATTCTCAATACATTCCTATGCAAATCTCATTTGACCACTGAATATCTTTTTATCTATCCAAAAATATTGTATGACATCCAGCTTGACTATTTATCATTAATTAATTGAATATCTTTAAGATTTTTTGAGAGAAAACTTCATGGTTTTTAGTCGTCGATATCTACGGCACTAGAATTGACTCAAATTTTCAGTTCTTATTTTTTTCTTTCAATCTGGCACGCACGCTCTTGATTTTTGCTAAAAAATTCAATGCATTTCCATTTTTAAAAATATTCTTTCTCTATAAATGCAAATTTCAGATAGCAAGAGAAACAAGGATAGATATTCAGCTAAAGGAAATTTCTGCTTGCTTCAGTTTAATAAAGTTGTAAGTTTTCAAAAGAAATCGAAAAGAAACCAAAAAAAAATCGAAAAAAACCGGTCCCGGGATCGAACCAGGACCCTCAGACTGATAACCAAGCGCACTAACCACTCGGACACGAGTCAACTTCTCCAAATTCTTCAAATTCTATCGCTAATCGATGCAGTGCGTTCCAGATCTAAACTCTAAATGAAATTCAGGTGAAATGCCGCTGGCTCCTTTGGGTGATCCGTTTCGTGAGCCGCCGCCAGCTCACCTCGAGAATGTTTCGCCGTATCCGCAACCGAAATCGGTTAGTTTTGTAATTTTTGTAAATCATGGATGTCAGGAAAACTTTCTACGCGAAAAGAATTGGTCATTAACCACAAAATTCATTTTCGATTTTCCGACAAATAGGACTGGGCTTCTAGAGCTCGTAGAATTCGATATTTATCCAAATTTCTTGAATTTTTATTTAATCTGGATGTCAGTTGAGTGAATAAGCAAAAAATTTAGCCATGTTAGCCAAGCAAAAAAAAAGTGCAAAAATCGACTTTTGACTGCTTTTATATGCTGGGTCGACCCACTCGTCGACTTCGCCGTAAACATGTTTTTCCAATGTTTGACGGCCTAGACATTTTGTGTGTCTTCCAGGAAAAGCAAAACCATTTAAAATCTCCCTGAAAAGCTGAGCGAAATTCGTCAAAAATGCGCATTCTCAACAAATTATCGAATTCGTTGCTTTTTCAACCGTTTCTGTGCTGTTTTCTGGGATTTGTGCGGCAAAGACGCGATGCTGGATGTCACGGAAGGTGTAGAAGAAAATTCAGCTATGAGAGGCACTTTTATATCAAGGCGGGTCAGAACAGCTACGAGATTTTTCACCTAAGCCTAGTACCCTGGCGGGAGCTTCAAAATCTGAATGTAGGCTTATATCTAGCTTTTCTAGAGGGCACACCAGCTTAAGAATCTATTTTAAAATTAAAAACTCTATTTTGTAAATATTGGCTCAACTTTGACTGTGTTCATGAAAATTTAAGGATCATTTTTATTTTATGACTGATTTATTTATTTTATGATTGCATACAGTTAGCCTGCGTTCCAAAACATTTCCAAAGCTAGACTAAAATAGGCAAAAAGGCCTGCCTGCCCTGTCCTTTCCTTGATCCAGGTTCACATACTGTAGCTGGACCAGTTTCTTGTCCAAATTATAGCTAAGAGGCTAAAAATTTGGATAATTTGGCTTATCTGGAGGTCACGCTAGCATTAGAGGCTATTTGTAAGTCGAAATCTTGCATTCTGTAGCTGGAGCTGGAACCCTACCGTAGCTGGAGCATTTAAAATGCATTAAAGTGATTAATACTTCTTAAATTGCTGATTTTCCCTCAATCTGGATGTCATCATAAAAATTGCGAGTGTTAAACACGAGCAATTCAGCCAAATCGTAGAATCGATTATACTGTATACTGTAGCTGGACCAGTTTCTTGTCCAAATTATAGCTAAGAGCCTAAAAATTTGCAAAATTCAGTTTATCTGGAGCTCACGTTAGCCTAAGAACTCATTTATACGCCGAAATCTTGCACTCTGTAGTTCTCGACCCAACCCTACCGTAGCTGGAGCATTTAAAATGCATTAAAGTGATTAATAGTTCTTAGATTGCTGATTTTCCCTCAATCTGGATGTCATCATAAAAATTGCGAGTGTTAAACACGGGCAATTCAGCCAAATCGTTGAATTGATTCATTTCTCGTTTTTGCCAACAAGCGATCACCGATATTTGAGTAGCTGTTGAAAGATTTGCCAAAAAAAGGACGCAAATTTCCGTTGAATCCCTCGAAATCCACATTGTGATTGTAAATTTACAATTTTGCGTCAAAACTTTCGAAAATTCATTTCTTAAAGTTAACACGGCTCGCGACGGCGATCGGGAATCGTTTAAGCAAACGGGGAGAGCAGGTTTAAAAACATTTTCTTAAAAATCTAATGATGTAAAAGGTGATTCTGGAAGGCAGATGAGGTTTTGAAAAAGCTAGATTGAACAGTTATAAATGCAAATTTATCTATAAAGATTTCGACCTATAGGACCGATATCTAGGGCACTAGAATGTGCTTTTGGCTCTTTTTTTCGTATTGTGCATTCGATGTGCATCCCAGATCGAATGAATTTCAGCTAAATAACTGAATATCTTAACATTTATGGGAGAAAAGCAGCCATTCTCAATCCATGAATCTTATGCCAATCTCATTTGACCACTGAATATTTTTGTATCTATCCAAAAATGTTGTGTGACATCCAGCTTGACTATTTATCATTGATTAATTGAATATCTTTAAGTTTCATGGGAGAAAAGCAGCCATTCTCAATCCACGGATATCATTTGACCATTGAATGAATATCGCGTCGGTCTCTTTCCATTCCAGCAGCTACAGTGACCTCCAGCTTGACCATTTTTTAACGAAATAACTGAATATCTTAACATTTATGGGAGAAAAGTAGCCATTCTCAATCCATTCCTATGGGAATCGTTTAAGCGAGCGGGGAGAACAGGTTAAAAGCATTTTCTCAAAAATCTAATGATGTAAAAGTTGATTCTGGAACGCACATGAGGTTTTGGAAAAGCTAGATTGAACAGTTATGCAAAATTTTTGGCTTATAGGATCAGCCAATAGCTTGAGGGTACTGTAGTCTATTCTTATGTACTCTTCTATCTTCTGATGCGTTTTTTTTGTGAATCTTGGAAGGCACTAGAGCTTTCTAGACAGTTAAAAGGTTTCTAAGTTCTGATTTTCTTTGGTGCTTTTATCTTGTGACCACTTTGGGCTCCTGTAGTCCCTGTATCTGCACTTATATTTCAAATTCAAGGCAATATTCCTGCCTTCTGGAAGGCACTAGAGCTTTCTAAGCACTCAAAGCTGGCATCTTGCATTTTCTTCAAATTTCGAGCTTTTCCTGTCATTGTTTGCCGAATTTGGTTCCGAAACCAGTTCTGAACATCTATTTTGTGCCTTTGCCCTTTCCACTTGTCCCCAAAGTGCTGACCCGATTTGCATAGGCTGAGATTTGTCTGTTTGTCTGTTGTCTGTTGCCTGTTGTGTGACCCTAGCATGCTGGCAGAATGCGGCTAGCTTTCTACAATCGCAAAGCATTTTAAAGCTATTTTGAATCGAATTTTTGTATTCTGCATTCAATTTGCCTTCCAGTTCAACCAAATTTCAGCGAAATAACTGAATATCTTAAAAGTCATGGGAGAAAAGCAGCCATTCTCAATCCATTCCTATGCCGATCTCATTTGACCACTGAATATCTTTTTATCTATTCAAAAATATTGTGTGCCTTCCAGTTTGACCATTTATCATTAATTAATCGAATATCCTTAAGATTTATGGAAGAAAACTTGAGGGTTTCCAAAAGCTCGATATCTGCAGCACTAGAATTTGCTTTTGACTCTTTTTTTCGTATTGTGCATTCAATGTGCGGTCCAGATCGAACGAATTTCAGCTAAATAACTGAATATCTTAAAGTTGATGTGAGAAAAGTAGCCATTCTCAATCCACGGATCTCATTTGACTGCTGAATGAATATCTCTTCGGTCTCTTTTCATTCCAGCAGCTACAGTGACCTCCAGCTTGACCATTTTTTAACGAAATAACTGAATATCTTAACATTTATGGGAGAAAAGTAGCCATTCTCAATTCATGAATCTCATGCCGATCTCATTTGACCACTGAATGCCTTCTTATCTATTCAAAAATATTGTATGACATCCAGCTTGACCATTTATCATTAATTAGTTGAATATCTTTTTAAGATTTGTGGGAGAAAACTACCCTAATCTAATTCGCATTTTTCGACTGTCAAGCTTACATTCTACAACTTTAATAAGAAAAAACTATGCTATAAAAAGATCTCAAACTTCTAGAACATCAAAAAATTTCCCTTTTGAGTCGTGATTTCCTTTCTTTGCCTTCCTTTATGACAAATAAAGACGCGGAAAAGGCTATTGTAGTTCCTTTTCTAAAGAAAAATAAAGAAAAAAATGGTTACTCCTGAACCTGGTTAGGTCAAATAGCAACTATGGAATCATTTTTATATTCTTAGTGCTAAAGTATTCAATTTTAAGTGAATTCTACAGATTTTTGATGGAAATTCGGCATTATGAATGAGTCGTCCACTTTGAAAGCCTATAACTTTGCCTAGAAGTTCTATTATTCTTATCTTTTGATATTGTTTGAAAGAGGAGATTTCAGGCTTTCGAATGATACCAAAAAGAGCTCAATTGGGCTAGCGAATCTCGAAAAATAGCGACTGAAAGAAGACTGAAAGTTTGGCACGCCGGAAAAATTGCGTAACTGAACCAGTGTCATTTTCTTGGGATTGGCTGATCCAATTAAGCTCTTTTTGGTATCATTTGAAAGCCTGAAATCTCCTCTTTCAAACAATATCAAACGATAACAGTAATATAGTTTCTAAGCAAAGTTATAGGCTTTCAAAGTCAATCACTTCTTCAAGAAACCCGTTAAGAGTCATTTTTGGAAAGCTTTCGCCTAGTTTTTGTGCCTTTAACTTATCCGATTCAACTTTATCAATCAATTTTTCTCAATATTCCTTTGCTATTAATTGAATTTAAAGCAAATCTACTTAAAAAACTAAAATGCTTTGCGATTGTGGCGAAAGCGCAATGCACTCATTATTCCATCCGCTCAAACGCCTCGCGCAAATGGTTAGTCGTCGAAGATTTTGTGTCAATTTATGTCCTTTTCATAGTGTGACTTCCAGAAAAGCATGATCGATATGCAAATTTTGACTACAACAAATGCACAATGATTTTTATGAGTGCAAAATCTTGTCGACAGTCGAACGCCTTTTTTGGGGCGAATCGGCTTACAAAAGGGTTTTGTTTAAGCTTATCTGGAATTCACACGAAAACTTGGTGCAATTAAATTTACAAAAAAAAGATTTTTAAAAAATTAAAAATTAACAACTAAGAAGTTTAAAAAAATCGAAAAAATGAAATTTTCCTTGGTTAAATAACCAAATTTGGTAAAAATGGATATTCAGGATAGCGACTGAATATCTTTTTCTTTAACAAATAGAGATATTTAAACAAAAATCACTGAGATGGAGAAATTTTTTTGGTATTTTAAGCTTTCTAACGTAGAATTTACTGTTTTTAATCTGTTTTTGAATTTTTTAAAAAAATTTTGATTCAGATGGCCTGCTACGATGACAGCACGGACGATTCGGGGCTATGTTTGGACAAAACGGAGGTAAAATTCTTGATTTGCGCAAATTTTGATACTATTGGCTTTGGCGGGCACTTTTTGTCTTCAAAACCACTTTTTCTTGGGTAGTTTTATGTGTAGATTCCGAAAAACACAACGAGCGCTTAGGAAAATGCGTTTTAAGTTTAAAAAAAAGTTTCGGGGCTTCAAAGTGTGCTTATTCGCTTATTCGCTTGCTTATACGCTTATACGCTCGCTTATACGCTTATACGCTCGCTTATACGCTTATACGCTTATTCGTTTATTCGCTTATTCGCTTATTCGGGAGTGATGAGAGGGATGCATGTAGGGAAGAGGTCTAAAAAATGGTCTCTTCTAGCATTTTTTGGAACGAAAAACACTTTTTCTGGCATCATTTTAACCTACTGATTACGTTTCTGATCAAATTGAAGCAAAATAAATAAAAATTTTCGAAATTTCGACCATGTGGTCCCCCATGAATCAAAATCTCTAGTTTTCCAATTTCTTTTGCCTCTACCAATCAATTGAAGTTAGAAAAGGAATATTTAATGGTTAAATAAGGTTTTGGCTCTAGTTTTTACCTTGAAAAGTGCCCTAATAGTCGATAGCTTTGGCTCCATAGAAAGAAGTACACTATGGCCCCGAAAGCCCATAGTGAAGCCCCGAAACTTGGCTTAAAACTCCCAAAAAACATCTTAAAACGCATTAAAACGCCTTTTCTCAAGCTCTCCTTTTGTTTTTCGGAATCTACGCATAAAACTACCCGAGAAAAAGTGGTTTTGAAGAAAAAAAAGTGCCCACCAACTTTATTAGTACTCAAATTTGAACTAAAAATCGGCCTTTGGGGACTTTTTTTTTGATTTAGAGAGGAAAATCTTTAAAATTCACAGAAATTTGGTTAAAATCAAACTCTTGAAAGCATATACTTTCGATTTTACTCAAAATTTTGAACAAAAGTTGACTTTTCTTGATCTTTACTTGAAATTTGTGAAATTCTAAAGTTTTAAGCTTAAAATCTTCAGAATTTACCGAAATTTGGTTAAAATCAAGCTCTTGAAAGCGTATTCTTTCAATTTTACGCAAAGCAAAATTTTCGATCTTTATGGTTAACGGCGGGGGCCAAGCTTTTGACGAACTTGCAGCCTCATTTTTTATAGGCACCTTAAACTTTTCAGAGCAGGAAGCTTTAATAATAACCTTTAATAAGATTTAGATAGCTTAGAGCGTCGCCTTTCAGAAACTATTTGTTGCAACAAAAGTATAAAATTCAACAAAACAAAACAGAAAGCAAAAAAAGCAAAAACCTATATAAAATCGAGCTGCATGTTGGTCAATTCTAAAGTTTTAAGTTCCTAAAGCCCCCACCGATAATCTCTAACCCCGCCGTTAACCGTAAAGATTCAAAATTTTGATCAAAAGCTGGCTTTTCTAGATTTCTAGGTGAAATTCTAAGGTTGTTACGAGATTTTAAGGTTAAAATCCTAAAATTTACGGAAATTTTGTTAACATCAAGCTTTTGCAAGCTTCTTCTATTGGTTTTACGCAAAAATTTTCATCAAAAGCTGGCTTTTGGAGGTTTTTCTTTCGTTTTCAAAGGTTAAAATCTTTAAATTCCCAGAAATTTGGTTAAAATCAAACTCTTGAAAGCATATACTTTCGATTTTACTCAAAATTTTGCTCAAAAGTTGGCTTTTCTTGAGCTTTACGTGAAATGCTAAAGTTTTAAGCTTAAAATCTTCAGAATTACCGAAATTTGGTTAAAATCAAGCTCTTGAAAGCTTGTTCTTGCGCTTCCATGCAAAATTTTGATGAAAAGTTGGCTTTTTTTTTGTTCTTTACGTGAAATTCTAAGGTTTTAAGGTTAAAATGTTCAAAACTCGCCGAAATTTGGTTAAAAACAAACTTTTGAAAGTGTGTTCTTTTTATTACGCTCAAAATTTTGCTCAAAAGTCAGCCTTGACAGGTTTTTCTTTCGATCTTTTAGTGAATTCATCAAATTTTTGCTAAAATTTAACGTAAAGCTATCGATTTGCTTTAAAATTTACCCAAATCTATTGAAGGCTTGGCTTGGCTTGGCCTAGGCTTAGGCTTAGGCTGGGCTGGGCTTGGCTCAGGCTATCCAAATCTATCGAAGTGTGAGCAGTTTCAAACAAAAATTTCCCTTTCCACACGTTTTTTTATAAAAATGTGTCCCTGATCGATTCAATTTAGGGAGAGTTTCAAAATTTTTGATAAAACCACGGCCTTTCGGAGGGGATTTAATATTTTCAAGTGTAGCTGGCATTTTTTTTGTTGATTTCCCCACCCCCGCTTGAAAAGCCTTTTTGAATTTTCAGAGCTTTCAGTTGATCCGAATTTAATTGGTTGAGCTTTTCACGATCACGTGTTGATCAGCTCAAAAATCTGACCGTTTAGCAAAGATTTATATGAACTTTTTCATAAAAATCGAGCTAATGTCTGGCGTTTGTGTCGTTTATTGGTTTATTGGTTTAAGTCAATTGTTACAGTTGAAAATTTGTGATTTGCACGTGGAAAACGGGAATTTTAAGGCTTAGGCTTAGGCTTTGTCAGCTTTGTCACTTTTTTTAGGGGAATAAGGGAGTTTTAAGGGAAAATTTTGGCTTGTGCATAGAAAAACCTCTCTTTTTTTGAGTTGGACTTGTCTCTTTTTTGGTAAAAGAGAGGATTTTCGAACAAAAAGAGAATCGGCATAGATCAGAATAGATCAGCTAAGGAACAATAGGTCAGGATAGGTCAGCTAAGGAACAATAGATCGGAATAGATCAGCTAAGGAACAATAGGTCAGAAAATCGACTAGATAGATCATTTCATGCAATGAGATTGTTGTTTCGATAAGATTGTTGGTTTTTATAAGCAATTTTAACACTAAATAATCGTTTTTCGAGGAAATTCAAGAGTTTTCTTTTGCTTTGAATCGTCGTCACTTTGTTCCAATTTTCATTAAGGTTTTTGTGGGGTTTTTTCGCCAAAACGACGTCACGCTTCGAAATGGGCAATTTTGAAGAAAAAAAGATACGAAAGGGACCTTTTTCTTGCTCGATCTTGATGAACGGGTTGTTGATTCAGTGTGTTTTCCATCGGAAATAAGGTTTTGTTTAGGAATAGCTCGTTTGGCAATGGCAATTGGCAATGGCTTTTTCTAGATTTGATAATCATTTTGATTCATTAAGCCATTGGGGACAAGTTCATGGATTTACACAAGTTTTGAGCGCTTCTTGATCACAAAATCATCTGTTCAATCGGTTTTCTATCGAAAGTTCAATCTATCGAGCTTTGTTAGATCAAAATCGAGCATTGTTAGGTCAAAATCGATTAGCTAGATCACTTCCTGTGCAAAATGAGTCGTTTAGCCACTTCTCTATGGAGAATTGCACTCTTTCGATCAGAATTGAATGAGATCAGATCAATTTTCGTCATTTTCGTGGAAAACAACTTGTTTAATCAGTTCATTATGAGACTAAAGCTCTACGAAGTCAAAATAGAGCTCCAGATCACTTTCTTGCATGGAAACAATTCGTTCAATCAGTTCTCAAACAAAATTTAATCTTGCTTAGGTCAGAATTGATCTCCAAGGCATTTGTCCAGCTTTTGTGAATAAATTTGCGATGAAATAGAGCCCTATTTGCTTTCATTCACTTATTCCGATCCCTTTCTTCCTACTTTGTTATTTCGGGGCACTCAAGATTGTCTTTCTTTCACGAATCTGACGTCACATCGTTGGAATGGCCAATTTTGGAGGCCGGGTGGGCCGGGAAAAAAGGGAAAAAGCTAAAAAAGCGGAAAAAAACAGAAAATCGAAAGCTTTTCGTCTTTTTGAGAGGAGAAAAGGTTGGAAAGAGGATTTTCCCGAAACCACGCCCCCTTTCCCCCCCGACCGGATGCTGTAAGCGTTCTCATCTCTCTCTTGGAGTTTTGCTTTGGTTCGAAAACTTTGGTTACGCACAATTTTTTCTCTATAGATCCCTATTTCCTCTTGGAATTTGTTTTCGATTCAAATTCGGCACGATTTTCCACCTGTTTTCCATTTTGTGACGCGTTGAAACGCAAATTTTGCCTCTTTCCTTTGATTCACGGGTCTTTTAGTGTTGTTTAAGATTTCACTGAGGGTTTTGTGACAGTTTTTCGGTAGGATCACTTCAATTTGAGGCTTTGATTCAAGGGTTTTTTTGAATTTAAACGATTTTTAGTCATGTTTGACTGAAAAATTTGGCTTTGAAACGATTTTGATCTCAAATTTTGAACACTAGAGTCATTTTTAGTTGAAAGTTTGACAAGAATGTAGCATGTAGCAGTTTTCTCGCAGATTTTTGATCCAAATCTCTTTGCATCTGTGCTCATCTCTTTTCAGCTCATCTCTTTGCATTTGTGATCGTTGGCGATGGATTTTCGATATATTTTGTTTTCTTTTCACACACGCCCAAACATTTCTAGGTCAGCTGGCTGCCGAAACGCCTCATTTTTCGTGTTCATTGATAAGTTTTTGAGTTCTCCACGAAATCCCATAAGAGATGGGTCCAATGGCGGTTGATACGCATTTTATAAAGGTAAATGTGATGGAAATTGCCATTTAACCGGCCTTAGCAGCAATTTATATACTTTTACAGAAAATTAGCATTTTTTTAAACGCTAATTTTTTAGTTTAGTTTAGTCAATGTTTAAATTTTGCCTAGCTGGCAATATTCCAGGCAAATTTTCATTCCAGGCATTTTAGAAGTTCCCCAATACCGAAATTTTACGATAACTGCCTTGTAAATGCTTGCAAGCGCTAATTTGCATACATCGCAGGGAACTTTGCATTTAAAAATTGAAATCAAAAGTTTAGGCACTATTTAACCTTTACCCAACCAGTATTTTAGGTATTTTATAGGCAAATTTGCATCCAAAAGTTAAACAATGTCTAAATTTTGCTTAAACTGACTTCTAAAGCTTTTAAAGACAGTAATTTGCACTACTTACAAGCAAATTTTCATTTAAAACTTTGAATTTACAATTTCATCCAATGCCTGGACTCGTTTTTTATCAAAAAAAGTGAAATTTTTCGAGGCAAAAACGTTTTCAATAGCATTTTCCGATGACAATAGCGACCCCGGTAAAGCCAATGTTGTTGTCGTGACATTGCATTGTATAGGGGTTGAGCCAATATTGTTGAGCCAAAATTGAGCCAATATTTTGGAAAATTTCTCTCGATAATCGCACATTACGTGACACAGGTGATTCAGTGAACGAAAAAGTGCACGAAAAAGTTTATAGGTGAAAAGTTTGAAAGCTAAAAGCTAAAAAATCAAAGTTTAAATGATTTTTGTATACTAACATTGTATTTAGTTCCTTTATAGTTCCTTTATAGTTCCTCTATAGTTCCTTTATAGTTCCTCTATAGTTCCTCTATAGTTCCTCTATAGTTCCTCTATAGTTCCTTTATAGTTCCTTTATAGTTCCTTTATAGTCCCTTTAAAGTTCCTCTATAGTTCCTTTAAAGTTCCTATTTAATTCCTTTATAGTTTAAAGACTAAAGGTAGCACAAGAATTTTGCCAAAAATAGAAAAAAAAACCATTGTAGAGCTGCTAGAGTTGAGCAATTTACTGTCTACAATACTAAAATTTCAGTAAAATTTACAAAATACTACAAAAAAACTACAAAAACTGCTTAAAGTCTTTAAAACTTGAAGAGAACTTATTCTAGAGGTTTTAAAATTGAAGAAATAACTAAATATTAAACAAATACCATCAAGATTTACAAAATAGACTGCTTAGAGTAGGAATTTCAGCCGAAAAACCTCTAAAATGTTTTAGCCCAACAAAATTGCAAACAAAATTGCAATTGCTCTTTTGTTCATTTGATCACTTTTAGCACCATACACCCATTCATTTTTTTTTGCTATTCTTGAAATTTTTAAAGATTACGGCTTATTTTCTCAAGTTCCGTAAGAACAACGTAAGAACAAGAGCTTAATGCTAAAATTTTTGCAAACAATCCCTAAACCTTTGCCCTTTATGGTAAAAAAAATTGGAAATTTTAATGATGTGACGAAATTTTGAGCAAAAACTAATCAAAAATGATATGAGAATTTTTGAGAAAAGTACCCATTTTTAGGGGTAAATGGGCTATTTTTGAGGGAGAACTTTGATTAATAGTGATACAATACTCAAAAGAACTCATTTTTGAGTAGAACTTTGGTTGAACTAGAGTTTTTGCTCAAAAATGGCAAAAATTGTGTTCAATCTGTTCTAAACTTTGAGATTTTACCCCTTTCGCATCGCGCATCGCGGCCCTTTCGCATTCACACAAAAATTTGGCTAATTTTCGTGTGAAACAATCACTCGTCATTGGAAATTCCTCTAAAATGATTCAATTTTTGATGGAAAAAGTTTCGGAACACATTGCGCGTCATTTAAATTTTTTTTATTTTTTTCTATTTTCATCTAAAAGTCCCATTTGAGAGCTTTTCCCTTGAGAAGACGGGGAGAATAATTGCATCAAATTATCTTTTGCCCCTCCTTTTTCTAAATGAAAAAAAAGGGGTTCTTGGGAATTTTCTTTGAGAAATTCTTCGAGAAAATCGATTTGTTGTGGGGAAATTTAACACAACAACTTAGCGAATCGATTAAAGATATGAAATGAACGAAATTTAGTGAGTAAATGAACCGTTTCTTTACGCCTAATCACGACTTGCCTAATGTTGTTCGCGGAAAATCTTGTTTTAGCCAATTTGGTTGGCTGGTTTGGCCAATTTGAAAGCTCTTGGAAGCAGCTCCAGCTCTTGGAAGCAGCTCCAGCTTTTGGAAGGAGCTCCAGCTCTAGCAAGCTTAAAAAGGAGCCCTTGAAATCCTAGAGGCCTGAGCCTGAGCCAGAAAACGCCATTTGGCGCACAGATCCGCCCCGGATTATTGATTCAATTTGTTAATTGAATTAATAAGCCTGTCAGGTCATTTCATGAGCAACAACTACCAAAAAAAATGCCTAGATAAAGAGCAAAAGTGTCAAGTTGTGTTGGTTGATTGAATAGCTTGAGGCATTCATCAAAAGTAAAGAACAAATTGATAGGAATAGGTGAAAAATGGCAGTAAACAGAGAGATATCAATGAAATTCTTTATTTTAGTCAGAAGGACTTGCCGAGATCGACATTGGCGAGGTGCGCAAAGGAGGTGAGAAAGCCGATGCACGACAATTTGAACTACTCAAGGTAAGAATTTTGGGGGGAAAGATGGAGAAAATTGGTGTAAAATGATTAGAACTTTAAAGATTTAACCTTAAAATTGAAACTATCATATAGTTGAAGCTATTTTTCCTGGAAGCTTTACTGGTTACTTTACTGGTTTACGTTGAAATCGCCCTTTTTTTTTAAAGATTTTAGACTTTCAGCACTGGTTTCAAAGCTTAATCAAGATATTAGATTACTTATTAGATATTAGATTACTTATTAGATGTTAGATATTAGATTATCAAGTCTAGCTATATTCTTTTTTCAGGTCTTGGGCCAGGGCTCGTTCGGCAAGGTGTTTTTTGGTTAGGAAAATCCGTGGGTTGGACACTGGACAAGTCTACGCGATGAAAGTGCGTTGAAATGGGGTTTTTGAGCTTAAATTTAGTACAATGAAGATGTTGAAATTAAACTCTATCATTCATGTTTAGGTGCTGAAAAAGCAACGCTGAAAGTGCGCGATCGGATTCGGACGAAGGTTGAGCGAAACATTTTGGCCCACATCTCGCATCCGTTCATTGTCAAATTACACTATGGTTGGTTTTCGGGGTTCTGGAAGAATTTGAGAGCAAGATCTGGCAAAAAAAAAGCAGTACTCTTGAGCAGTAATTTGTCGAACTTTGATATAACGAATCGCTCGAGACCAAAAACTTGGAACTATATCAAAGGAGCGCCGCCAAAAGAGCGGCGTTCAAAAGAGCGCTGTTTAAAAGAGCGCCGTTCAAAAGAGCGCCGTTCAACAAAAGAGCGCCGTTCAAAAGAGCGGTACTCTTGCAGTACTCTTGAGCAGAGTAATCTGTCAAATTTTAGCATTGACTTAAAGAATTTCTACCTAATCCATCCAATTTCAGCTTTCCAAACCGAGGGCAAACTCTATTTGATTCTCGATTTTCTTCGTGGAGGCGATCTTTTCACACGACTTTCAAAAGAGGTGTGTCGATTTTTATTGGCTCACTCTTGCTGGAACATTTAATTCAATGTGGTCTACGTTTAAAAGCTGTGAACGCGTTCATTTTCACCTTTAAAACTATGAAATCGTGTAGATTTTTATCTGTAGCTGCACAAGTAACGCCTAAAAGCTCTAAATGCGTGCATTTTGACCATTAAACTCAACTCTTGCTGATTGGTAGGAGAACATTTGTGAAATCTTGTAGCTTTAAGAAGTCTTTGGTTTTCAGATAGATTTTTGGAGTATTTAGATATAGCTGAACGTTTAAAAGCTCTACACGTCATTACACCTTTACCTTTTCCTTTAAACTCATGATATCATGTAAATTTTTAAACTATCGCTGCACAAGTAACGCCTAAAAGCTCTAAATTCGTGCATTTTGATTGTTAAACCATTGTTATTGTTGTTGCATTGTTAAACCCATGAAATCTAATTGATCGATAGCTAAAATGTTAATAAAAGTTGTAAATTTAAGAAATTTATTGTGTTTTTAGATAATGTTCACCGAGGAGGACGTGAAATTTTACTTGGCTGAGTTGGTGTTGGCGCTCGAGCATTTGCACTCGCTGGGAATCGTCTATCGGGATTTGAAACCGGAGAAGTTCGTTTTATGAAACGTTAAAAGTATCGTTGTGTAAAGTATCGTTTATAAAACGTTAAACGTATCGTTGTGTATGGGAAAATTTGATTGCAAAATTATTGACTGTACAAATTTCACGTTTTCAGCATTCTCTTGGATGCGGATGGCCATTTAAAGGTCACCGATTTTGGGCTGAGCAAAGAGTCGGTGGATGGAGATCAGAAAACGTACAGCTTTTGCGGTGAGCTTTTTTTTAAGGGTTAGCGAAAGTGCAAGAGTTCATTTATCATTCAATTATGCATTGTAATTTTAGGCACAATCGAGTACATGGCTCCAGAAGTGATCACGCGTCGCGGACACTCGACTGCCGCCGATTTCTGGTCGCTTGGCGTTTTGATGGTGGGTTTTTTTGAGGGATTGTAAGGAAATGTATAGGACTTATACGTGCGTTAAATACGTACTGAAACGTACTTGCTTAACGTACTTGAAATTTGACTGACTTGACGCATTTTGAGCAATCTATGCAAGAAATATGCAAGAAAAAGACTTGTTTCAAGTAAAATAGACTGAAATAAACGAGTTTAAGTGTAAAATAAGGGGCTATTACCCCTTTTCAGAAGGCTAATTGTGTAGATTGATCATTTGTAAAGGATATACTCGTTTAGGAAAACGAAATGAACTTATTTGTGGTCTTGTAAAGATAAGGTTTTCTCATTTTTCAGTACGAGATGTTGACTGGCCGTCTACCGTTCACCGGCGTCGATCGAAAGGACACGATGCAACAGATTTTGAAGTGGGTTTTGATGAGTAGAATTGTTCCAATCGGGCTCTGAGCCAGACCAAGCTAGCAGTCAAGCCAGCAGTCAAGCTTTGCGGTCAATGCGAAAGGATTTGTCATTTCATTTCATAGTTATAGACTATAAGGAATTGCTGAATGGCTTAAAGTTGGCTTTTTGACCGGCTTAGCCGGAAAATCGGCTCTACGAACAACCTTTTTTTGTGATCGATTAAATAAAATAACTTTTAAGCCTTTCTAAAAGCTTTTCTAAAGGGTCTAGACCTTAAAAAAAGCTCAAAAAGCACCTTAAACCTTAAAAAAAGGAAAAACTATTGAAAATGGAACAAAACAAATCTTTATGCTTTTCTAAAACAAATCTTAATGCTTTCTATGAGTCTAGACTTCGGAAAAGCTCAAAATCTTGGAAAACTTGCTGAATCCTAAAAGTTTCACATGAAATTTTCAAACTCTGTGCAAAATTTGAGCCGAACAATGGTCAGGGGGAAAGTGTGCTCCTCGGTTTCTTGATCCTATCCTCGTTTTGTTTCCTTTTTTTCTTTTCTTTTGACTCATTTCTCGATTTTTGCGGATTTTCGCTAGAGAAACAAAAGCTTTTCTCGAGGAAAAAAAGCACGAAAAGAGCCGTTTTGCAGTCATTTTTCCCAGGGTTCCGCTGGGTGTTGTAAGCAGAAAAAAAATAAGAGGGATTTTTGTCGTTTTTGTCGACGGGAAATAGGGACTTTTGAATGGGTTTTGAAAAGAGAAATCTTGTAGAAAATTTAGATAAATCTATTGACTTTAGATAAATCTATGACAAAAATTGACTCTGCATCGCGTAGTTTTGACAGAATTTCACCTTTTGACTACTACAGGGAGCTGCAATTTTCATAGAATTCTAGGGATTTGATGACTTTTTTTGTATTTTTGTATGTTTGTATGTTGAATTTGTATGTTTACAAGACAAAAATTGACTCGGCATCGCGTAGTTTTGAAATTTAACTTTTTTTGACTCAAAATCTATGCAAAATCCTTTCTAGAGCTGGAGATTTTGTAAAAATGTAAAAATTTCTTCTTCCATTTGACTTTTGTGCATTTTATAAGCGAAAAATCCTTTCAAAGGACTAAAATTTGAATAAATTCATCAAGATGATCATTGATTGATCAATTGATCAATTGAACTTGACGAATTGATGAATTAAGCAAAATTGACGAATTCTGGGGGTAGGCTAGTTTCCGCAATTTATTTTGCGCAACAGGGTCATTTGCGCAACTCGCCATAACTTTCTTCTAAGTGGACCAATCTTTATAATTTTGACGTCATTATGTAGATCTCAATAAGTGCAATAAAATGACACAAAAATCATAAAGATTGGTCCACTTAGAAGAAAGTTATTGATCAGAAGAGTCGGAAGGAAGATGGTCCTGACCTAGATGAGTCATAACTTTCTTCTAAGTGGACCAATCTTTATGATTTTGATTTCATTTTGTTACACTTATTGAGATCTACAAAATGAAACCAAAATCATAAAGATTGGTCCACTTAGAAGAAAGTTATGGCGAGTTGCACAAACGACCCTGTGGCGCAAAAAAAAATTGCCGAAACTAGCCTACCCCGAATTCTGTCCAAAAATCACGGCATTTATTGCATATTTGATGACAAAAAATCTTCCAGAATCCTCGACTAGAAACTAGAAAATTGAAAAAATGCAAAAAAAAAAAACTCTTGAAATATTGAAAAATTGAAAAAATTTTGATAGAAAATGCAGACACACGCAACGGTTTTGAAGGAATTCGATCAGATCCTAGTGACTTTGAGTAAAAATTGGAGAAATTTGAGAAAATTTTATGGAAAAGATGAAAGATTTGTGTGAAAAAACTGTTAAAACTGAACTGTTAAAGAAAACATTTTGTCTTTCAGGGCCAAGCTCACGATGCCGCATTTCCTTTCGCCGGACGCTCAATCCCTGCTGCGATCGCTTTTCAAGAGAAACGCTGTGAATAGGTTGGTTTTTGGGGGAAATTGGAAAATCCACTAATTCTATGGCTTGGACTTTTATATGCACTAAGACTTTCTTACTTTGCACTGGAGTTGTATAATAATACAATTTTCATTGAATTTTCTTTTTTCAGACTTGGAGCCGGACCCGACGCTGCTGCTGAGCTGAAACAACACACTTTCTTCTCGTCAATCGACTGGGCAAAGCTCTACAAGAAAGAGGTGAGCTTGAGAATGGCAAAATTTTGTGAAAACGTTGCAAAATGACAAGGAAAACGATGAGGAGTCTTGATTTTTATTGATTTCATTGCGTAGACGTTGAACTTTTCGAACTTTTCACGGATTCTAGTCAAGCTTTATCTTGTTTTCGATGCTTTTATCATTCTCTTTGTTCCAGATCAATCCTCCATTCAAACCGGCGGTGACGACAAACGATATCACGCTCTACTTTGATCCCGAATTCACGAAGAAGACGCCGAGGGACTCGCCCGCATTGCCGCCATCAGCCGCTGCGCACGAGCTCTTTCGAGGATTCTCTTTTGTTTCGCCGATGGTCATTGATGAGATGAAGGTTTGTCGAGATTTTGGATTTTAAAACGAGTTAGGAAAACTGAAATGATTGGCGGACAACCTTTAGCCCGAGAATTTCGTATCTTTATCACTTTACCGGGAATTTCGTATCTTTCCTGCATCAAATGGTATCTTATAGCCTTGTTTCGTCAGCTGTTTTGGATAATTTTGGGTTAAAACTGAATACTTCTAACCGAATTGACTATTAAAGCCTAATAAATTGCTCGTTTTTTTCAGGAAGGTGTCCGAAAGTCGACGATCCGCAACGCCAAGACCACTCCATTCAGCGACGATTACGATATTCATGAGGTGGGATTTCCTTAAAAGACTTTATCTGCAAAAGAACCTCGCTTAAAATATTACCCAAATCACAAACTATTCCCAGTCCAATCCACTAGACACAGCTCTAAAAGCACGTGAAACAATCACTTACGAGATCATCAAACATTTCCCTGGGAATCCAAGTTTGAGAGCCATTTTCGACGAGGTTATGAGTGTGTTTGAGAAGTTTTTTTTGGGACTTTTCACGTCTTTCTCGTCAGTTGCTGGTCAAAATTTCCTTGAGCAAACATATCACAGCACACAAAACGATGATAAAGCGATGATCTTTGGAGGGTTTTCTTCTCTAGAGATCAGAAATGAACGGTGGAGATTTGGAAAGAGGATGAACTCTGAAGTTGGGGGAAATTGTGTCCAAGTCAAAGTTTATAGCCTAAAAAAGCGAAAAAAAAAAAGCTTATCATTTAGGAAAAATGACAGAATCTTATCATTTTTCCTTTACAAAGATGTAAAAAATTTAAAGGATCAAACATTTTTTTTTAATTGCAATTTTGTTTAGGAAATTGGTCTCGGCGCTTATTCGGTGGTGAAAAGGTGCACGCTGAAGAACACGAAGAAGGAGTTCGCGGTCAAGGTACGGAATTTAAATTAGGAAAAGATGAGCCCAAAGCAAAGCAATAACTGTTTTGGGCCTGGGATTTTACTTTGCAAACAAGTTTTCAGTACCTTTGTAGTCTTTGTAGACCACTAAAGACCCAGAAAAATAGCCAAAACCAACAACGAGCTTCTCAACCAATATAGCTCTCAGCCAAGTTTTTCCTTTCAGATCGTTCGCAAAGCCGAGCACGATTGCGCCGAAGAGGTGGATATCTTGCTGCGCTACGGGGCACATCCGCACATCGTGAAGCTTTTCGATGTCTTCGAGGATGAGACGAGCGTTTACTTGGTGCAAGAGTACTGTCGGTGAGGTTTTTTCAAGTGATACTTGCAAAAATTGAGGGATTTTCGAGGTTTTCACCTAGTCAATCATCACCAAGCTTTCATTAAATCTAATTTTGGCCTTTTTTTATTTGCTAAAAGTGTTTTCCAAGCCTTCTAGAGCTGAAAACGATTTGAATACCTAATTCTTGTCATTTTAGTGGTGGTGAGATCATGAATCGTCTCTCGCGCGTCACCGAACGAGAAGCCGCTCAGATTATGTCAGCCCTGGCAAATGCCGTTCAATATTTGCACTCAAATCAGGTAGCTTTTAAGGGGAAGCCCATTCAAGGCTGTTAATGGATTGGTTAGCAAATGATGAAGTTTTTTGATGTTTTGAAGTGGATAAGCTGTTCTATTTTATCTATAAAAACAATAGCTTTAGACGACTAAATTTTACTGTAGCAGATGCTAAGAAGTGCTCTAGCTAATTCCAGAAAAAAAGGCATCATCGAATGGAAACGGAAAGCCGCGTAGCGACTACGTCAGCTTTCTATTTCCATAGAAAGCTGACGTTTTTCTGAATTTTAGCAGTTAAAAGCTATATAAGTAGGCATTCAAATTTGCATACAACTCATACAATTCCTAATTTGAACATTCAGGTTGCTCATCGTGATCTCAAGCCGGCGAATATCATGTTCGCGTCGCCAGGCGGTGAAATTGACTCGTTGCGCATCGTTGACTTCGGCTTCGCCAAGCAGAGCCGCGCCGAGAACGGGATGCTGATGACACCGTGTTACACGGCACAATTTGTGGGTTTTCTTGCTTTCTTGGATCCTTACCGTAAGCAGTGAGCAGAAATTAGCAACATTGAACTGTCCAATTTTACAGAAGTATCGCTAAGTTGATTCCTCCATTTCAAATTTCAAACGTCTTTTGGACTAGAAAATTTGTAAACCTTTTTGGTTTCAGGCTTCCTAAGGCTTTTGCGCCTCCAAGAATACCAATTTTTAAGTATAGTTAGGAGAAACGCCAGATTTAATGCAACCTGCCTTATAGCCTTGATTTTGTTTATTCTTAATCGCATTTCCATGTTCAGGTCGCTCCCGAGGTCCTCAAGAAGCAAGGCTACGATCGATCGTGTGATATTTGGTCGTTGGGTGTGCTACTTTATGCCATGTTATCAGGTGGGGTGGCTTTGGGATTAGGATTGAGAAAAAAGACAAATGCGCAAGGCTAAGCCAAGCCAAGGTCTGGATTTGGTCTAAAATTGGCGCTGGTTTGACCTGAAAATTTGGCCCTTTAGCCAACCCTGATTGGGATAGGACGGCCGTAACTTTTGAACTCGAGCCAGAGGGTTTAAAGAAAGACTTAAAACCTAAACTGCTTGGAACAAGACTTAGAACCTGCTTGGCTATGAGATATCTGCCTAGCTACGAGATTTGATCGATATTTGACTATTCCAGGAACAACTCCATTCTCCACCGGTCCCACCGACACGCCACAGCAAATTTTGAATCGTGTTGGACAGGGGAAATTCTCGATGGAGGGCGCGCAATGGGATTGCGTATCGGAGGGGGCAAAGGTGAGCTTTTAGAGTTAGAGTTAAAACAGTAGCATCACTTCTGGGTTCTCGCATTTAGTTCTCTAAATTATGCGGATAAGTTGCTCATCTCGATTTTCTAGGATTTGGTCCGTCGAATGTTGACCCTTGACCCGGGTCGTCGTTTCCGTGCACATCAAATCGCTACTCATCCATTCATCACGCAAAGGCACTCACTGCCCGTGGCGCCAACGACGAATCTGTTGGACATGAATGTGATCAAGGTTGGGATTTGAATTGAATGGGCTTTTAAGCGATAAAATCTTATCCCGAAGCTTTATAGCCTTTTAAGCGATAAAATCTTATCCTCAAGCTTTTTATAGCCTTGGGGATAAGGTTTTTGTTTTTCCTGGGGCATAAAGTGGCCCTCGTTTCACTAAAATATAGCTGAGCCTTGCTTTTCCTATCAAGTGCGTAAGTGATTCGCTTGAAATGCAGAACTTTATCTCATTTAGAGCACTAGGTGTGATTTGCAGCGGCTTTCTGATGACTTTTGAAATGCTATTCAACAGTTTTTGAGATTAATGTACCTAGTTTTGAGATCAGTCTCGGAATTTGCCCAATTTCCCCGATCCAATTGCTCATTTTCAGCATTTCCAGGCTTAAATCGGGCAGGTTTTAAGCGTTTCAGTATAAATTGTATCCTAAAGTCACCAAAATCTACTGAGCTACTGGGCTTTATTGCTTGGAAAACTATGGTTTCGGCTAAACTATGATTGTTCCCAGCTCTTAGATGCAAATTTCGTTGATTTCAGACTCAAATCGAGCAAACCTACCGTGCGCTCGGCTCCACTCCACAAGTTTCACTCTGCGATGTGAATGCGTCGGCCCTAGCTCAGCGTCGGAAACGAATCTTCAAGGCGAACGAGAATTTCAACAACAATAATTCCTCTCAATAAATGGTTTAGTGAAGGTGAAATTATTATTTTCCAACTAGGTACCAATTTTTTTATGCGAATTTGCATTTAATATGCAAATTCACTGCCTTTCTGCTCTTTATGTGTACATAAGCTGAAAAAAAACATCCAAATTTTTGTAAATCCCTTGCTTTGTTTCTCTTCTGGGTCGCTGCCGAATCGCTTAAAATTCTCGACTTTGCCAGATTCGTCAAGAATTGCACAAATTTTACAAATTTTGCGAATTTCTTGAAAAATCCCACATTTCCCCCCATTGAAACCTCTTGATTTGGGCCAAATTTTTGAAGAATTTTTGTGATTTTTCGCATTTTTACTTTGAAATTCACCGATTCCTGATTTTATGATTTTATAATTTTTTGATTTTCTGATTTTCTGATTTAATGATTTTCTGAAACTTTTCCATTTACGGGCCTTTTTTGTCGACTCCATTTCACACACAACACAAAGAACATATTTTGCAAGAATTTCGCATTTCTTTTTTTCCCTACATTCCCCCAAGAATTCTGTGATTTCCCCCATTCATTCATTAGCCCGAATTTTCTACTTTTTTTGAAGTTTTATCGGACTTTTATCGGACTTGGACTTTTTTCTTCCCTCTGAGTAACTTGTTTTTCGTATCCTTTTAATGCAATTTATCTAAAAATTTGAGAATTTTACGCCAACCTTTTTTGTGAACCCTTTTTTTTTGCAAGTGTTCTTTTTCTTTTAATTGAATTTTTTTTAGATCAAACAAAACACTGGAATAAACATTTTTAAACATTCTTTGTTAAAGCATTGACGATCAGAGTGTTTTTTTCAGAAAACTATCACTTTGAGTACTTTGGTGAAATGGACACAAATTCAAACGATTTATACGAACATGTGAAAATCCTAAAATAAAAGCTTGGAAATTTGGTTTTGAGGGTTTTCTCTGGTTGGGAATCCAAATCTATTGTTGGTTTTTGAATCCTGAAGCCACAGCCACAGCATTCGCTGCCAGCTATTGTCAAAAATTTGAGTAATTAAAGCGAAATGGAGAGAAAAGAAAGAAATCGAGCCTCACTTTGTCCCCCTTATGCCTAACTGGTTGTTTAAAGTCGAAAATGGACAATCTGGATGTCACACTAGGTTTTCGAAAGCATAAAATTGAGCTTTAAGCAATTTTGAACTTTAGGCAACTATTGAGTAGGTGAACCACGAAATCAGTCAAAATTTGAGATCTTTTCACTTTTTATTAGAAAAGATCATCTTTTGGGCATCTTTGAACATCTTTAGACATCTTTGGACATCTTTTGATAACAAAAAGCATCAAAATCGATCAAGGAGGAGAGAAATTTCTTTAAAATCGAATTTGGGACTTCTCAAAACGATTTTCAAGTACGTAGCGTTACTCTAGCCAAAAACTAATACCGAGCTTGGCAGCGAAATACGATTAGCTTATCAAAAAGAGAAATTTTTTGAGTTTTTGCAAGAAATTTTGGCGCCTCCGGGAGTCGAACCATCGACCTTTCGATTGGTAGCTTAGATCACTAACCATTAAGCCACCGAGAAATGTTGAGATTTTTATTATCTGAATCTTTCTGCAAGTTCTGTGACTGCCAGCTGGCACCAATAACAGCTTGGAACCTTGGACTAGCGCTATTTTAGCTAGATTTTTGAGCGAAACGTTGATCCTCATGAATTTGCCCATTTAGCTTTAGTTAACGATTATTCCTGCTTTCTGGAGGTCACAGATAATTTCTCTGTTCATAACAGAGAATTTTAGATAGGTTTCCTCGTGGCCGAGTGGCTAGCGAGCTTGGTTGCCAGACCGAGGGGTGCTGGTTCGAGTCCGCTCATTGCCAAAAACTTTTTGCATTTTTAAGATTCACGGTTTTCTTCAAGAAGATTGATCTCGCTCGTTTTCAATTATTTTCCTTTATTTTCGCGCCGTTTGCTCTTTTGATTAGGCAGTGAAAAGGCTCTTTTTTGACTCTTTATCGCTAAAAATCGATTTTCCTCTTTTTTTTGCGTTTTTTCTCGTTTTTTGGTGATTTGAGAGGTCAAAGATTAACGAATTTTTGATTTTAAACCATTTTAAACCATTTTAAACCATTTTATTGATCTTTAGAATTATATTAGATCTTTTAGAATTGAATTTATTCAAAATTCGAAAAGAATACTTCAGAAAAATGAGCGATTTCACTGCAAAAGAGGTCGTTGAAGCGGCTGAAAGGGTGAGATGGAAAAGATTCGAAAAGATTTCGATTCTTTTAAATGGAAATTAGCATTTGAAATGATTTTTTATAGATAATGAATGCAAATTTCTCGTTTTTAGATAAAGAACGTCGTCCATAAAACTCCGATTTTCACCTCGGAAACGATCGATCGTTTTGCCGGATGTCATGTTTTTTTCAAAGGAGAACATTTGCAGGTTTTTTTTTTGTTTTGTTTTGGTTGGTGCCTTTTCTCTACAAATTTGGCTCCTTTTCTCTAAAAATTTGGTTCTTTATCTCTCTAAATTTGGTTTCTGATCTCTCTAAATAGACTGAATACCCAATCTGGACTAAATACCGTAATCCAGCTAAAGTAGACTGAATACCTTATTCTAAGCTGAATACACAATCTACACTTAATACCGTAATCCAGCTAAAGTAGACTGAATACCCTGATCCTGATCCTGATCTCTCAAATTGGTTCCTGTTCTCTCTAAATTTGGTTCCTTATTTCTCTAGATTTGGTTCCTTATCTCTCTACAATTGGTTCCCTATCTCTCTAAATTTGGTTCCTGTTCTCTCTAAATCTGGCTGCTGATCTCCCTAGATTTGGTTCCTTATCTCTCTAAATTTGGTTCTAAAACCCATTTAAAGAGCCAATGAGGCAAATTTTCTAGCCGCTGGGATCAAACCCGTGACCAGGAAACAAGACTCCTTAGCCGCTCGGCCATGGCGGCATGAAGAGAATGTAAAATTCAACCTTCAAAAGCATCTAGTTCCCCGCTGTGCACTCCAGGATGACACTAGAATTTCAGGATTTATCAAAATCTTAATATAAACGGTCGTTTTGGTTGAGTTCAATTTATTTTATATTTGCTTTCGCAGCAGTGACGTCATTGATTGTGAAAGCAAAAAAAAAAAACGGGAATTTTAGCAAACTCATTTACGCTTTATATACTTGGGCAACAAAAAAAACCCTCGCCCGAGCGCATCCCGAAGCCGCTTTCAAATCCCACCAATCTTCAGCCGTTTTCGAGATATAAGCCTTCAAAGTTTGGGCCAAATACCAAATACAGAGTTTCGGCCAAATACCAAATGCACAGTTTCGGCCAAATCAACGCCAAATACACAGAATCCCCTATCACCCAAATACCCCTAAAGATTTGTAGAATTTGTAGATTTGGTCCTTCTTCTCTACGAATTTGGTTCCTTTTCTCTACAAATTTGGTTCTTCAGGGTACAAATTTAAAGCTCAAAATCTTCATTTAAGAACATCTACAAAGCGAAAGCAAGATCCCTATTTAAATGACTGGTGAGGGATTCTTTTTCTTTCTCCTTCTTCTCCTTCTCCTTCTCCTTCTCCTTCTCTTCCTCCTTCTCCTTCTCCTTCTCCTTCTCCTTCTCCTTCTCCTTCTCCTTCTCCTTCTCCTTCTCCTTCTCCTTCTCCTTCTCCTTCTCCTTCTCCTTCTCTTTCCTTTTTCCCTCATATAGATCTTTGAAACTTTCTTTTTCACTCATTTTTCTGATCGAATTACTGCAAAAAATCTTTGTTCCGGGTTTCGCGATTTGAGAATGAATGAAATTATGGGGAAAGAGTTGGAAAATTTTATGAAATCAAAAGTTTTTCCGAGGATCTGGAAGTCATTAAACATTTTTTGCAGTGTTTTTGCGAAATAGATTTAGAAGCAATTTTGTTTTGGTGGCCGGATGGATTGAGAATGGATGAAATTAAGCGAATTTAGAAGAGAAATTGACCAAAATAAGCTTTTTACTGTGCGATCTGGAAGTCAGCGAACATTTTCTCGCGTTTAACTTCGAAATCTAGAGCTAAATCCTCGTGGCCGAGTGGTTAGTGAGCTTGGCTCTCACTCGGGGGGTCGTAGGTTCGACTCCGCGAGCCGCAAATTTGCATATCTGTTTCAGATTTTCCGAAATCTCAATGTTTTCACAAAAATCCCTTCCAGAAAACCGGATCCTTCAAGGCGAGAGGCGCTTGCAATGCAGTACAACTGTTGAAAGAGGCCGGGAAAACGAATGGAGTGGTTTGTAGTCGGAAATTAGCGTAAAAAGTTGAAAATTCTTGCGGAAACGGTCAAGCTGGAACGCACTACAATCATTTTATAACTTTAGATTACCCATTCGTCGGGAAATCACGGTCAGGGTTTATCCTATGCAGCTCGAGCGGCCGGCCTACCCTGTACCGTCGTAGTCCCGCGTACAGCACCACCGTCAAAAGTGAGTACGGTAGATAGAGTGATATCCAGATATGTGAAAAGTTTGATTAGATCGTAAAAAAATCGAATAGAACTTGAGATAATGAGGAGAATTTGAAAAATTTTAGGACTGGATGAATTTTTGTCGTTTTTTCGATGATTTAAATAAAAATAAGAGATTTTCTGGGGGATCTGGAGGTCACAGAATTGATTGGAAAAGGAATTATGAAGTTTATTCCAAATTTTCAGCTCGAAGGCATGAAAGCCTATGGAGCCGAGATTATTCTTTGTGAGCCGACGATGAAAAGTCGGTGGGTTTTTTTGGACAAGACGTTACAGTACTCTTAAAAGCTATAAATTAGCATTTAATTAGCATTTGAAAGTATTCAGCGAAGAAACGTGCGAAAAAGTGGCCACAGAAAGAGGATTAACAATTGTGCCACCGTTTGACGATCAAGTGATCATGGCTGGCCAGGTTTGTGCCCAGTGGCATCCAAAATTTGCAAACGCATCCTTTCTGGTGCACAAAAAGTGTCCCATTGTTGGTGTAAGGAGTGCAATCGAGTGCAAGAGGTTTTAACAGTTTCTACGCCAACAACTAATAAGTTTTTTTGAGCAATTCGTTAATCCTGGAAGTCACACAACCCAATTAAGCCAAAACACACCCTTTCTGGCGCACTTGAAGAATTTCTTTTTGGATGATCGAGTTCAAGAGATTTTAGCCGTTTCTAAACCAACAACTAATAAGTTTTTTGATCAATTCGTTAATCCTGGAAGTCACACAACCCAATAAAGCCAAAACACACCCTTTCTGGCGCACTAGAAGAATTTCTTTTTGGATGATCGAGTTCAAGAGATTTTAGCCGTTTCTAAACCAATAACTAATAAGTTTTTTGATCAATTCGTTAATCCTGGATGGCACACTTGCCAACTCTTTTACTCATTCTTCATTTTTCTAGGGAACAGCCGCAGTCGAACTGTTGGATGAGTTGCCCAACTTGGACGCGGTTTTCCTCGCTGTTGGCGGTGGAGGCTTGGCTGCTGGCATGGCCACTTATATCAAACAGACGAAACCCAATGTGCAGGGTGAGTATTTCGTTGATTTGAGCATTTTAATCGCTAAATTTCCTTTTTTTATAGCTTTTTGAGTGAGAATGGCAAGAATTAAGCAAAAATCTAGAGAAACAAGCAAAAATCGAGCTGTCCTGGGGACGATCTGGAAGGCACAGAAGATGTGGAGATCTTTAAAACCAAGATTTAACCAAAAGTTCTGATGGCCAAGTGGTTAGTGAGCTTGGCTCTCGCTCAAGTGATCGCGGGTTCGAGTCCGCTGGCTGCTCGAAATTTTTTGTTTGTTTTTGAATTGGTCTAAAATTTGCAAAGAGTTTGTGCTGCGTTCCAGCTTTTGCTTCTACGTTGTTAGTTTTTCCAGATCATGACTGTTTACGGTTAAAAAATCGTTTTTAGTGTATTTGGTCGAACCAAATGGGAAAGGATTGCATATTTATTTGGAAAACGGTCAAATTCGAGGCGATTTGGACTCGCTGAACACGGTGGGGAAAGGGAAAATGAATTTAAGAACGTATTTCAAGATAGCTGACGGTATTCGAGTGTTGCGAGTCGGCGCTAATCCATATCCAATTTTGCAAAAATATTGCAAAGACACGATTTTAACGGTCGGCGAGGAGGAGATCAAAGAGGCCGTGGCGCTGATTTGGACGAGGCTGAAGGTACGGTCGATGGGGACTGGAGCTGAGAAGGGCTGAGAAGGGCTGAGAAGAGTTCAAGAGGTTTTAACAGTTTCTAAACCAATAACTAATAAGTTTTTTGAGCAATTCGTCAATCCTGGATGGCACACTTTCCAATAAAGCCTAAACATACCCTTTCTGGTGCACTTGAAGAATTACTTTTGGATTATCAAGTTCAAGAGGTTTTAACCGTTTCCAAACCGAGAACATCTAAATTTCTTGACTGAATCTTTAATCCTGGAAGTCACACAATCCAATAAAGCCTAAACATACCCTTTCTGGTGCACTAGAAGAATTTCTTTTTGAATGATCGAGGTCAAGAGGTTTTAGCCGTTTCCAAACCGAGAACATCTAAATTGCTTGACTGAATCTTTAATCCTGGAAGTCACACAACCCAATAAAGCCTAAACACACCCTTTCTGGCGCACTTGAAAAAATTTTTTGGATTATCGAGGTCAAGAGGTTTTAGCCGTTTTTAAACTGACAACATCTGAATTTCTTGACTGAATCTTTAATCCTGGAAGTCACACAATCCAATAAAGCCTAAACATACCCTTTCTGGTGCACTTGAAAATTTTCTTTTGGATTATCGAGTACAAGAGGTTTTAGCCGTTTTTAAACTGACAGCAATCTGCATAATTTTAACTTGCTTATCTACTGTGCGTCCCAGCTTGAACTAATATGTCGCTAAAATCTTCTACAGTAACCCTGTTCTAGATCTAAAGCTCCAGTCCTAAACTGTGACCCTGGTTAGCCTGAAAGTTCGTTATCTACCATAATTTTAGTTTACTTATCTACTGTGCCTTCCAGCTTGAACTAATATGTCGCTAAAATCTTCTACAGTAACCCTGTTCTAGATCTAAAGCTCCAGTCCTAAAGCTTGATTCCGCTAGGCCGTAGATGTGCTTGATTTTTCGAATTTAGCAACGCGTCGAGCCGACGGCGGGCGTGCCGTTGGCCGGTTTGTTGAAAATGGCGAAAGAGGTCGGGTTCGCGTTGAAGGTTTGATTGAAAAGAAGCAAAAAAATGGTATAATCGAGATTTTTTAAGGGCAAAAATGTGGCGATCATTCTCTGCGGTGGGAATTGCGATTTGACCTTTTTGCCTTTATAAAAAAGGGAAAGATTTATCTTTAAAATAAATAAATAAAATAAAATATACGAAAAACAAAAAAAAACAACTAAGCAAATGCAAAAAATGATTGACTTTACAAAAAAAAAAAAGGCGGCTTCGGATCGGCTTCAGCTTCAAAGAAAAAATAAAAAAATAAAAGAAAATAAGATCACAAATGAAGTTTATAGAAAACCTGCGTTCCAGCTTGCACGAATATCAGCTTTTCTAGGCTTAAAGTCCTCTTTTTTTGATCGTTTCTTTGCCATTCTCAGATCAGTGACTAAAATAGAGAAACTTGAGAAGAAAAGAGTGATTTAAATGATCGATTCGTGAGTTCTGGATGTCACAGAATGTATATGTCGTAGCCGATTATGAATTTCAGTCGATTAGGAATTTCAGCCGATGATGAATGGAGGAGGTCTAGGTCTAGGAGGTCTAGGAGCGTCCAATGAGTCTAGAAACCTCCAACCATCAACTATTTGGTATCATTCAACGCAGAATCATTAATAATTATGTTAAATTTTTAACCTAAACCCCCAAATTTGGTACCAATCGACGCAGAATTTAATTCGCTACAAGATCGACTCGTTTTAGAGCAAATCGAGGGTTATTTCGAAATTCTAAAAACTAGACTGGGCATTCTGGATGTCACAGTAGCCTTTCAGTATAAAGGAACGTCCATAGTTGTAATTTGGAAAATTTGGTTTTGACCAGTTTGATTTCGACTCGTTTTACAGCAAACCGAGGGTTATTTCGAAATTCTAAAAACTGGACTGGCCATTCTGGATGTCACAGTAGCCTTTGAATCTAAAAGAACGTCAATAGGTGTAAGTTGAGAAATTTTTTTTGACCAGTTTGAGTTCGTTTGGTTTTCGAGCAAATCAAGGGTTATTTCGAAATTCTAAAAACTGGACTGGCCGTTCTGGATGTCACAGTAGCCTTTGAGTATAAAGGAACGTCGATAGGTGTGATTGAGGAAATTTGATTTTGACCAGTTTGAGTTCGACCCGTTTTAGAGCCAATCGAGGGTTATTTCGAAATTCTAAGAACTAGCCTGGCCATTCTGGGTGTCACAGTAGCCTTTCAGTATAAAGGAACGTCCATAATCAGCTGAAGACTCAGAATCTGATGGTTGGACGCTCCTAGACCCACTCATTCATCATCGGCTACGGGGCGTTGTAGCGGCGGTAATTTTTAACCTAAACCCCCAAAATTTGGTACCAATCGACGCAGAATTGAATTCGCTACAAGATCATTTAATATTGTCCTCATAAATTAAATGGTTGCTTTACTAGAAAGATTTGCCAAAACAAAATTCATTCATAATCGGCTACGACATATACATTTTTCGAGCTCTTTCACTAAGACTTTACGCGTGGGACGAATAACACTTTTTTCTAGGCTTAAAGTGCTCTCTTTTTCGTTCGTTCCTTTGCCATTCTGAGATCAGTGACTAAAATAGAGAAAATTGAGAAGAAAAGAGTGATTCAAATCAACGATTTGTGAGTTCTGGATATCACAGAATGTATAGAAATCAAAAAATTAAGAAAAAAAATGAAAGAAAAAAAATGAATTCTAGAGTTAAGGATTTGTCTTGGTTACAGGGATATTATCGCTGTTCGGCGAAAGATTCAACAACGATCCACCCAGCAGATTCTGGTATTCATTTGGGAAAAGATTTGGGAAAATTAGCGGCACCGTGGCTGGGATTGAGTTGTCCGAGGAAAGCGGGAGGAACGTCTGAGCTGCAGAGTCTTTTGGGAGGAAGCGGTTCAGGGGATGAAGGGGATGGGCCAGATGGGTAAAGAGTTGGTGTGGAGAGGAGATCAATGAAGAGAGCGTCGTGGGCAGGAGAGGGTTGTCCTGGAAATTCGGTTTTAGAGAAGTTTTTCGCACTTTTCAACCAATTTTAGCTTTTTTTGTTAGCCTGGAGTTGGAGTGGCCTTGGAAGCTGGTTATCGGATAAAATTTCAGTCTAGACACTTACTGTGCGTTCCAGCTTGAACTAATAAGTAGCCAAAATCTTCTATACTAACCCTGATCTAGATCTAAAGCTCCAGTCCTAAAACTTGATCCCGGTAGCCTCCCAATTAGCCTGAGAGTTCGTTATCTACCATAATTTTAGTTTACTTATCTACTGTGCGTTCCAGCTTGAACTAATATGCAGCTAAAATCTTCTATAGTAATCCGGTTCTAGATATAAACCTCCAGTCCTAAAACTTGACCCCAGTTAGCCTTCCCGTTAGCCAAAAAGTTTGTTATCAGATAAAATTTCAGTTTAGATCTTTACTGTGCGTTCCAGCTTGGCCTAATAAGTAGCTAAAATCTTCTATAGTAGCCCTGTTCTAGATATAAAGCTCCAGTCCTAAACCTTGATCCCGGTTAGGCTCAAAGTTGGTTATCGGATAAAATTTCAGCTTAGATCTTTACTGTGCGCTCCAGTTTGGCCTAATACGTAGCTAAACTTTTCTACAGTAACCCTATTCTAGATATTTAGCTCCAGTCCTAAACCTTGATCCCGGTTAGCCTTCCCGTCAGCCTCAAAGTTCTTTATCTGCCATAATTTTGTTTCAAAACTTTACTGTGCGTTCCAGTTTGAACTAATAAGTAGCTAAAATCTTCTATAGTAGCCCTGATCTAGATATAAAGCTCCAGTCCTGAAATTAGTCCTAGAATGAAGAATCAAAAAGGACCATGGTCGGCAAATAAACCGTGGTCGGCAAATAAACCGTGATCGGTGGATGGCTTGTGGATTGGATTCCAATTGATTGAATGGTCGTGGGGACGAGGAGAGGCGGCTGGAGAGTTGAGCAGAGATTCGGCGACGATGAAGCGGTGAACATTTCGAGGAGCGGATTGGTTGCTGGCTGGAAAAGGCTATTTAGAAAGCAGCAATCGGATCACTGAGGATTATTTGGTCTTTCTGGAAGTCACACAACCATCCGACTCTTTCAATTCCTCAAAATTCCCACCTCGCTCTGACTCCAAGCGACGCGGCTCGTTTCCGGGGACTTTCCATCTAAATTTAGACATAAATGATGAGGTTTTTTGGAATTTTTGGCTGTTCTGGAAGTCACACTAGCTAGCCAAGCACTTTTGGTTCAGCCAAACGCAATTCTAAATTTTTGAATTTGGTCGGTTCAATTACGCAGTGCCTAAAAATTGAAGCTCTAAAAATTGAAGCTCTGAAGTTAGCTAAGTTTTAATTGTTGACTGTGCGTTCCAGAACTCAGGAAAAGGTTGCTTTAAATAGCTAGAAATGGGTTTAAATCGGTTTTAAGACTCTCCAAAAGTTTCCGGTAACTTTTCTGTACTAAAATAGAAATCGTGAAGTTCCACAAGTTCGAAATGGGCAAATTCTTACAGAAAGGGAAACGGGGAAAGCGGGGAAAGACAGGCCGATGCCTAATTATCGGCTTAGCTTTCTCTGGAACTTTCTCTCTGGGACAGGACATAGTCAAGTACGTGCACTTTGCGAGAAAATGGCGAGGAAAAATTTTTAGAGAGTTTAGAGACGATTTCTGGTGGATCTGGAAAGCACAAGAGTGAATGGGTTTGAAAATTTCAGTGGTATCAACAAAAGAAACTTGGTGAGAGGCTCGGCGCTGACCTCGAGGTTTTCTAGGCTTTAAAAGGCTTCAATCAGAAAATAAACGCTTTTTTTGGCCATCCTGGAAGTCACATAAACTATTTATGCAAATTTCCAAGTGATAAATGCAAATTTAAATTTTCAACGAAAATTCCAGCACCAGATGACGTCATCAATTTTTTATTTGTCCAATTTAGCTAAAATAACTTTCGAAACCCCTTTCCTGCATTCCAGCTTAGCGAAAAATAGCAAAAAAATAGCGAAAAGGTACTAAATAAACCGCAAAATTGCCCAGTCCTCGAAAGTTCCAAGGCTAACCTTGGTTTATAGTGTTTAGCGGGATCGGGATCTAGAGATTAGATGACAAAACGCCTAGAAGCTAAAAAGGAACGCAAAATTTGCATAAACAGAATTTGGCAACAATTGAGGACTCGGTGGGTCTCGAACCAGCGGCCTTTCGACTGTGAGACAAGCGCGCTATCCACTAGACCATTGGAAAATTTCGAGATATTGACCTGCTAATATTTGGGAAAAATTCTGTGCGTTCCAGCATCAATGAAAAACCGATTATCTAGCCTTAGATTGCATTTAGGTGCAAGATTTTTCGCCAGTCCTAAATCCGGATTTTAAGGAAGCACAAAAATCAAAATAACGCCATTTTTCAAATGCAACTCCTGTCCTGCATTCCAGCTTGGGCTAAAATGCTTTTCGTTTTTGCACATTTGCATTTGGGTCCAAGATTTTTCGCCAGTCCTGAATCTGGATTTTAAGAAAGCTCAAAAATCAAAATAGCGCCATTTTTTCAAATGCAACTCCTTTCCTGCGTTCCAGCTTGGCCTAAAATGCTTTTCGTTTTTGCAAATTTGCATTTGGGTTCAAGATTTTTCACCAGTCCTGAATCAGAATTTTAAGGAAGCTCAAAATTGAAAATAGAGCGATTTTTTCAAATGCAACTCGTGTCCTGCGTTCCAGCTTGGCCTAAAATGCTTTCAGTTTTTGCAAATTTGCATTTGGGTTCAAGATTTTTCACCAGTCCTGAATCAGAATTTTAAGGAAGCTCAAAATTGAAAATAGAGCGATTTTTTCAAATCCAGCTCCTGTCCTGCGTTCCAGCTTGGCCTAAAATGCTTTTCGTTTTTTGAAAATCCCTATTTGCTAGTTCGAAAATCCCATTCGCAATTTCGTGCACTTTCGGAGAATTTTCAACGCAAAATTAGCCGGCGCTAATTGTAATTGGAGCTAGCCAGTTCTCACAGACAGCGATCTGTCGTAATTTCCCATCAGAAAAGCTCTTTCTCGGCTTTCTAGGCTGGGAGTAAAGATGTGAGTCATGGCTTTGATACAAGTACTGTACTATTCGGAATTGGCTACATTTTGGGTGAAAATGGAATCAAAAATGGAAAAATGGAGTTAGTACAAGGGCACAACTTGAATGGGGCTGCAAAAAGAAGTCAAATTAAACTTTTAGCAAAAATTTTGACGCCTTCGGGATTCGAACCAGGACCCTCAGATTGGTAGAAAAATTCGCTAACCACTAGGCCATCTGGTACTATGAATATTTTGACTCCCTATATAGTTCAAAATGTTCTATGACTTCCAGGATTTACGAATCACTTGTTATCTAGGGCTTTTCTTTCTGAACAACGATAATTTTGACGGTGAACAGAGTTTGAGGCCGTTTCTTGGAGTACACTGGTTTTCCAAATGATTTATTATTTTATTTGGGCATCCTGGAACGCACATAACACTTACAAAGATCATTTTCGAAAAAAGAAAAAATTTTCGACCGCTCGGGGAATCGAACCAGGACCCTCAGATTGGTAGAAAAATTCGCTAACCACTAGGCCATCCGGTACTATGGCTTTTTTACTCCCTAGATGTTCTGTGACTTCCAGGATTTACGAATCACTGTTATCAAGGGCTTTTTTTTCTGAACAACGGTAGCTTTGACGGTGAACAGAGTTTGAGGCTGTTTCTTGGAGTACAATCATTTTCACAATGGTTTTTAATGTTATTTGCGCATCCTGGAACGCACATAACACTGGTAACCCATTTTTAATGAACTAGAGCTTGTTTTTAAGAAATGATCCATTTCAATTATCCGCGTCAGTCTTTCTTCGAAAAGTTTCAAAATACATAATTCAAAACAAAAAAAGTTTACAGTACATTTTCTCGCCGTTTTCTGCTCCCCAAAGATCATTTAATTGACGGAATTGACGTTCAGTCTTTTGCTTTCAACAACCCTAATTAGCGATGCAATTTTCGACAAAATAGAGTGTGTTTTGAGCGAAAGGAAAACATATTTTAGACATCGGGCAACACACGTGAACGAACCTCTCGTTTAAAAAAATCATTTTCGAAAAACGAAAAAAATTTTCGACCGCTCGGGGAATCGAACCAGGACCCTCGGATTGGTAGAAAAACTCGCTAACCACTAGGCCATCCGGTACTATGAGTATTTTGATTCCCTATATATTTCAAAATGTTCTGTGACTTCCAGGATTTACGAATCACTGTTATTTAGGGTTATTCCTTCTGGAAAACGGTAGTTTTGATGGTGAACAGAGTTCGAGGCTGTTTCTTGGAGTACAATGGTTTTCACAATGATTTGTAACGTTATTTGGGCATCCTGGAACGCAGATAACACTTACAAAGATAATTTTCAAAAAAAGAAAAAAATTTCGACCGCTCGCGGAATCGAACCAGGACCCTCAGATTGGTAGAAAAATTCGCTAACCACTAGGCTGGTATATTTTTTTACTCCCTATATATTTCAAAATGTTCTGTGCGTTCCAGAACTTCCAAATAACAGCTAGGACAAGTTCATTTCTGTACAGGAGTCGAGGAAATCGCTTTAACTCGAATCGAATTAAAGATTGGCTAAAAATAAGTAAAAATACAAAGAAAATCGAACAAAATGAGATTTTCTTCTAGCAAGCTGGAGGTCACACTTTGAGACATTTAAATCGGGTTTTAAATGTAAATTTGTAAATGGCCATTTTTGCTTTTTAGATTGGGAGGAAGCGAAAAAAAATCGACTTAGTCATGTTTTTCGTGTGCAAATCAATGCTGTGACTTCCAGAATACAGTATGGCGGTGTGAAATTGGGGTAATTGTGTTAAAAGAGGGCACAATTTTGCGCAGTCCTAATTCTTTGACTCAGCCAGTGTTTTGATGATGGAAAATTGTGAAAGTTTGATCAAAAATCAAAGAACGGCGATTATTTTCGATGATTTTTGGAACTTATTTGTGTTCGGGAGTCAAAAGTCTGAGAAAAACACTGTTTTTCCGGGTCTAAGTACTCGTGATGATGCCAGAATTTAGTTTGGGCTCGAGAAATGGGAATATTTGAGTAATTGGCTGATTTTTAAAGTTTGATCAGTTGAACTGGATGTCACAAAAGGATTCTAGAAGCTTAAAATGCAAAAATAGAAAAAGACTGGCAGTGACCGGGATCGAACCAGGGCCCTCAGATTTGTAAACTGAGCTAACCACTACGCCATCTGGTACTATGAATTTTTTTACTCTCTAGATATTTCAAAATGTTCTGTGCGTTCCAGGATTTACGAATCACTGTTATCAAGGGTTATTCCTTCTGGAAAACGGTAGTTTGGACGGTGAACAGAGTTCGAGGCTGTTTCTTGGAGTACATTGGTTTTCACAATGATTTGTAACGTTATTTGGGCATCCTGGAACGCACATAACACTTACAAAGATAATTTTCGGAAAAAGAAAAATTTTCGGTCGCTCGGGGAATCGAACCAGGATCCTCAGTTTGATAGAAAAACTCGCTAACCACTACGCCATCTGGTACTTTAGATATTTTTACTTCGTAGCTATTTTAAAATGTTCTGTGCGTTCCAGGATTTACGAATAACAGCTAGAATAAGTTCATTTCTGTACAGGAGTCAAGGAAATTGCCTGATTCGATTGCCTAATTCGAGAATGGCTAAAAATAAGCAAAAATACAAAGAAAATCGAACAAAATGAGATTTTCTTCTAGCAAGCTGGAGGTCACAGGAAACTTTGAGACATTTAAATCGGGTTTTAAATGTAAATTTGTAAATGGCCATTTTTGCTTGTTTGAGAATGGCAGAAAATCAAGCGAAATCTCAAGAGGTATAAATTCAGAAAACGAATTTTCGAGTAAGCTGGATGGCACGCTAGTTGCTGATGTGCAAAAATTTCGTTTCTAACCCGATGTTGACGGTTCACTGGCTTGGCACTCTTTCATGCAGATTTCGACTTTCCTTCGTGAATCGATCAGCGAACACAGCGGGCACTCGCATGTCGAAAATTGGCAATCTTTGATGTGATCCTGGAAATAGAGAGGTAAATCTTGCTGGCGTTTAACAGGAAAGTCCCCTAAAAGCGAAAATTCGATCTAGCTTTTGAGAATGGTCGATTCTCAGCCTAATTTCTCAGGTTTTACTTTCCAATTTTCGCTTTTTCAGCCATTCTGGAGGTCATTGGGCTTGTTGAGCTAGTTTATTAAGGAAAAAAAGCATTTAAAAAAAAACAAAAAGATGCAAACCTTCTTCGACTGCATTATGCCATGATTTTTGCACTTCTGACACGCGTAAACGGCTGTGATGGCCTCCTGGAAGTCACACGAGGTAAATCTCATTTAAAATCTTCAAAAAAAAACAATATAAAATTTTTCGACCGACACCGGACTCGAACCAGGACCATAAACTTGGGGAATTTATCCACTGCGCTAAATGGTAGATATGGCTGGGATCTTTCAATTACAGCTTAAATAACTTTAAGAACTAATTGGTTGTTGAATTTCTGTCTGGTTGGTGAATTGAAAAGGGTTAGGCTTAGGGTTAGGGCGATTTGAGAAAAAAGTTTTAGGACTGGGTGATTTCGCGGGAATTTTTCAAGCTAGTTTTTTGATTTTTCAGCTGAAAAAGCTAAATTGGATGGCAGGCGAGTGATTGAAATGGAAATTTAATTAAAAAGCTGCGTTTTTTAAAAAAAAACTGTACACTCGGTGGTACGGTAGAAAGGGCACCAAATAAAATCTACATTCTAAATCGTTTATCGCCGGCTGAAAACCGTCTCAAATTCTAAAGTGACTTCCAGAACTGGCAATAAAACATCTAAAAATGATCTCGAAAACCGTAAACCGGGCATTTCCCTCGGGGAAACGACTTGGCTACCGTATTTCTGTTATTGATTGATAAATTAGCATTTAAATATCAAAGCTGATGGATATGGATGTCACAGATAAAGAAAACAATAGCATAGAACCAGTTGAAAGGGCGGATTGGTGACGACGGTGGCGATCGTGTAGAAGGCTTGTAGAAGGCCTCGTTTGGGCTTGTTGTTCCGCTTGTGATTGCTGTAGCTCTTCTTGTGCCCTCAAAGTACGTGTCAAGTATAGTTTTGCCAAGTTTCCTTCTGGGGACAAATCTTTGAAAGATGAAAGAGAGCTGTGGAGAGCTTGCAGAGAGCCCAAAATGGATGCTTCCAAAATGACTCGAACTCATTACCAACGACCATCGGGTATCATTGGGAGAATTGGGAGAAGGGTTGATCATGCTAGAGTGCTAAGGCGCCTACATACACTTGGATTTAAATCGAAACTTGAGACTTTAGGTCTCATGGGCCCCAAGTTGATCTATGGGTGACCCAAGTTGACCAATGGGTGCCCCAACTTGACCTATGGATGTCCCAAGTCCCCATGGGTGTCCCAAGTTGACCAATGGGTGCCCCAAGTTGACCTATGGGTGCCCCAACTTGACCTATGGATGTCCCAAGTCCCCATGGGTGTCCCAAGTTGACCTATGGGTGTCCCAAGTCCCCATAAGTACCCCAAGTCCCCATGGATGCCCAATGACCTCACTGACCCAATATCTCTACTGGCTGTACTTTGGTGTGCTGTGTGCTCTCTCAAACCCCGCAAAAGGAGTCGACTAGACAAAAATCGCACTAATAGACGAAAATCCTTTATTATCTTGTGCTGTGCCCTCCAGGATGGCCGAATTCATCAGAGAGAATCCGCGGATTTACCGTATAATTGAGAAAATTCACTCCGAAGTGTTTGCTGGCTTGTGCCTGGATGAAAAAAAGCTTTTTTTTTTTGCCCGTTCAATCTCGCAAATCTACTGTATGCCCTCCAAAAATGAAGATTGTAGTCAAGAGATCGAGAAAGAGACCTAGTTTCCGCTGAAAAACACGAGCGATACGATTCGACGAGGTTGAAAAATAGGAGCTGGGTGATTTTAGGAGAAATGAGAAAGAAAGCGGCTTAAAACTCGGGATGAGATTTTGATCCTGGCTGGCACACTGTAATCCGGCATAAGAAACCGGCAGATTTAACGATAAATCGATGAGTCGACTGAGCTACGGTCGAAGCCAAATGACGATGAGCCAAATTCGATTTTATGAAAAAGTAATCTCATTTTTGGATTCCCCATTGTCGATTTTGCTTTAAACGACACCAAACACGGGGTGGGTGGGCGGGGGATTTCGAGAAGGCCGGCTTAGTTACACCAGTCGGTCTTGACTTGGGTAACTAAACCACCAAACTGACTTATTTTATAATCTCATAAAACAAATGGAAATTGGATTCAAACTCTTCTGTGCTATCCAGAAGGCAGTAATTAGCTGTTTAGAAATCAGAAAACCAAGTTCACCTTTAGAAAATCGTTCAAAATCTTCCCAAAACTGGTCGACTCATCTCAAAGCCCCAAAACTCAACTAAAAACCGACCCAAACTCTTCTGTGATATCCAGAACAGAGTATTTAGCTGTTGAAAGACCAAATGCTCACTAAAAAACCGTTGAAAATCATTCAAAATCGTCGCAAAGCTAATCGACTCATCTCAAAGTCCCAAAACTTAACTAAAAACCGAGTCAAACTCTTCTGTGATATCCAGAACTCAGTAATTAGCTGTTTAAAAACCAAGCTCTCTTTAGAAAACCGTTGAAAATCTTTCAAAATCGTCGCAAACCTCAATTGTGATGTGCGTTGAGCAATGCGGAGACTGTTTAGGCGACGTGGATGCGTGATTTATGCGCTGCGATGATGCGGGGATCTCTCCGTCGAATCTCCTCTCCATCACTCGTTCCTGTTCACGTCGGAGCCGAATTTGGCTAGTCATAATCTCGCGACGTCGACGCATCAATTTACACTAAAATTGGGAAACGGTAACAGTACAAATAAAATCCCTCAAAAGCTCAGCTGCCCTCCAGATCGGTGAAAAAAATCAAAATTTGAGGGAATCTCTTGAAAATTGGCTGAGATTTTTGAGTCTTTTGAGTCAAGATACGTAGCTGGGGCTAAAACTCGAGTTCTAAGGGTTAAATTTGAAATTTTCTTGCGAATTCGACGAATCTGGAGCGCACAAGAAACTTTCCCGCACCTTTAAGCATTCGCAATCCCTTTTCGAGCACGAGTGTCCTCTCGTTTCCTCGAGTAGTCCATGTTGTCGACACAAAGAGCAATAGCGCTTTACATCTAAAAATTTTCGCTTCAATCTACGCTGTGACATCCAGCTTGAGCAAAACTTTCTTCAAAATCTCCCAATCTCACCTCTCTGCGTTTTTCTCTTCATGAACTTGACATTTTGTTGAACTGGCATGGAGAATGGCATCAATGGAGCCATTGATGAAGAAGGGTTCGATGAAGTTGACGCCTCTTGACAATTGGCTGAAAATGAGGCTGAAAATGAGCTGAAAATGGCTGAAAATTTTCAAAAACTTCAAGAGGACTCGAACCAGGACCCTGAGATTTGTAGCCAACTTCACTATCCACTTGACCACATGTTTTCATGTAGATTTTCGATATTTTTTGTGAAATTCTTATACTGTGACTTCCAGGATGGATGAATATCCGAAAAAAAACGAATTTGGTTGAACGGTGTTTGACATTTGGCTTTAAACTCAAAAAACTACTCTACAATTCGTAAAACAAAAGAATTTCATTGAAAATGGTCATTATGGATGTCACACTTGGTTTGGGAATGATTGAAATTGAAAAAACAATGCCTTTTCCCTTAGCGGACTCGAACCAGGACCCTCAGACTTGCAGCCTATTGTGCTAGCCACTCGGCCATCTGAACACTTAGGTATTTCGCTAATCTATTCAAATTTTTGGCTTTCCTGACATCCAGATCATACAATTCTCTTGATAATTTTGCTTATCTAGCCATAGGTTTTCGTAAAAACCGCCAGTCCTGTATTTTGTACATAAATTTTTATAAAAATAGTGTTTTAAAGAAATTTTCCGTCTCAATGCCCCCAATGCCTTCCCTGACATCCATATCATCCATAATTATTTGGATAATTTTGCTTATCTAGGCATAGATTTTTGTAAAAACCGCCAGTCCTCTAGCCATCAAAAGATGCGTTTCGAAATCGTCGCCACTCAAAACTCACTCGTGGGTTGCTCCGGCTGCTCCTCGTGATCACTGTTCCTCGTTTCCTGACTCGTTGATGGTTGAGGTGAACACGGCTCGCTTTGACGGCCAGTCACCTCATCGTCCATCTACTGAAAAGTCGATTTTGAGAAAAAAGTTTTAGGACTGGGTGATTTGGCGGGAATTTTTCAAGCTAGTTTTTTGCTTTTTCAGCTGAAAAAGCTAAATTGGATGGCAGGGGAGTGATTGAAATGGAAATTTAATTAAAAAGTTGGGTTTTTAAAAAACTGTACACTCGGTGGTACGGTAGAAAGGGCACCAAATAAAATCTACATTCTAAATCGTTTATCGCCGGCTGAAAACCGTCTCAAATTCTAAAGTGACTTCCAGAACTGGCAATAAAACATCTAAAAATGATCTCGAAAACCGTAAACCGGGCATTTCCCTCGGGGAAACGATTTGGCTACCGTATTTCTGTTATTGATGGATAAATTAGCATTTAAATGGCAAAGCTGATGGATATGGATATCACAGAAGCTTATTATGCAAAACATATCCGCAAAAGATGTATACAAATTTGCAAACTTTTCAGTTGTTGCAAAAATTTGCATACAAAGCATTTTAGAATTAGCATTTAAGATCAGCATCATTATTTTAGCGTCAGAGCTTTCTAAAATGTGCTCAAACTATCGTGTGACATCCAGAATGAACAAAACAATTAGCTAAAAAGGCAAAAAACCTCGCACTGCGACACCGGCATTCTCGTCAGATCAGTACAGTAAGCCGAGTAAGCCTAAGCCGAGAAAGAAAGCCGAGAAATTGATGGAAGCAAATCGTTGATCGTCTGTAGATGGCGTACGATCGTCCGTAGATTCCAGGATCGCCAAAAAAATGATTATTAAAAGATTACGGTGCTGTGAGGAGTGGAGAGATCTGGGTGATTGCTCGATGGCCCTATATGGCCCTATACAGCCCTATACGGCCAGAAGGGGGGGATGAAAAGGCCAGAAGAAGAAGGAAAGAAGGAAAGAAGGAAAGAAGATGAAGAGAAGATGAAGAGAAGATGAAGAGAAGACGAAAAGAAGCAAGTATTCGGCCTAGGCACGCCCCTTTCCCTTTTTCTGCCCCTTTTTCTCCTTGTCGAGGCAAATTAATCGCGCGATTCGATTTCAAGAACTTTGTGACACCGGGGGAAAAGAGCTGGGGACAAATCTCGCACTCAACCTCTGCCCGCATTTTTGGTACCGATTTTTGGGTGTTCTGGAAGTCATTGGAAGCGCTAGTCAAGAGGAATTTGGGAAAATCCGTCTTTAAATCTTACCCAATCTCAAAATCTGCGTACCGGGCTAATTTGCAAATTTTACCCGGATAATAGTCGGCTTTTGTTATTTTTTCGCCATTCTGGAGCGCACAGCACGTAATCCGATCAAATTTTTGAAAATCTAAGCATTTCTAGTTGAGCTTCCTAATCAAGCAGCTACCGTAAATTCTAAAAGTCAAATAGGGATCTTAGGGCTATTTTTGGTTATTCTGGAAGGCACAGGACAGATTCTAAGCAGAATTTTTAAAAACAGAGCCGTTCTAGTCATTTCGGACTTAGCATTCTTTCTTTCCAACTGCCAGAACTGGGAGATTTTTTTGACTCGCCTAGAATTCATGAAATCAGGCTTCAAACTGTGCTAGCATGCCTTTTGACATCCAGATATCAGTTTTAAAAACTATTTCCAACATTTTGTGAAAGCAGTAGCGCTGTAGAGCTCCATTCTCAAACACTTAATCGGAGCCAAAAGTTTGACTTGTCCAGAATTCATCAAATCAGGCTTCAAACCGTGCTAGCATGCCTTTTGACATCCAAATAGCCATTTAAAAAAGCATTTCCAACATTTCGTGAAAGCAGTAGCGCTGTAGGGCTCCATTCTCAAACAATCATCTGGAGGCAAAAGTTTGACTTGTCCAGAATTCATGAAATCAGGCTCCAAACCGTTTTAGCATGTCTTTTGACATCCAGATAGCAGTTTTAAAAACTATTTCCAACATTTCGTGAAAGCAGTAACGCTGTAGAGCTCCATTCTCAAACAATCATTTGGAGGCAAAAGTTTTTCAAGGATCAAAGTCCTTTTTTTTGTCCGTTGCCTTTTGTGCCTTCCAGTACTATCGAATTTCTATGTTTCTCTAATTTTTTGACCTTTAGCATTCTGTTTTTCAGCTGCAGAAGGGTCTGGTTCAAAAATACACGGACTGTACTGTGTCTATTTGATGTAAATGTTGCAATTTTGCGAAAAGCTTTATGACAGGTGTTTTCTTTTGCTTTGCTACTCATTGAGTGAGCTCATTTTGTGTTTTGGCTTGATGTACGTTTGGTCAAATTTTTCCCAGGCCCTTCACCACCGATTTCACGCTTTCTCGCTCATAAATGGGGGTTTTTACAAAACAAAATTTGCAAACTATGCTCACTACGGTGAATCATGGAAGTCATTGGGGGCATTGAAACGGAAAATTTCTTTAAAACACTATTTTTACAAAAATTCATGTACAAAATTCAGGACTGGCGGCTTTTACACAAATCTAGGCCTAGATAAGCAGAATGATCAAGCTAATTATAGGATCTGGATGTCAGGGAAGCCAAAAATACGCATAGATTAGCGAAATACCTAAGTGTCCAGGTGGCCGAGTGGTTAGCATGTTAGGCTCCAAGTCTGAGGGTCCTGGTTCGAGTCCGCTAAGGGAAAAATCCACTTTTTTTCGATTTCAATCATTTTCAAACCATGTGTGACATCCATAATTAGCAAAAAAGAAGAAATTAAAGCAAAAAGCCTAATACAATTAGCTGCAAAATGCTAGAAATTGCTCCAAAATACAGGACTGGCGATTTTTACAAAAATATATGCCTAGGTAAGCAAAATTATCGAAATAATTAGAGGATCTGGATGTCAGGAGAGTCAAAAATCTGAATAGATTAGCTGAATACTTAAGTGTTCAGGTGGCCGAGTGGTTAGCATGCTAGTCTCCAAATCTGAGGGTCCTGGTTCGAGTCCGCTAAGGGACAAAGCCATTTTTTTTGGATTTTAATCATTTCCAAACCAAGTGTGACATCCATAATAACCATTTTCAATGAAATTTTTTTCTTCTGCAAATTGTAGAGCTCAAAAACCGGGGTATAGTCGAATTTTGAGGATCACTTGAAAATTCTCACAAAGAAAGGGCCATTTTTTGCAAGAATACGTAGGATTTGATAAAGAAAAGTTATTTGCGTTGATAGACGATGAAAAAAAAGGCGGCATTGAAACGCATTGAATCACGACGAGATTTCCCATTGAAGCGTGTAAGTGATTTGTGGAAAGTACGCAAAATATTACTCACAACGCCCGGGGAGTGTTTTGTGCGTTCCAGATTGAAGGAAAAGTCTCTTTTCAACGCTTTAGCGTCACTAGAAAGCTAGGAATGGCTTTGGTAGAGGTGCGCTCCAGGCACTTTTGTTTAAACCCCTAGCACGAAGTTTTTGAGTGGCTAGATTCGTGCTGTGACATCCATATCTCACAAAAAGTCGTTTCATATCCAATGGATCCCTCTACCGTACCCCGCTTTGTCTACCGTACTCTTATTTACCGCACTTGCACTGATGACGTAGGAAAAAGGGTTATTTACGTGGAACTTATTGCTTGAGAACTTGTCCCAGTACTCTAGGCAGCTTAATAGCTAGCTACAGTACTCTAGGATGATTTTGTTATGCCCTAGTGCCTGCTTACAGTAACTATAGAGTACAAAATACAGGACTGGCGGTTTTTACAAAAATCTAGGCCTAGATAAGCAAAATTATCAAGATAATTGGAGGATCTGGATGTCAGGGAAGCCATTGGGGGGCATTGAGACGAAAAATTTCTTTAAAGCGCTATTTTTACAAAAACTCATGTACAAAATACAGGACTGATCGTTTTTACAAAAATCTATGCCTATATAAGCAAAATGATCGAAATAATTGGAGGATCTGGATGTCAGGAGAGCCAAAAATTTGAATAGATTAGCGAAATATTTAAAAGTTCGGGTGGCCGAGTGGTTAGCGTGCTAGGCTCCAAGTCTGAGGGTCCTGGTTCGAGTCCGCTCGGGGCAAAAGCATTGTTTTTTCATGTTTTTTCGATTTTAATCACTTTCAAATCAACTATGACCTCCATAGTTACCAATTATTCAGCAAATCGTAATTCCAAACGAAAAACAAAAACAAAAAGCCGCATCAGGCACCGAAGCATGGGGGAATGGATAAATTGGGTGAATGGGTTGTGTTTAACAGTCGCAAATTCTATGATGACATCCAGGATCGAGTAAAATCAGGAATTTAAGAAGTACTAATTACTTTAAAGGCATTTTAACGCTCCAGCTACGGTAGGGTGGGGTCAAGAAATACAGAATGGAAAATTTCGGCGTATAAATGAGTTCTTAGGCTAACGTGAGCTCCAGATAAACTGAATTTTGCAAATTTTTAGGCTCTTAGCTATAATTTGGACAAGAGATTGATCCAGCTATAGTATTTGGACCTGGATCAAGGTCAGAACAAGGCAGGTAGGCCTTCCTATCTGTCCCAGTCGTTCTAGGGAAATGTTTTGGAACGCAGGGTAGCTGTAGGAATAGTAGGATGACAAGAAAAAATGATTCATGAGTTTTACAAGTACTCGTTTTGTTGTTGTTGGAGAAAGGACTCCAGAAATTCTCAAATTCTCAAATTACTCGAGTAAACTATAAATCCGATTAAATAGATTGCCCTTTTTGATGAAACGGATGAAATAAAAAGCGTTTCTTCAAAGTCAGCACGTTTTTAAAAATGGCGAATTGCCGGGGTTACTGTCGTTGTTGACTGATAAGGGAAAAGTTGTGAAATTCGAAAAATCAAGAAGTTCCCCGTGTTCTGTGATGTCCAGCTTGAAGCTTAGGCTTAGCGAATCTTTTTGCAATTTCTATAATTAGCCACTTTTTGGACACCGACTTTTTCCACAGTACCCTGGGCTATTATCTTAGGATAAATGACTCAAGTTAAGCTACCGTAGTTAAGCTACCGTCGTTCCTTTCCACAAATGATCGTAATCCTTTAGCGGCGACAAGTAGAAACCCGGATTACGGTAGAATTCGTCGCCAAAAA